TTTTTTTTTTTTTTTTTTTTTTTTCCCTCCCGACGCGGTTTCCGCGTCGTCGCAATGGGAAACGAAAAATTAGCAACGATCACTTTTTAATAACTTATTACAGTACTTTATTAAACTCGTTAAGTTCTTAGATTACTTAAATATACACCCTGCGGCGAATTTCAGTACATGTATTTCAATGTATTTCATCGAATAGTACGTGATGTCAATTTCGGCGCGCAATTATCGAAACTTTCGTAATTTCCTCGGCCCGATAATCAATCATCATGGTGTTCCGCAACGATAATCGATTATCGAAGCTTTATTGAATCGTACGTACTTGCTACCCTAAATATGTATACGTATTCATATTCGTATTTGATGTATGTGCTGTATTTCTCGAAATGAAACGTTTGTAAAAGCGGCAGTCTTTTCTACGCTATCGTACCATTGTATATACATATATTATGTGTATATATATATACATACATGCGCACGTCCAAACATACATACACACATACATACACGCATATGTAGATACATACATGCATACTATATATCTATATATACGTATATATACAATATATATATATATATACATACATATATATATATATACACACGTTTTCGTCACACGCACTACGTACTTTCATTGGCTTCTTAGTCTTCGTTTGTTTCCAATTTCTTTCGCTTTTCTTTATAATTCAATACTTTTTGAATTACCGACATCTTATTACCGCATTATTATTATTATGTTTTATGTCCCGAATCTATATTAGCCATTGTTACCATCATTCTCCATCGTTACGAACACGTGAGCGTTCGCTTCAGCATTCAAAACATTCACTCGCACGAACGACAAACTTTTTCTCATCTTTTTTTCTTTTTTACCAGAGGACGAAATTTCCTTGTTTTTTTCTTTTTCTTTTTCTCCTTTTTTTTTTTCTTTTTTTGTCCCGTTTACTCTTTTATATATCTAAATCAGGTTAGAAATTAGACACTGTTCGCGGTAAGCGGTATAACTAGACGATAGCGCGAGAGAAAGAGTTGGAGAGATGGACGTGATAAAATTGATCGTCAGAAAATAGTCGAGTACATGGTGATCCTGGTGTGAGGAAAAAATAACAGATACAAAAGAAAAAAAAAAAGAAGGAAGAGCGAGAGAAAAGAAAAAAACAAGATGAGGATTAAGCTGTAAGTTTAGTAGTTGACGACGAGTTGCGAATGAGATAATGGAGCCTCGGGGTGAAGAACGTACTCGTGGAAAAACGAGAGAAGACGGTAGAAGAAATAGTTTCGTATAATGTAAAACAGCATTCTTCGGTTTTCACAATGTTTTTTTTTTCTTTTTCTTTTTTTCGTAAGTTCGAGAGAGAACGTACGAGGATCAGGGCAAACACCGTATCAAATATCGTTAAGCAACTCTACTTTCGATTTCCGATCACTTGACCGTCCTCTGGCACGTGGGTAAATTCACCCTGAAGAATACATTTAATTCTATCAACGAGGCTAGTATCAGAAATACCGCGTACATACATAAACAGGCTCGGCCAACTTTTCTATCGAGCTGAAACTTGTTCGAAGCGAAAGCAATGTAGAGCAACATCAGTGTCGACAGCAGCGATATGGCACTGTACTCGAGCCCACCGGAATTTATACTAATATAATGTTTCCCTGGTTGCGTCGGCGAGAACGATGATTTGATTAGCCACGGCAGACCCAAGCACAGCAGTATGTCGAAAGTGTTTGATCCTATCGAGTTGCTAATACCCATCGAGCCGTGTCCTGATGTGAAATAAATCAATCGAGAGATTCAAAATAGAAACTCACCAATTGTTAATCGAAGAGCTCGGAAGCTCTATTCATTTTAATTTTTTTCAAAAACAACTTGTACTATGCAAATACTCTTTTTAGTATCAAAATCTTCAGTTAATGGAACGATTTAATCGTTACATTAGTATTATATTATATTATGTACTTTTGTTGATATTTTATATTATTATATTGTGTAATAAGCTCGTTTCCATTCCAAAGCAAAACCCATAAACGAATGGCAAGTTTATCTAAAATTTTCACACCTAATATTTTACTTTTATCCATGTCTTCTCTACGTTTTTATATTCAATTATGAAAACGAGCTCTTCACGTACGTTTGTTACGTTTGTATTATATATTGTATTATATGAAAGAAATGGAAATAAGTTGAATTAAATTAAAAATTAAAATTAAAATTAATCGTTACAATATTATCGGTAAAATGTTCCATTGATTGAAGGTTTTTGCAACAAAAGTTGTGTTTGTACATAAGTCATTTTTGATGGAATATCACTTACAGTGATGAGCTTTCGAACTTTTTAATTAATCTTTCGTTATTATCTCGACTAATTTTTCATATTCGTTTATCAACTTACCTTGCTTCGCCACTATTACGCTTGATACGGCCTCTGGAACGCTGGTACCAGCAGCCAGAAAAGTAATGCCCATCACGGAATCTGGTATTTTCAAAGTGTCCCCTGAAACGAAAATATAATCACGTTCTCGTTATTCTAATTTTTCTTTTTCTTCATTTCTTCATTTTTTTAATCTTGTTAAAGTTTTTTTTTTTTTTCTTTTCGGCTCGTTTTCATTACCAATTATAGTGATCATCCATGCGACCACGTAGCTCAACGATCCAATCCAAATGATGCACATAAGGAACGTTATTGGGAACCAATTTTTGAATCGTGGCTTCTCGCAGTCCGGGATGGTGCACATGAAGATCAAATGAATCGGCCACGTCAAAATCCATGCTGTTTTTCTTATCCATCCAGCCCGTGCCGGCCAAACCAATAATTCGTACTCGTAATCTGTACGACGTAAAAGAGATACGATGCTTTTATTTACTCTCTTTTTCTCGTTTTTTCTTTTTCAGTGCTATTCGTGCTTTAACTCTTTCGAGACTAGTGACCCACCGTGCGCCTCACGTAACAAAAAATAAAATACACAAAAGAGCGTTGACTCTTCTGGATAATCTTTTAATTAGTAGTCCTTTCTTTTTCTCTCTTTTTTCCTTTCTCCGATGTTATTCATGCTTTAACTCTTGCGAGATAAGCAACATAAAGAAATATCGACTTTTTTTTTAGATTGTCTTCTAATCTTGATGTCAGATCTCGAAAGAGTTAAAATATTCAGGCGGAAAATCTCCTTTGAAGAGAAAGTATTATAGTAAATGTTGTCAAGTGAAATTTCAATACTTACTAGGCTCGGGATTCTCTTCCTGAGTCTTTGTTCCTCCATTTTGTAATGGTACATCTATATGTTCAGCTTGTTCGCCGGTCGTTTGTACTTTATCGGATCTTGCCATGTGAATTTCCGTGCTGCCTTCTAAAGAGATAGCACTCTGTGTTACTTCTCGTTGATTAGCGATAGGAAATTAAAATTCTTTTTAAATGGACAAATATACAAGTATTTGGGACAAGCGTATGTAGGTTGCGCATAATATTGTAGATAAATCGATACATAATCATATTCAATGATAAATGCATTTATTGCACGGAAACTTAAATATGTGTGCATATATTATATATGTACATATATTAGGTTAACATTATTACACGTGATGCTTCTACATACACGTAACAAAACAAAGTAATTAAAACAAATCTATGATCCTCAATAAATTTAAACTTATCGCGATAAATTTAAATATATGTATTCATTTATATATATATTTAGTATCTTCTTACTTTTACAGACTCATGGTTATTGATTTTATTAATTTTTAATGGAATCTATCGATCCTTGGTCAAACTTGCCTTACAAATTAGCCAGTCGTTATGATGGTATCTGAGGTTTAAAAAAAAAAAAAAGAATGCGACATTTAGATCGTTATCGTTATTTGAATCTACTCCAGGAAATGTTTCATATTTGACCATTTTAACTAATAAAAACACTGACCATTTTAAATAATAAAAAAAAGGTGACGATCTTACCTGTCGCGTGTCGATGATCATCCGATAACGATCGATCAGCATTATGCGTACGGAATCGCGTGCATCGCTGAAACGATTTGTCCCAATACATGACGGCGATGTATACGATGTACAATAACACTAGCGTTAACGCTTCGTACCATTCTACTCGTTCGTCGTGTATGATACATATCAGAATGGCAACCGTAACGCCATAGGCGAGACAATCTCTGCTAACTGGCCACCAGTCCAGAGGAACTACCTGTATGTATGTATTTGATCAACCAATGTGGGCCATTTCAGTTGCGCAATTGATATCGATCGTTTTCTTAATCAAACGGAATCGAGTAACAAAAAAAAAAAAATATCTAATAAAAGAAAATTGCATAATATACTATTGATACTATTGTTTAATTCGCTTCATTCATGCTAGGTTCGTTATCAGGATGCGTGTCCATTTGAGAGTAAAATTATTGCGAGTTGCTCTCGAGAATATTTCTCGTAAATGAACACTGTGTTGAGAGTGACTATTCGAGAGAACTGTTGCAATTGTTTGAGAGTTGTCGCTTTTATACGGAAACAGAGTAATTGAACAGAGAACAGAGGAAATCTACCGTCGAAGAGTTATTTTCGAAATACGAAATGAATTTCGTATTCTGAGAGCTATGGCGAGGGAGCACTGCTGAAGGACCAGACGTCTGATTTAATGTGATAGGACAGAATTCTTTTATTTGAACCGAATCCTAAATTGGACGATAGTCTTTATTTATATACGTAAATTTTATTAACTTATGCAACATATATGTTGCTTAATATAGAAAGTCATAAGAAAGTAAATAACTATAGAATGACGATTTTTTTGTTTTGATGCCGACTGATGTGATTCTGATCGATCGATCGTTTAAAAAGGCTGTTTTTGAGCTAGAATCATAAAATATTGAGAAAGTAATGAGCAGCATGTTCTTTAGACTGACCTTTAGTCTGACAACGATTGAGTAGATTTTCTTAATATGCTGTTTAAATGTTTCTTTTCATTTTTTTTATAAATTGCAAAAGTTTTGAATAATAATTCTCAATTAAAATAGTGAAAAATAGACAATTATCCAATTGTCCAGTTTAAAGTGCCCGTGGCTCAAGTTTCCAAGAAATCAGTTTCCTAGATTGAACTATTGACTCTATATCGGAAATATCTTTTCGTAACCAGTGTCACATAGTGTTTTATTAGAATTTATGTATCATTTACAATACTGCAAACGTCCAAATCCAAAGTTTTTTTTCCACTCAGTGTCAGAGCTACTAACACGTTTCCCATTTATAGAAAACTTTCCCCCACTCTCGAGAACAACTACTGAAAGAAAATCTCAAACAAACGCGTCTTTATTAACAATGCGCAATAATTCGTGATAATAATAATTAATATAATTATATAACTTTTAAGAAAAGAAATATATATTTATAACTTGTAACAAGATTGTAATGTATGTTCTATATTTGGAAAAACATTAAAACAGCAATACTTCGCTATGGGTCTATTTAGATCCAACATCCATCCTAAAAACCATCTAACTGTTCGAGGGTTAGATGACCATAGAAACTTACCATTCCAGCACCAATACCGCAGCAAGCCGGTACCGCGAGAATATTGAATACAGCCGAGCCTACTATTGTTCCGACACCGATGTCACCTTCGGTGATGAACGTGCCGATCGCGTTTACGAACAGTTCCGGCGCCGACGTCGCCGCGGCCATAAAGGTTGCACCCGCCACGTCCTTGGACATCGAAAGTGCTGAAATTGAAATTTGAAAGCATTCAGAAGTCATCAAGAAATTTCACTTACTTTTCACTGCAAATAAACCAATCGATTTAGAAGCATCAAGAAATTTTAAATACTTCGTACTATGTTGGTGCGCATGAAATGCCATTTTTTAAATATAACCCCGATCGTGTAAAATATTCTACATTTAGGAGCAATTATATAGTATACTATGTACTATAAATAATATTATTATATTATATTTTCTCTATTAATGGTTCAATAATTTTACTCTTACAGTTTACTCTTGCCAATCCACATTATTCTCCTCTATAAGCGAAAAATCACAGTAGAAAGAAGAATCGGGGTTTATTATATGAATTCTAATTATACAAAATATAAACTATTTGTCCCACGACGAATTTATATAAATGGAGACGAAAATTTGCTAGTAGAAATTAAACTTTATTAGGAAATTAGGTTTTTAGAGAACAGTAACTGTGAAATAATTGCGAGATTTTCCTTACCGTGACATATTTTTTCCACAGCGGGAACGAAAAATTTGTCGCACACTACCGCTAACGCGATGAACAGATAAAGCGAAACGATTACGTGCACGACAACAGCTCCGCCCTGCCTCTGTTTCTCGTCGAAGAGATCGTGTGGAAAGTCTTCTATCGCTGGAGGTGTACAATTTATACCTGAAACATAACGATCATTCAGTCTCACGTGCTTAATCCTGAAAAACAAATGAATTTGTCTCTGGATACCGATAACAGCAATATATATTGTTATAATATAATTACTAAATTGCCAATGTTTACGCATTAGGGAATTTAATTTAAATTATGCGAAAATCCATAGAATTCTATATACAAACTTTAGCATCCGTTATAATATTTCAAGTTTTTACTTTTGTTCTATTCCTTTATTTGTAGGAATATGAATTTCCATAAATATCCACAGTTTAATAATTACTACCAAAATATGATTATGCATTCTTATGATTCATTCACTAAATATGATAAAAGGCACTCTATTTTGGACATTTTATATATTTTATAATTACTACGTGTAAAGCAGAAATAGTAAAAATGCCAAATATCGTATCGACAGAATTTTAAATTTTTTTCTTTTCTATTTTTCATTCTACTTTCACCTATATTTGTTATACCTAGGAGGGAAACGTATCACGTATTCGCGAGAAAGGAGAACAACATCACGTATCATAGAATTCTTGCTTGATCGGTCTATTATATTTCTCAACAAATTCCTTCGATCGTCAAAGACATACGGGATATGCGTATTCGGTGAATCGAATGCTTGCTTACATCCTATCGGTGTTCGATTTTCGTTCAGATCAATTACATAAGTTTCGACGACCTTGCATACTTGGATAGAAACGTTAAACGCACGCCTCATTCTGTGATTACGAGCCCAGATAATTGATTGCATTCGCTCTAGCAGCTACGATGATCTCAAATATAATCGGTTCACTGACCTTCGTTGTTCGCCTGTTGAATCTACTTCTCGCGGAAAAAATTTCTCGCCCAGAGGTAATTCAAATTCACTCGTGACGTAGACGTGATCTCACGTCGTGCGACATAACGAACGCCGTTTCAACGTTCTATTCGAAAACAAGTGCCACTCCTATTCTATTCTCTGTACGTGCAGCAGGCTCGAGCGTTATTTGAATGAAATATTTGGAAAATAATTATTTAAACCTTGAACTTTCGCAAACGATCTTTCTCGAAATTATTTGATCATTTCGATCATCTTATTTTATTTCAGCTGATCTTATTTGTAAAATGTACATAATTTCTCAAATAGCGTTTGATTCTAGTCTTCTCTTGGAATTATTTGAATAAATTAAACTGTTTGCAAATGATCTGTTCGATTTGACCGCAAATAAAATTATTTTCCTTATATTAGTTTTCAAACAAAAATAATGAATTAGAGATAGTTATACGTATCGTGGAGATCACAAAAGTATTTGATCAGCCATATAATCTGTTGGATCAATATTCGATGAAACCAGCTTTAATACTTGTTACGATGATTATTTATAAAACTCTCATTATTGTGTCAATGAAACACATGTAACTATGTTATATGTACCTATACATATGTACCTACACATATATAATTATACATACATGTGTACACATAATATATGAGCCATTTAATACAAAAGCGATGTAAGAGAAAAAAAAATAATAATGAGGAATAAAGTCAAAGCTCTGTAAAGAATCTTACACTCTTTTATCTAAGTTATTGTTCAACTATATTTCATGCTAGTTCTGCATTAAATAAAATGAAGATTAAACTTCCGAGAAATCGTTAAAACAAATAGACAAAGAACTTTTGCATTAAATGGTCCACGTACGTACAAATTTTCTATAAGTGTACAGATATCGAGATACTATCGAAATTTTAAATTGTTTTACGTAACATACTTTTCACGATAGATATGCAAATAGTTTTGCGAGCCACGCGATATTCGAATTCAATTTCAAAACTTTAAGCTTAATAATTTCGAAGGTGAAACGTAGATATACGATCTCCAGACACGCAAATAATTGCAACGAATGACACGATACAACGATTTTATCGTGGACACGTACTACTGTATTATAAATACTTAGCGCATTAACGTTGGGTATTTTTTCAATTGCCGAGTCATTTTAGAAAGTGCTAAACGAGATCTCTCGTTTCCTGACGTCAATGTGTTAAGTAGCCGTTGAAATTGAACTGGAACAGGTAAGAAACAACACACGAATCTTAATTTCAGTTCGTGTCAAAATTTATAAGGCGCTTGCTTGCTCGCGCTCGCGCAAGTTACTCGCGCGATGAAAACCATTCCCACGCGCACTCAAAGACAAATAACTCTTGGATATGGCAGAGCAGAAATGATCTACAATTGTTCCCTCGCGGCTCTTCAGCTTTATTAGTAATAGTTCAACTTTTACCACGACATTTATGTACGCACATGTAACGTAAATAGGCGAAAACGAGCACACGCACACGACACACATTTCTGCTCGAGGAGAAGTAGCAAAAATATCTTTTCGACTGAATTATTCTTACTTTTAACCTTTTTAATTTTAGTAAATGATTTTAGTAAATGTTTAATTTAAGATTGGGAATTTTTATGCAACCTATAGGAAAGTTTCAAATGCAAAATTGCACAGAACAAATGCACGTAATATGAAAAAATATATGCGATACTTATATACGGTACACACAATATAAAAATATGTATGAAAAAAATAATATTTGATACTTAAAACAATTTCTCATCGAGAAACGAATTCCTGTTTTTTTTAATTGTACTTTCAAAAACGTGATTTTGCATAAAAATTCGCGATCCACTAATAAATATCTCATTAAAACTTTTCGTTATGAATTGATCGTTTTCATTAGTTTATTGTTTAATTTTTTTTACAAACATTAATCGTTTATTAATAAACTATAGGCACAAATTCATATTTTTATGAAATCGTTTAAAAAATAGTAGCTAATTCACGAGTGCTAAACTTTGAATTTATATATTTTTATATTTTTGGTGTACTCTATGTACTTTTGTAAATTTTCTTAAATTTCCCATAAACACCCGCAGTTTATTTATTAAACTTTGATTTTGGCCCTCCTATTTGACAATTAATTTGATATTAACTTGATATCGTTGTTTTATAAAGCTTCACTTGTAAAATCGTTGTTCCATGCCATGTTCCAAGTAAAATGGAATGAGCAAAAGCAAATTAAAAAAAAGTCTCTGATACTTCCTCTCGTCAGTTGTCGAAAGTTTCATTAAAACACGTGATGTGCACGCGTGGGTGGTTATAGTATTTCGTAACAATCGCTGTATAACAAAAGAAACAACGTTTTGTTTTCGTACAGATATTCTCTACGCGTATTCCTACCTTCGTCTGTGGAGCTATTCATCGTCAGTCATACATATTTTCCACGTGATTCTCTCTCACCCCATTTTCACGTCTTTGTCGTTAAACGTTTCTCCCCGTTGTATACATCTGTGTCTGTACAAGTTTATGTATATAGATATAGTAAGAAGCACAACTGAACGAATAACAAAGAAAAATTGTAGATTTTAAACTATTATAACTTCAATAAGTTAATATTTTCAGAAATGTAATTAAAAATGCGGAATCTGGGCAGAAAATTATTTTACAATCAAATAGTTTTCGTAGGAAGCTATTGTACTTTGGTTTCATATATCTTATCATACTGTGTGTATTCTGTGCAATTTTGCACTTTAAAATCTTCTGTAAATGAATAAAAATCCGCAGTATAGATGTAACTATCTATCTGGTTTTATTCTGAAGCGTAAAACCTCTACTTTACAGTAGAGATAGGAAAGTAAGAATACTTTTATTTTCGAAAAACGACTTTAAAAACATTGAAATTTTTTTTTTTCATGACTAGATCATCACGATCTTAAAGATTGAATTTTTCTCTGTATAGTGATCCCTTAAAACTTATCATTTTATTAAATTTTGAACATTAGGATTAAACGACAAAAGTTCAAGAAATCTGTCTTAACATTTCTAATTCTGACGTTCAAAATTGAATAAAACGGTGAAGAGAAATCATGCAGTAAATTAAAAAAAAAAAAAACTGTCGTAAAAGGAAAATCTGAATCTTCAAGATCGTAATGCATTCAGTCATGGAAAAAATTTCTAGTCACGGAAAATATCTGTATGAAGTCAGGACAAAAGTAAAGGCCTCGCGCCTTAAAATGAGACCCAGTAGTACGATTTTCTTTAACTAAAGAAAGTTATAACAGCTAAAACATTGACAAGTTTTCATCATTATTTGTCCGATTATGCTCCTTACTGTATACGTATTTACGTTCTACAAAAAGATTTACGTCGATCAAGTGGGAAACAAGTTAAATTCGACAAAGATGCCCCCCCCCCCCTTCCCCTCGTCGTTTGCGTACACGCGTGGAACGAAAAATCCTTTCTACATTCAAATGAACAACTTTGTTTCTTCACCTTCGTTCTTAGATCTTGATAATTCTTCTCCTATGACTTGTTACAACCGACGTAATGAAGCAAACGATGCACGTATTGGTGTCTTGTACAGGTTACACAGCTGTATAGTTGATGTGACTTCCTACCGATTAAGCAACCTAAAGAAGTTAAATTGCTCTCATTCAAGTTGGCAGAGGAGATGCCATTCATGTCTAATGTACGTCGTATAAACTAGATATAACGTGGCTCGACCATTCGGTGTCGAACGGTTTCGTCTCGTTGGAAACAAACGATGACCATCGGCTTGACCGCCGATCATTAAACGTTGATTCTCAATTAGCAGTTTGTCGATTTTTTTTCTTTCGTTGTTGCAGGTTGCAGCGTCTTTTAGAAAAGCTCAGAAGCTTTGTTGTCCTTTTTTTCTGTTTTTTTTTTTTTTTTTTTTTTTTTTTTTGTTTTTGTTTTCTGTATTTCGATCGTCGACGAGACTTATCGTGTGCAATATATAGTACGAAGTTCTCCATTTCTGTTTCTACGCTCTACTCGGTCTTCCCTCTTCTGCATTTTTCTTTGTATTTCGACAGAGTTCCGTTGGTTATTTGTCCCGTGCGAACTTTCTCTATTTGCATCGAATTCTGAATATTTCAATATCTGTCCAAAATAAAAATTTTAACCATCTGTGGTCGGTTTATTACAGAAAGGCGTTTTTATCGTTTGGTTAGAAACAGGACGTTTCTAAAGATCTCAATCCTAAATACGACGTTACATACGCATTATTGCTCATCTTTTCATCTCAAATTAATTAATTAAACAGATGCGCCGATTCGTTTTACGATCTCTCGATAAAAATTGTGATACCAACGTTTCTCGTAATTATACTTAAATTAAAAAAAAAAAAAAAATAACGATAATTGATCAATACGAGGACAAATAACAACAATGATAAATTAACGTACGAAGCATCAATGTGACAATACAACTCGATGTGACATTCGTTGCGTGCAACAAATCGACTGCGGGTGTGAATTCGAGCAAGTTTCGTTATCACTTACGGCAACACAAACGAAATTTTCCGACACGGATCGTTAGATCCGATGAGTTAACAAATTTTCTAAACGAGGTTTCAACTCGCATATTGGAGAACGACATGCAATGTGACACTAACAATAAGGTGAAATAAAAATAGGCAAAGGAAGTAAGAAGAAAGGAAACCGATAGAGAATACGAGAGAGAAAGGGAGAGAAAGAGAAAGAGAGGCACAAAGGGGGGGAACAAGACAAACAGAAAAGGAAGGGGGTGGTCAGGCAAACGAAAGAGAGCAAAGAACGAGATCCAGTTCGTTGAGATCGATCAGATGGAAATTTTCTAAATTCTCCAACGAACGCGTCTCTGGGGACTGCACAGGATCCTCTTGTCGAAATAAAAATCACAAAACTCTTACGATTTACGAATTGAGTAAGAGTAAACGAATATTTGATGAAATTCTCTCGTATGAACGAACGTTCTTTGATAAAGCGCCCCTCTGTCCATTATCATTTTCGACCAATGCAACGTGCCGTTCTGTTCGCGTAGTCCTTTATACCGTTCATCGTGAACTAAATCACAAGCATTGTTGCTCGATACGCAGCACCGCACGACACACCTGTACGTTTAAGTTGAATTCGGTTGTTTGAAATGCACCAAACATTCGTAACGATTCTCTCTGTTCTCGATTCGCTAACCGATCCTTGGCATCTCATCGTCCATCTTCCATCTCCCTCATGCCTCGCTTGTTCCTCAAATTTTTTTTCACCCCATGCTCATTCTCTCTTTCATCTTGCTTTCCCTTATGACGTATATTCTTCTGCTCTTTCCTCTGTTGTTATTGCTGCTGCTAATGCTGATGCTAGCCATCCTGCTGTCCCTCCACTTCCTTCTCTTTCTCCTCCTTCTCCTCGTCTTCCTCCACCTCCTCCTGCTTCTTCTCTTCCTACCGTCTCCTCCACCTTGTTCGATATTTTAATTTCGATTTTTCTCTTTTTTTTTCCTTTTTTTTTTTTTAAATACTCCGTTCCGTTCTATCTTTCACCATCGTCGAAACACCATCCCCCCCCCCCCATTTCACCCCTAACCATTGTTACATCAGATCGAACTCGTTTTACTCGTGGGAAAGCATCGATAACCGATAATATTCAAAATAATATTTGAACGAACCTCCTCCTAAGTCAGACGTATCCATGTTGTCAATCCCGTCGTCACACATATACTACATTAACAACTACTCCGAAGTCCGGCAGCGTTTGTTGGAATCGCCCCTCCCTCGAACTCTTCTCTTCTCATCTCTCGCGCATCGCGCCCGCTGAATCGTGCCGCGGTCAAAATGCGAAATCGTCATCGCGCTAATCGCCGTTATGGCTTCCTTGAAAATTGAACGTGTCGTGCCGTACATATTTCGTGAAATAACACTGATAAACAGGTGGTCGTCCAGATTTTCTATGCAAGTTCACATTTCGGGAAATATGATTGGAAGAATAGAAGCTCGATGGGAAATTGTTTCACGCACCAAATATTGTAAAAAAAACACTATACATTGGATGTTTATCGGAAAGTAAAGAGTCAGATGACAAAACGTTAGAATTTGTTGAATTTTCGTGGTTTAATCCCTCAAAGTTCAATGACAGAGCGAAGAAATATTGCACAGCAAGTTTTTAAGAGGTCGCTGTAAAGGGAAAACTGTAATTTTCAAGACCGTGGTGGATTTAGTCACAAAAAATATTTTTTAGCGTTCTTGCAGATGTTTGAATTTTTACAATTTTTTTAATAGAAAAGAATACTTTTCCCTTTCGCTACTTGATGTTGAGGTATCTTTGGAAAAAACGAATTCAAGGCAGTCAAAGTACGCTTTAAAATGAATTCAAATAGATTGTCACATGATTCTTTTTTTTAACGTTACAACAATTTAAAGTATCGACTTTATTAAATTTTCATTAAAATTAGTTCTAATGCAAAATTTACTTACAGAAACAATAAATTTATATCTGTCAGAATACTGATGATAACACTGGTCTAAATTACATAATCGAGTATTTTACATTACTTATTCCTTTCGATTTAATTATCCTACAGATATTATACATGCTTACACAGATACTGATTCTACTGCCATTGATTATTTTTCAAATAATTACGATAACGCGGAAAACAATACATGCGAATGTATCAGTCAAAGAAAGATTTTATTTAACTTTTTAACTTTCTAGTGAACATTATTACGAGACACGATGCTATGGTACAAGTACTTTACACGTTAAAAGTGTAAAATCGTTCTCTTTGTGTGATGTAGCGCAAAGAGAAAAGTTAACATTGACCAACGTGTGATTTCATTAAAAAAGTGGACAAATAGATGGAAATGGAAAAACGAACAGAAAAACAGATTAATTCATGCCCCTTTGTTTTAACCAAGGTTGAGCAAATGTCACTTGAAATTCATTTTTACTAATTTATTATTTCTATTTGAAAAATAAAATTATACTCTGACCAAATGAAGTGAGTAAATAATTTCTTATTTCATGAATCAATCCGTTAAAGTAAAGTGACGAATAATCCCAATAGGAGGTAAGGTTTGTACCCTAGAAAATATTTGTAGAAACAAATGCAAAGTACCTTAATAAAATAAAAAATTATTTATTGATTAGAAAATTATTAATAGAAAATGAAATAAAAAATTATTAATAAACTAAGGAATTATTAATACAAAATGAGACAGAAAATTACTAATGACATAAGAAATCATTTACTTGTTTAAATAAACCAACATCGAGACAATATATTTCCAAATATTTCGTTCAAATAATCCTCAAGTCTGGCTAAAACTCCTGTAAGTACATGCGTATGAACGCGAATATATCACACAACAAATAATCGATTACAAATCAATTATATTACATCAACATTACACGTACGAGGATTCATAGTAGCGCAGTAATCGTATACCTAATATAAGTTTACGGTGTACGTCATACGCAGAACCATTATCGATAAACATGTGATTGACAATTACAGTGTTCTCGTAGCAGGAACACTCCTGTTGTTGGATTATCAGTAAAGGGATGTCTTCATTCGCTTTGTATAATATCTTATCTGTTAAAACCGATAATGCTCGTAAACGAAAAACATCGATGCGGTCTGCGTTCGACTGCGAATCAAAATTAGTATCACGCGGAACGGCAAGTCGTATCGTTGAACTCCTCGCCGATACCTGAAAACTTCTCGCCAATTACACGAAATAGCGGCTTCTCGCGATGGCGCAAAAATACAGACGAACGATCGGCTACAAAATACTCTGTATGATCGTCGTTCCGTCAATGTACTTGATTTTTGTTAATACGTTAGCAATATTTCTATCGAACAATCCAGCAAGCGCAGCGAGTAGCGCTACGGACACGCGTAAGTCTCGTTTTCTCTCAATTCTCCCCCTATTTTCAACATCTTTTCCTTTTACTGTTTTTCCTTCTTTTTTTCTTCGTCTTTTTCTTCTTCCTCTTCTTTTTTTTTTTTTTTTGTTTTTTATATGTGATTTATGTCAAGGAACTTATATCGTATCGTAACTTGCAACCTGTAAAGAAACGTCATGATTCTGTAAGCATTTCTCTGTCACTGCGACACGAACGATTAGCTGCATCCTCTTAAGGAGTAAACGAACAACTAATAACGAGCGATAAGTAATAAAGGGGCAATTACGATTAGACATTCGACGAATACAATGTCGTGTACGCGGATGCATGCGGCTACGTCGAGCGAAAAAAGATGGACGAGATATCGAGATACTAAAATTTAGAATGAATCATTACGTAATACGTTCGCTCTATCGATATCATCTATAATCTACACGATAGCTTACATGTACATGTGTATATAAAATTTTCAATTCGCATTTGTCCTCGTTACGTTTCATTTCTAACACAATGCGATATTTTCGTTATCACTACATGTGTAATTGCTGTTTTTTGCTAGCACTCTGTTAAGAGTACATATATAATCTCTCCCTCCCTTTTTTTATTTTTTAGAACTTCGCAGATTATTGCAAATCGGACCAGCCGGAAAAAATGAAGCAGACAACTGTACTCCTCCGGCGATCAAAGAGTTTCCATCGGATGGCCTTACTCGTCAACAAAGACAATCGGGGCTTATAGCTGTACATTTTGTAATAGCGATTTACATGTTCCTGTTACTCGCTATTGTTTGCGACGATTATTTCGTGCCAGCGATTAAAAAAATTTGCGAACGTAAGTTTCAGCAATTCTCGTTTTCGTTTCGAAAGAAAGGGAAACTATCGAGATTCAATTATTCTTTTCCACTTGTGATTGAACTGCGGATTTTTGCGCATTTATGGGAAAAATAAAAATTGCAGAAATATCCAATATATCTAAATCTATTTACGATAATACGATAATAGACGAAACAAATTTCTATTCAAGTTTTGTTGAGAAATAACTTAATTATTGATTATTTTTATCCTTTTAATTAGACTACTAGAATCTTTATGCATTTATGGGATAGTGTAAGTTGCGAAGAAACACACAGTAAAGTATTAAAGTATAAAGTGAAATAGACTATAATTTATTATGATAGATAGTAGATAAAACAAACTTTTATTCTTTATTCGTTTCTTTGCTTATATTCCTAAAAATTTGAAAACGCATGAAAATCCACAGTCAATCTAATTAAAAGAAAATTTTCATGTGGCCGATGTAGTATGAATCATTCAGAAGCCACGTTGATTAACTTCATAAATTGAACAAATGAACTCGCAAAAGTAAGTTATTTGAGCGCGTTTATGTAATAAAGATATTGATAAACAATGGAATCGATCAATCCGGCGTCCGAGAGACTTTTATAATTATCACCTGTATTTGATTTTCAGAGATCAACGTGACGGAGGATGTCGCGGGGGCAACAATTATGGCAACAGCCAGCTCTAGTCCAGAATTGTTCATCAATATTGTAGGTACTTTTGTCACGGAAGGGGATTTGGGAGTCGGCACGATCGTTGGTTCTGCCGTTTTCAATATATTGGCCGTCCCTGCTTGTTGTGGTTTATTTGCAAATCAGGTTCGAATCACTTTCTCACGATCTGATACAAACGAAACGCGTTATCGACAGATATCGAAATTAGGATCAAGCATGTGAGAGAGAAAGAGACAGAAACAGACAAATAAAATAAATGTTTTTGAGCAGGTATTAAATCTAGAAATATGGCCAGTAACGCGAGACACTATCGCGTATGCAATCACAGTACTTCTACTAATTTTAACTTTACGAGACGGCCGTATCGAATGGTACGAAGGAATGATTCTCGTTTTGTCGTACGTGCTGTATATCTTCGGTAAGTTTGTGAATGAAATCAATGGCCCATTGCTAATTCGATCATCTCTTGATTAATAACTGACAGGGTTTTTCAATTTTAAATTAAAAAACTAAACAATGTAAAATACAGAAATTGATTTCAAATTATATATGTACATAATTAATACATATATAATAATTATGTATAACTAATATGTAATTATTGTATATAGAACAATTATGTTGACACTATTCACTGTGCTCTGTTTTATGAATTTTGTCTTTAGTATCATTGTGTCAACATTAATACAATTAATTAATGACATTAATATAATATATATATTATAAAATTAATATTATTAAAACTATGTGGAATATTTTCGTATATTAATTTATATGTTCAATTTACATTTATACAATATTTTCAAAATTAAAAATATTTCATTTCATCTTTACAAAATCTACAATACTTTATTGTCTTATAATTTCCACACAGAGATATTTTTGTCTTTGATCGTAAGTAAGACCTAAATTTTTATCGTTTCAGTAATGTGTTTTGATCGAAAGATACATCGATTCTTTCAATGTGCAACAAGAACAAGAAAAAAGTACAAGAACCTTTCCGAATCAAGTCCCCTACTTTCTAATGGTATTGTTCATAACGATTAATTTTTTTAATTCAATTCTCTGAATCATGCGTCGTTGAGTTTCATTTAAAAATACGTCATCCGTTTGTTCTGTCAGACTTGGTTAAAAACACGGACATTATCTTTTTGGAGTCGAACGATGAAAATGAATCGTGTAAGTAATATGGATTATGCGAAACATATGTACCAGGGTTGGGCAAATTTGACACGAGATAAAAATAAAATGATAACAATTTGAAATAATGAATCACTTCCATTAATTTATTCTTTTATTAATAACAAGCTCTCCCTTGTGGCCAAATCAGTTAAATCGCTTGAAAATTAGTTTTTTATTTGAATGAATTCATTGAAATAAAATGACAAGTCCAGAAGAAACTGAAGAATAAACTTATACGCTAGTTGAGAAATTATAATCAAATAATTTCGAAAAAAAAATCATTTACTTGTTCAAATAAATTAACGTAAGATTACTACAAAGTAATATCGAGTCAAATAAAATGATGTATTATTGAAATAATTATTTTTCAAACATTTTATTCAAATAATGCCCAAACTTGGTATAAGCATTTTTTTTTAAGTTTTATTTATTTTTAATTAAATTGTATCGTTCTAGATGATATCGTAAACATGACAAAATGGCCAGATTCGAAGTGGGAACGAATTTGGTGGTTGCTTACATGGCCTATAAACTTTGCGCTCCTCATCACGATTCCTGATTGTAGAAGAGACACACTGAAATCTTGGTATCCTCTTACTTTCATTATGTGTATAATATGGATAGCAACTACTTCGTATATAGTTGGATGGGTCATCACTGTAATTGGTACGTATCTTTGCAACAATCGCTATACTTATTTTAATCTGGCTATCGATTTAAGATGATTCTAAGTAAAATAACGATATACGCGATATAACAAATACTGAACGAAACCAAGCATTACACGAAAGTGATACAATTAGAAAAAAAATATGATTTTCGAATTATTATGAGAACGTTACTCTTTGATTTATCATGAAAATCTTATTCATTTATCTCCATAATTTGATCCGTAGGGAGCAATTGCATTACTCTTCCTGATTCATGTGACACTGTGCTATATTTTATAACAGAAATAAATTTCGGGTTTTATTCGAAATAAAATAAAAAATAACAATTTGAAATAATAAATTATGTCAACGCGTTATTTTAATAAAAAATATAACTTTATTTGGTATCAAATTCAATTAAATCATTTCTTATTTAAGTTTATTAAAGTAGAATTTGTTATTTTAATTTATTCAAATGAAATAACACATAATAGGACAAAATTAATTAAAATTTGTAATTGTAACGTAGTTGACAATGTTAATAATTTTTTTTGCAAAATGCAAAATACAATAAATAAATAATAAAATAAAATAAATTTTTTTTCAAAATACAAAAGATAAAATAAAAAATTCTTTCACTTAGTGACAAATAACAAAATAATTTACAAAAAAAAAATCGTTTTTAGAGTCATTACAATCATTTTTAGAATCAACATCTAAATACATAAATAAGATATTATGTTATTCAATTTGTAATTTCTGAAATATAGTATTTGAATAAAGTTTGTTCTATAAATTTAACTATCATAAACAAGGGCGTATCGATGAGCTTATTATATGTATTATTCTGAATTGAGTCGTTTCTTTAATTAACAAAATAATATCTAATTCTTTTAAAAGTCTCTATATTCCAAAACATTCTTTCTCAAATTATGTTACTTTTATGATATGTTATCAATTTCTGTTGCGACATTACGTGACAATCGATCGTTATTTCAGGCGATACATTTAGGATTCCCGATTCCATAATGGGATTAACTTTTCTCGCAGCAGGAATGAGCGTCCCAGAGGCTGTGTCGAGTGTTATCGTTGCAAATCAAGGTAATTTTCTTCTTTTCGTGCTTTGACTCATCGATATCGTGCTAACGGGAATATCGGCGGATTAAAACGAATTTACACGAGTTTCTAGGTGAAGTTTTCCTATGATTTTTCCTTTTCTAATCTGTAAATCGATCAAGAAATAGTTAGCGAATAACGGTCACGATAACTATACGCTATCGTGAAACCGCTTGGTTATGATAACGTGACATTATCGCGATATTACTATCAAATTTGCTGAATCTTGGAATCCCTTTCTTTGCAGTCATTTACGAACTATATACTATGTACATATTACACAAGGTATTTCACTTGATATCATTACCTTGATTTAAGTTGTTATCGTTATTTTTAGTTAGAAATATTACAGTGAAAGATGAATAGTTTTGGAGGTGTCTATATTCTAATGTTATTATTAATCTTTTTATAGATGGACACGTGAAAGATTTGTGAAAGACAACTTTCGTTTTTTAGATGGAATCGTATGGTTCCAAATGCGTTGACTGATACGATATTTTTTGTAGAAAAGTATTAATCCATTATCAAGGAATTAGTTTAGAAGATATCTTAAATTCAATTTTTTATAAAATATCGTACGAAAGTCAAAGAAATAGATAGCAGTGTTTTTTATAAAAAAAAAAACATTAATCCATTTTTTATAAAAAAAAAACATTAATCCATTAATACATCAAAAAATTATTAGTTTGTTCGTAATTGGTGAACACACATACGTATGTTATCCTTGTCTTTCGTACGAAAATTAAAATTGAAATATCTTTTAATATACATAGAGAATGTCGAGTCGCACCAATCAATATGATTTAAAAAATCAAAGTTTACTTTCACTGACAAAAGATGAACAATATTAGGATATATATATATATCTTGAAACCATTCGTTATCATTTTCATTACTGCGGATAATGATAATGATATTCAGGGTAGTCATGTCACGAGACATCCTGTAGCCAATCCATTAACATTATTTCAACTGTTTCTTTTTAATTTATTACTCGTGAAGTAATAATATTTCATGATTTTTCTTTTGTTTTTTCTTCTAGTCTTATTTTCTACTTGATATTGCTAATTAAAAATATTATTTCAGGACACGGAGCCATGGGCATAAGTAATTCGATCGGTTCAAACGTATTCGACGTATTACTTTGTCTTGGATTACCTTGGTTCCTGAAGGCAGCATTTTTCCCAAAAGCTGGTAATCATTACGTAATCATTAACTCACAGGGACTGGTTTACAGTTCTATATCGTTATTTTCTACTCTCACTATACTGTACTTGTCTCTTCTAATTGGCAAATTTAAATTGACTCGAACTGTTGGAATAGTCTGCCTCGTTATGTACGTAATTTTCTTGATATTTGCTTCGATCCTCGAGCTCAATATGTTCTTCGTGGTTAATCTGCCAGTATGCAGTAACTAACATTTGATGTTTAGTTTGTAAAAACCTCACATAGTTTTACAAAAGAACATACAAAACTTCAAATCCAAGCTCTTCCTCTGTTCTCTTTCGATATTTCGATACGTACCATTGAATTATAACAATGGAATATTTGTTTAACGATGAATAAGCCACACTTGTCGCAAATGAACCAACGTTTAATTGATTTGTTATACTTTTTTGAATATCTGCACACATTCTACTGTACCATTTTGTGATGCATATATATTTATGAATTTGTGTAAAACTGTATGTTGAATTGAATATGTGACTTTAATAAGTATAATGTATGAATGTCTGTATATTGAGATACGTATGTACATACATATATATCTCTTTTTGCAAATAGATATTTATATAGCTGTTTCAATAATTTAGCACCAGTATTTTTCAAATAAATTTCTGATGTGACATTGTAGTTTGTAGTTCTCATCAAAGATACAAATGAAACAGAGTTTATGGTTCTTTGATATATGTAGTGTAACATATAATTGTTGTGTCATAGTAAAGCAAATTTAATTGAAAACGTACAAATGAACAAATGTATCAGAGAGAAAATACATTATTTCATTTGCTGTGTGTATATTTTTTCATTACATTAATCATTGTACAAGAATTGACCTATTAAAAAAATAAAAATATATAACTGTGCAGATATTATAAAGATGCAAACTAGAATACTTTAAAGTTGACCACAATTGGTAATTATAATGGTATGAGTAGTTTTCCCACTTTGAGTGCCATAGCTTTCAACTTTCTTTACTACACTCATACCATCAACTACCGAACCAAAAACTACATGCCTATTATCCAACCAACTGGTTTTTACGGTAGTTAAAAAAAACTGTGAACCATTGCAATTTGGTCCATTGTTTGCCATAGACAATATGCCAGGTCCAGTGTGTTTCAATTCAAAATTCTCATCTTCAAATTTCTCTCCATAAATAGATTTTCCTCCTGTACCATTGTGATTAGTGAAATCACCACCCTGGCACATAAATTTGGGAATTATTCTGTGAAAGGTACTTCCTTTATATCCAAAACCTTTCTCTCCTGTACAGAGTGCGCGAAAATTTTCCGCTGTTTTTGGGACTATATCTGCTCGTAATTCCATCACGATACGACCTAATGGTTTATCTGTAGCGGCTACGTCGAAATATACATGTGGCAAACCCATAGCAGATACTTGCAAAGTATACTTTTACTCTTTCACAATACCTTTTTCTCAGTTAGTGACGTATAATAATTATCTTAATTGTTATATTATTTTGTGGTTCAATTTATACCATCGAATTAAACGAAATCGTTCAACAAAAATAACTAGGTTAGCTTTTTTTCCTTTAGAATCATATATAAACAAATTGCGATCAACACGCCATCTTTGTGATTATCATTATAGACTGAACACGAATCACTCATATTTATGATATTTATGTGTTACGAGATTATATTTATCGTTTTACGTATTTATGTTTCATGCTTCAATAAATATCACAAATATGAAAAGAAATAATAAATAAAGGAAGAAAGGAAAACAGTTTTCCTCTCTATTTTTTTATCTATGATTCTGTTCTATATGTTTGTTAGTCGAATTACGTTTTAAGGCTCATTGAATCTGTGACCTATTTTTTTTTTTTTTAATATACGATAGCAAATTCGTAATAAACAATTTATATTACTAATCAATACACATTAGTTATAAAGCATGTACTGAGCAAATTTGCATAATTAAATTTAGTTATTCCGCCTAAATTGATTCGACTCATTCGCTGGATTATGGATGCTGTAAATACAGTATCTAAATACATAATAAATGCAATATACAATATGCATAAATTTTTATATACTCATATATTTTAAAATAACAATTGCCGTGCTTTAAAACTTGGATTTTTAGTTTTGTTAAAAATAAATTATGATATATTATAAGAAAAAGATCACAAATTCGTCCAGTAAATAGAATTTAAATCGTTCCTTTTTTTAATGTATATACATTATATATATATACATATATATATCTTCTATATATTATAATATAACTTATTTGATAAATATAAGTAATAGAAATGTAGAAAAATAGATAAAGTTAAATATAAAAATTTTTATATTTAAAACACATCCTTTATATTATGATTTCGCCAGAACAAACTCATGGACTTCTAAAATGATTTTTAACGACATAATTCTCTCTGTAACAACTTGTTTGTTATTATTAATTCAGCATTATAAGACATTATAGTACGAAAGCAGTTCGATGGTAACACGAAGTAGCGTAAAATATCATTATAGATGGCGGTTGCATGCTGTATTCTCAAATTATCGTGTCGTTGGCTTTCTATATTCATTTGAAAAATTTGTGACAGTAAAGTGTGTTGTCGACGCCCAGTTACTCGTGAGTGTTTCGGTTAAATTTTGTGTATTTCTTTCTTTGATGCGATTCGCATTTTGCTATGGGTTAAATCGTGAAAAATATCACTGGATATACTTGAGCATGTATTCGAATAATAATATTCTAAATTAGAAGCCAATAGATTTGACAAAATACCAAAAATGGCGATCTGAAAAAACAATTATTTCGTAGCAGTTCTACGTATAATTGAATCGCCTGTTGAAAAATTGGCAAACGTACACGTTTCCGTTTATTCTGCAAATATTTCTTTTTCTTACTTTAAACAAATATCTTCGAACGTAACGTTTGGAACGTACGAAATATTTTTTCCTTTCCTTAGCAAAGTGTAAGAATAGGACGTTAGGGGACATAATTGGACGTGACGGGATGTAATGAAACGTGACGAAAATCGACGGAATTCAGTAGGACTGGATTAGTCCAGACATTGTGTACTCAAATGAAATCAAAACTTTTTATTACTTTGCGACAAACAATTTCGTGTAAGAAAACTTGCACGTGATAGTACAGATTGTAATTAATAACACGTTACGCCTTTCGTTTTTACACAGAAACAGAAAACGAGGAAAAATGCAGACAATTAAATGCGTTGTGGTCGGGGATGGTGCAGTGGGTAAAACTTGTTTGTTGATTTCATACACCACAAATAAATTTCCATCCGAATATGTACCAACAGTATTTGACAATTATGCTGTGACTGTTATGATCGGTGGTGAACCATATACCTTAGGATTGTTCGATACAGCAGGTAATTATATTACATAGTTTGCTTTCCTTCGACTTGTTTTAGAACATGACAATTTATTGCTGGTTAATCATTGATTTAAAGGTCAGGAGGATTACGACCGACTACGTCCTTTAAGTTATCCTCAAACTGATGTGTTCCTTGTTTGTTTTTCGGTTGTGTCACCGTCGTCCTTTGAAAATGTTAAAGAAAAGGTATATGTGTAAATTTGATATTTATGACATGATTGATTAATCATCTAGAGATTTTACAACTCGGAAATTTTGCAGTGGGTTCCAGAAATAACTCATCATTGTCAAAAGACTCCATTCTTATTGGTGGGTACTCAGATTGATTTACGAGATGATGCAGCAACTATAGAGAAACTTGCAAAAAACAAACAAAAGCCTATATCGGCCGAACAAGGTGAAAAACTTGCCAAAGAACTGAAAGCAGTCAAGTATGTGGAATGCAGTGCTCTTACACAGGTGTGATTCTGCTCATTTATAATTTATAATGTTTCGTCAGTTATTAACATATATTCCTTCGGGTTTTTAGAAAGGTTTGAAAAACGTATTCGACGAAGCGATCTTAGCAGCGTTAGAGCCTCCAGAACCAGTTAGAAGAAGACGATGTATCGTTTTGTAGAGAGCAACTAACGCGGTTTTTAAAATCTATTAGCGCTGTTCGGACGATGATTGCTGTATGAGCTTGTCATACGGTGCATGCGAAAATACTTTTCGACTAACGATAGTTCGTCTGATTGTCGGTACGATCTATCTTTCGTTTTCAACTCATTCGATACACACTCGATTGGAAGAAAAAAATTCATCCAGAAAAGATGAAGACGAGCATTTTATGTATAAGAGGTACGCATGTATATTATGTGTGTACATGTGCATGTATATGTGTATGAATATTCGCGTACATATATATGTGCACACAAGCGCGCACACATACAAACACAAAGACACTCCTACATTTATCCTTTCGTCGACTGGTTCATCGAAGAAAGATTAACAGTTGGTTTTTACTTAAATCAACTTGAGGCAGCGGGCAAATATCAATGGTTTTTGGCAATCGCGTGGAAGGAACAATGTAATTATTGACAACCATAAACATCTACACGAATTTCGTATCAAAAATACCTGTAAAACATTCTTCTATTTAATATGTAAGACGTTTTTATTGATAAATTAGTAGTGTGAATTTTTTAATAAATCAGTTTAAAAAAAAAAAAGAATTAAGATTGAAACACATGAGTATATCTTTCACAGCTTTTCTCGTTTCTCTTTGGGTTATTTTTCACGTTCTTGAACTATTTTGTTCGCTTAACGCAACAGTGAATAATAGCGTTGATTCTCCCGCCCTTCCCTAATTTTTTCGGTACAAAAACATTTCGAAATAATAACGCGTTTAATATGTGGTTAAAGCTTTATTTACATACATTTTTTTCACGATGATATATCATGGAATAATTAAGTAAACTATATTACATGTAAAACTTGTTTCTAAGCTTGACCATTTACCATAAAAGTTTGGTATCTAACTTTGGGTTAAAACGGATTACATTCGAATTCGAATGTTACCCTATTTTCTATTCTACTATGTTGATACTTAGTCTCTATTAGGTCGCTATAATGCTGACTGCGTTACGCTCTCTCATACATGTATCTAGATACGCACGAGAAAATTTCTTGTCGACAAAAAAGTTTGATCGTACGATCTTTGATGAAGTAAGATGTATTTCTCCTATCGTTTACCATCGAAAGTTCAATGCGTTACGTTCACGGAAAGAGTATCACAAAAGGTGCGGCATGCCTATTACGTGTAGTCGTGTAACGTACTTAGTTTGTCATCATTTGCTGCTGTTGACTTGAATTTCAGAAAATGAGAGAAAGAGAGCAAAATGGTACGAAATGTTTCTCTATGATTAATCACTTTTGGTCTTTCATTTGAACACTGTTTTTTTTTTTTTTTTTTTTTTCTGAATACAGTATAAAAAATATACGTAAATCTCTATTAGCAAAGTGTCGCCTATGGTTTCAACGTTATCTTCGTTGTATCACTTCTGACATTAATAAATTCTCCTCGCGGATTAGTCTTTCTCTCGCAAGTATGAAACGGATAAAAATACGGAGATCGAAGGAAACGGAAGAGGTAGAGTAACGAACGCGGCACATACGAACGTAAATTACGAAACCCGATTGTTCAAAAATATCGTAAAAAAGTTAAAATACATTCGATCGTTTACGAATTTCATGATCGTTTTCACCATCGTATTTCTATCAGTCTGTAATACGTATAATGTAATGTATCTAAAAAAATATAACGAAACAACGTAGTATGTTAAATATCACGTTAGTTCAAGTGTACTAGCTGTAGCTGTATTTCTACTGCATGTTTCGCACCTTTCCTTTTCTTTTTTTCTTTTTTTTTTTTTTTCTTTTTTCTTTTCACTATAAAATTTCTAATTCATTTATCAATTCCACCGCAAAGACTCAATTCAATTCTGTTGAAAATAATTAGCGTCAGCTATACTTACATGTACACATAAACGCTGTAAACGTCCTTTGGTTTATGTTTATCGGTATCCCTGTAAGTATTTCGCCGTGACTAGAATCGATTACAACGTGTACGTACAATCTTGCCTCGTGATAAGCGACAAAACATAATTTATCTTTCGGAATTACAGACCCTGAGTTGGTTTTCTTTTTCTTGTTTCTCGCGTAGTTCGCATTAAATTCAGATTTCAATTCGATTGAAAATATGACGAGAGAAGGCAGTTCGTCCACCTGCGTGCCTTAGATTCTACATGAATATTTCTGATAATTAGATGGATAAAGTCGATGGAAAATTAGTCAAGGGGAACGAACGGCTATGTTTTGATATTGAAACAACGTGTTTCACGTACTTACATACGTCAAGTCTAAAAATTCGTTTATCACGTGGGAACAATTCCGTTAAAATGTTGACAAAAGAGTTACTGTGTTATTATCAGATTGGTGCATATGAAATGTCGTTTATTTGGAGCTTCTGACGAATCATCAATTAAATTTTATCTTCTGGTCAGATGAAGAAACAGAAAATTAACAATGAACCATGTATAATTCAATGTGATTCAAGGAAATCTGTAAATATGCAACAGGGATATCAGAATCTTATTATTAATTACCATGAGTAATCAGAATATTTGTTTAATTTTCTTACACAGGATATCCAAAAGTTCAAAGTTCAAGTTGTCATTACGTTTATATAGGTAAAATTAAAATTAAAATGTCAGAAACTTTATGAATGCTTCATTAAGAAGTTATAACAAAAATAAACCCTGTGTAAAGAAAAGCGTTATGTTATTTGCCCGAGACATAAATTTGAAACCTCTGAAAAACAACCTTTAACAATTTCAATCTGTGAATTTTTAAATTCGAGAATCTGGACTAGTGTAATATTAATACAACCGTTAAAAAAAACATTAAATTACATGGAAATTGTTTCAATTAAATACAGGATATCGCGAAGGAACTACATGCTCTTAAAGTTTCATGCAAAAAAACCGAGATTTCATATGCATCAACAACAACTGCGGTTTATGTTTCTGTTACTGCGCGTCGAGCACTTATACCAAACACGCGCAGACTTTTCACTAAACGGATTTAAACGTTCATGGCGTAATATATCGAATTTTGCGCGTGCGCTGGCAAAGCCTGTACACCGTTCGAATTATGCGCGACGTAAGAATTCGTCGTAAGCAAAATTCCGGGCTGCGATACGTCATGGGACGGTGCGCTGGCCGCTCCTTCGGGAACTCCTCGTTCCATCGTCGTGTAGTTGCCAATTATCTGTTGCTGGTGTAATTTCGAAGGCGAGCAGGGGATTTGCAGGGAGGATGAGGAGGAGCAAGACGAGGACGAAGAGGACGATGACGAGGAGAAGGAACAAGACGAAGAAGAGGAGGAAGAGGAGGAAGAGGAGGACGAGACCGATGTCGAAGAGGAGGAAGACGATGACAGAGAGGAGGACGGAGCGCAGGAAGCGGAGGAAGAGAAAACGGTAACGGTGGACGGTGTAGAAGATACAACGTTGTTAGGAACGGGCTGAACAGTTGCTGCGCGACATACGGCGTCGAAGTTGGCACTGCTGCAATGTATAGGATCGGGCATGTGATTCGAAAGAATGAAATTGGGATTCTGCTGAGGCGTAACAGGTTGGGGGGTGACAGTTGGTAGAGAAGAAAAGGTGGATGGCAGAGAAGAGGATGACGAGATAGAAGATGATTGTGGCAGTGAAGGAGAGAACGAGGCGGAGTTCGAGGGTACCGAAATAGAGGCGGACGAGGCGGATGACAAAAATGTTTGAGCCGACTGAACGTCGGACGAAGGTGTGGTGAGAACCGTGTGTCCCAAGTGTACTTGGTAGAATCGATAAGATCCTTCGGTGGTCGCCATTCCGCTGCCATTGAACGTGGCGCATCTCGATGGTGCTATCACGGTGTAAGATGACGACGAGGAAGATGCTACGGACGAAGCGGATATGGTCGATGGTAAGCAATAGAAGGCAGGCTGGTGATTGTGTCGATGATACGGATGATGCTGATGTTGCGCGTGATGATGGAGCTGCAACGAGTGATTGGCGGAATGAGGAACCGAGGAGAACGTGACGCCGGAAATACGAAAGTCGTCCGGTTGCTGATGATGGTGCAAATGAAGGTGCAAGGTCTGTTGGGCGGGCGGTAACGCGATTGGACTCGGCGACGAGATGGACGTGAGCCGGGAATCAAAGAGGGGAGAGGTGGAACCAGGTGGTACAGGGTGACTGATGGAACCGGCAGGCAGTGGCGAAGCGTGATCAAGATTTTGAGTAAGACTCGATATCGGCGATACCGAACGATTTCCCAAATGGAAATATCGAAATTGTTGCGGCGTTGGCGGTTGCGGCTGCTGCTGCAGCTGTGGCTGCGGTTGCGGCTGCGTTTGCGTTTGCGTTTGCGTTTGCGTTTGCAATCGATGATCGTTCTTGTTGGATCGAGGATACGGGTACCTCTCGATGTGATTCGCGTAACTGGGAGAAGGATGCGATGGCAGAATGCGTTGAATATTCTGGTAAGTTGGGTCGGACAGTCCGTTGTACGGAACGAAGTACATGGTTCGGTAACACTTGCCATTAGCAGGGAGTCCGGTATAAACGGTCGTAGGCACTATGTTACACCGATAATTGGTAGGAGTCGTTACGATAGGTTCCCTACGTCGAGCTTTCACCGAAGGGCCGCCGGTTGGACAATTTCTACCGATACCAACGGGAGCGATATTGTTCATATCAGTCTCTTCGGCTCCGGTCGCGACACCTCGAACAGTTCGCGTATTCGCAACGTTCAATTGCTCTTGGAAATACTGTTGCCCGTTCCTTGGATCTTGATAAAAACGAAAAGTGCCGTCGCTCGCCGATGATCGAGGATGTTGTCGCGCGTACAGGTCGTCCGTATACGGTTCGCGATCCAACGAGTTTTGAGCAGTAACGTTGGTATTCTCAACGATAGTTTGATAGATGTCGTCGATCTGCTTCTGCATCGTATTTATTCTGTTAATCGTGTTCGCATCTTGCTCGTCGGCGACCAACGTACCGACGTACGAGTTCGACGTAGAACCGTCCATCGTCTCGTCGTACAATGCGATTCGGCTATCAACGTTGACGCAGTTGTTCTCGTAATACGTCGGTAACGAAGAATGGAAGCTCGTTCTGAGAACGTTCGTGTTGTCGTTTTCCAAAACCGTCCGTTGGTGAAACGAGCCTGTGTTCTCGTCGATGCTGTCCTGCTGTTGCCGTTTGATGCCAGTTACCGATGGTCTACGATTAAATCCATAATCGTTTAATTCGTCGTCGTCGTTGTCCGCGCTACCAACGTCGTTACTTCCACCGTCGTTGTTGCCGTTACTGCTGCTATTGTTGTTGTTGTTGTTGTTGTTGTTATTGTTACTGTAACGACGATTGACCATGCATTGTACCTCACTACACCCACCAACACCACCAGCACCACCACCACTACCATTACTACCACTACCACTACCAGCACGACTGACGTTCTCATTGTGTGCGAAACACAGTAGGTGCCGATTATCGTTACCCTCGCTCTTTCCATCCACGATTCTATCAATTTTATTCTCTACGTTATAGCTATTGTTAGTACTGGCAATATTTATCATCGGCTGATACTGATTCTCGACCTCGTTGTAACGCCGCTTTAGTCTCTCGGTCCTGAACTTGTCCTGTTCTACAAATGCTAGCAACTCGTCGGTCGTGCTATCGCCTATGTCGGGTTTGTTGTTAATGCCCGTTGGCGTGCCTTTGGTAACATCCGGTGGACCCACGTAATTTCGATCGTCCTCGCAAAGCGCCGCCTCGATGTCTTCCAGACTGTAAGGCGAGAACGCGTTGTAGCCTACCGTCGAACCGCGATTTTCGTTCACCATTATTCTAGAGTTGTATCGATAATAATCCTCTTGATCCGCGTTGTTAACAGTTACGCAGGACAACGGCGCAAGGCTGGCTAGGAATTGCCTACGCCCGTCGGAATTGTTAGCTTTCAACGTGTTTTTCGATTGATGACCATCTTTTACTGTATTGTTGTTCTTCCCGTTATTTCCGAGACCGAGATCCGGCAAGTTTGAATGAACACTTCGTTTATGTACGAACAAATCAGTCAGTTTCTTGTACGTCGATTGACTGTGTATGCTATCAGGGGCTGCGGTACTGGTAGTGGTAGCAGAAGGATTTTGCTTATAGTAATTAGAACCTGTGACCGTTGTGGTCATGGTCGTGGTTGTCATTCCTACCGTGGTTATCACTGACGACAAGCTCGAAGACGTGAGCATTGTCGTTGGCATCGCCGTGGTTGTTAACGTAGCGGTAGCGTTGGTGATTATGGTGGTCGTCATGGTTGCTGCGTCCGAGAACGCGGCGAATTTCGTACCGGCATGTATGTTAGCTGGTAACGCAGCTACCGTTGACATGTCATCGACACTGGTTGAATTATGAATGTACGTGGCCTCCGTCGAGGATACACCGAACCCAGTTTCCTCATGCGTCGATAACGGAGTATGTATCGACAGTTCGTCGTCGATTTCCGTACTTGTGAACGAATCCGTGACATCCTTGCTCGAATTTTGACAAACGTCCTCTTCCTCTTGGTCCACGCAGGTGAGCTGACGTATACGCTCCTCCAGCGACAAGTTCTTCGATGGATGACCCTTCTTTCGCGAATTCGTACGATATTTGTCGAGGAGGCTTCTTCGAAGGGTGTTCCTCTCGATCGTTCTCCGAATTGGATTCATGGAGTCGTCGTTGAGAGAGGCTTGACCGTCGGAAATTTTCGATCTGTTCGCGACGTCGAGGAAACGCAAGTTCTCGGCGGTGACGAGAAACGCCGAGGTATCCTGTTCCTCGTCCAGAGCGTGCGCCGATGAAATCAGTTTACCGAGAGGGGCGGGGGGCGGTGAGACGAATTTTGGATTGGGAAACAATTGTCTAACTGCGGAATTCGGCTTAAGGCTATTACCCGTCAGAGAAGAATTACCCAGCTTGAATACAAGAGAAAGCTCCTTTATGTCGGACGACGTTTGATTTACCGCAAGTCGGTTTTCGTTGTCGCGTTCTTCCGTGTCGTTAGTCGTTTTCTTAGGCAAACTCGACTGGGTATCCAGTTCGTCCTTACGGCAACAAACATCTTCGCTGCCCACGACACATTCGACGGAGTCGTTGTCGTCCGTAGTGACGTGGTTGTTTGTCGGCCGATTGATCGTTGTTTCCGCGCCATGGGAAGCAACGTTCTTCTCGCAAACGTTTTTCCGGCTAGCTTTCTTCCCCTGTTGCAAATCGATATCCTCTTCCTCGCTGATCTCGCGCACGATACGTCGTTCGGTGACGGTTGTCATAGTTATCGTTTCGACGAGATACCGGTGACGGGATTCTAAAAAAGAAAGAACAACGTTCTTTGTACACACATTTGCCATCGGGAGATTAGTTAACGCTTTTAGTGCGTATGTTATTTGCATGGACAGATTAAAAAATATAACAGTGTACCATTGTTAGTTCCTTTTGGCAGTTGTTGGTCTGTTTTTTGCACATTCCCGTTGCTACTTTCTATTAATCCATGGTTGCATCGGGATTCTCCTTCGATCTCTGTACCTGTAAAATCACGCGATGCCATCTCATTAGTTACTTGCATGTTTAATATGAAGATCCTTATTTTATCTGTATAAGCTACGAGTCCGAATTTTAATTTTTAATATACACAAGCACCCGCGTTCATATTTTCCTTTCACGAATATCCGCGTAGCTATTTCTATACACGTGTTCGCGTGTGTATAAGTGTACAGCCGTCAAACGTGAAGTTTCAATACGCACGTCAAACGCATTTATACCGGTACAATGGGAAAAGCATGTTCCTGTTTTTCTATACGCGATTTTCACAACAGAGGCACGCTTCGTCCATTCGATAAAATGACTGTCACACTAGAAATCGTCCACCTCTGAGCGATTCCCTGAATTAATAGACATACATAGACTACGTGTATATCATAGTATGAAAAGGAATCCGTAGTGGTTAAATGAATAAGTAAAGAGACTAGCAATCTTGCAAATTTATTGTTCGAATCCCGGCCCCGTCACTTCTGAAATTTTCTCCAATAATGCTGGCTAGACTTGATTGACTCGATTGAAAATGTAAATCCAAAAGGAATAAAGCGAAAACGAAAAACAGTGTGACCAAAAAAAGGAGCGAGGGAGATTAATCAAAATATGGAATAAGAGTGAGACAGGAAAACGATATATAGAAGATGGAAGAATACTTTCGAAAAGCCTTGGATATGCTAAAAAAAGTAATACCAAAGAAGAATGAAAGCACCGATACGCTATATAAAAAGATGTATATTAAGAACACGGATCATTTATTTATTTCTTAATACACGTGTCACGTACAAGTACACGTGTCACGTACAAGTACACGTGTATTTCGTGTTATTTCAGAATCATGATCTCTAGCAGAGACGTATACGAGTCTATACGAATGGCATTGTTGACACGAAAATCAAGCAAGCATGTAACATATATTATATGTACGACGACGATCAGTTTTAGTTAAGAATGTAGATACATAACATTTTAACATATCGTTTTCCCTGGATAGCACGAAAATACCGGAGTCACGGTACACTGTACTTCCGGCGAATGCTGACGACCCGTATGTATAGTTAACGTTCATAAACACGTACACGAACGAGTGTGCGATCGACGTTTATGTATTAGCTTCATAAGCAATTTTCTTTCTCTTTCTTTGCTTTTTTTTATCATTAAAACGCATAGATGGTTATTACCCAATTAAACAACGATCACACGGTCATTAAACAGAAGCGTTAAGAACTTCTCTGTTACACAGAGTTTGCTCGGTACAGTTTTGTCGTGCGATGTATATATGTAGAAACGAAACGTGAAGAAATAAAAATTCGGTTTACACCGTGAAGTTTCATACGGCGAACCCGTTGAGAGAAAATAGAGTAGTCTGTATGGGAAAAAATAAAGGAAGTTATCTGCTATTCTTGTTAAGAGGTATGTATTATTTATCATTATGCATTTTATATTATGGAGAGGAATGGCGTGGGAACGCGTGTGAATATTGTACACGAGAAGTACATTGTTCTTTTACATTGGCTCGAATTAATGTTTCCTTCTGATTCAAATTTGGCCGGGTTTTAACGAAGGAACAAAAGAAGAAAACACAGCTTGTTAGAATTCAAATGGCGGATTTATACGAACAAGTAAAGGGAGAAAACTTGTTTTTTCTTTGAGAAAGGACGTGAACCTCTCGAGCGTTTACATCGTACATGATTTTAATAATTATTGTGCATCTCGACGTAGTGTTCTTCATATCTTGAAACCATTATATCAACCGGCTTGTTCAAACTTATCTTGTTCCGTTCAATGTCTAGCAAATTCAGTTCATAAGACACTGTTCTAACGGTTGCATAGTTTTCGTGATAAGTTTGTCACAGCTATAGTCATTTGGTAGAAAGTTATTTTCTATGAATTGCTCCGATTATATCTAAACAAAAACCATACGTGATATGTCATCAGAATAGCATTCGCAAGGAGTCCAAATATTGGCAGGATAGGTCTAGATATACACTTATATAATACATTATTAATAATATTATTATTATATAAATAATACTATTATTAATAATATAATATATTATTAATAATAAATTAATAAATATTAAAATTAAGATTTATTGAATCTAAGGTGCAACATTTTACCTGTGTTTCCCATGATGTACAATATTTGTTATTCTTCTAGTGATAAACTAGAACGCTCAAAGAATTGACATAAATAGGTATACAACGAACGTGTATCAGAATGCAACTTACCTGTCGTTCGAAGGTAATCCAACGACGATCGTAAGCAACACTCTGCTACGTTGGGAAGTTCCCCGTTGGAATAAACATCCTTGTAACCTTCCGGTGGGCTCAGTGTCTCTTGTTGATGATCTTGCCTTGAAAGCAACGGCGGTCTTTCTATCGATGATTGTGACGGCGGTGGAGGTGGTGGTGGCGGCGGCGGTGGTGGAGGTGGCGGCGGCGGCGGCGGTGGTAGTGGCGGCGGAGGAGGTGGCGAGGGTGAAGACAACGTAGACGATACGATCGTCAATGGCGGCGAAGCGAATTCGCTTGGAACTCGCTTGTGACTCTCGACGTCCTTCGGCCCGTCCACTCTGTCGCGACTTTTCACCTTGTCTCGTAGATCAGCCGAGTTTCCCACTTTCCCCACCACTTGCTCGTCGACGTTCGATTTTCTCTCATCCGTTTCCACCACGCTCTTTCGCGCCTGGAGCCCTTTCTGCGTCGCAACGCGCTCCTTCCTTCTCGCGACATCCTCTTTAATATCCTCTTCAACCGCTAATTCTTCCTCTTCCTCTTCCTCGCCCTCTTCGATCTCTTCGTCATCTCCTTCCACCTCGATCTCATATTCCTCGTCGTCCTCGTCCTCCACATGTAACTCGACGCACTCGAATCCTTCGCGAGCGCAGCTCTCCTCTCTGAACGTGTTCTCGTGTATCATTTCACCGTCCCTCTCTATATCGTGGTATCGATTGTTGTCCGGGACGCCGAAATGAAGATTCAACTCGGCCCGGCATTCCTTACAGTTGCCGAGACGCATCAGCTCGTGCTCCTGGCAGCAACAGTCGCAATCCTCCTCGTAATCGGCGCAACATTCCTCCTTTATCAGTATTATGTAATCAGCGGCGAAAAACTCGTTCAGCTTCTCGTTGATGACCACCCGGTTTTTCTGCGATCTCGCCTTCGATTGGCCAGGCTTTTTCAACAAGGACTTGAGAATTTTCGCAGGCTGCTCCGCCGGAAGTTTGCTTCCGTGCTCCTTCATTATTGGGGCTTCTTTCTTCCCCTTCCTCTGTTCTCTCTGCTAGTATATACTATATACTTTTCCCTTTCCGTGTCCACGTCTCCCCTCCCCCCTCCCCCTCGCGGGCACCTCTTTCTCTGTCGGTCGACCACAGGTGTACGTTGCAACGTTATATCTCCGCGCTTCTCTCCCTCGTCCGTAATTAAATCATGTTGTACGCCCTCGACGTTACCTTTGTCTCCCGTTCGGAATGAAATTCCAGCTCCGCTTTCAACTGAGCAGGTACCCCGATCCCGATCAAGTACACTCGTGCCTCGACATAATACTACGCATAATACAATCGATCACCCGGTACGATCCATCGTCCGATCCTGTTAAGTAATTAAGTGTCGTCAAGAAGCCACTCCATACTTTCCCAGAGACCACCACTCTTACTTCGTTTCTCGTTAATTCGGGCGACACAATAATATCGCGAACGGGCAACCAGAGTCAGCAGACGATCAACCGACGTGCACCATCGAATCGTCATGATCCGTAATTGTCACACGAGCGTATATCGATCCAACATTCTTCGACATCGTGAACGAACGAAGGGAGGGAAAGGAAGAAGAGAAAAGACCGATACGTGGGAAGCAGAAGTTGGAAATTAATTTCGAAATCGACGCGCGTCCTCCCGTTAAGACCGTCTCTTCGCCTCTTCGTTGTTCCCGTGGCTGCTGTGTCTCATGTGTCACGCATGAGAAATTAGTCGAATTATGTAACAGGAGACGCTTTCCGACCGGCCGATGGGAAAGCAACTGGAAATGCGAACGAACGGACGCGTACAATTGGAATCGTCGAGCGTCTCGTTTATGCCGTTGCGGCGACAAACAATACCTACGCGCGTGTAACTCGACGCTCTCATGCTTCGGTGTTCCGCCGAAGATTCGCAGGAAGGGCTGCCACCAGCGTTATCAGCCGGTCATTATCACTGTCACACAGGCGACAAGCGGACCGGCGTCTCGAGTCTCGTCGACGACGCGGATGGTCGTTAAACTGTACCGCCGCGATGTTTTCGTCACGATACTCGCTCAGCGACGTTGCGTCGTCGCTTTCGTCATTGGCACCGTTTTCTTTCCCGAACGCTCAGTGTTTCGTTCGTTGTGCGCAAGCGAACGCTCGTTTCAGGTAACACTCGACCGTTTATCGATCTTGCACGGCGAACGTGGGCGCACTTCTAAACGATACAACGCACCACCGCCATCGTTCTCGTTGTAGCCCGTACTTTCACCGTATGTACACGCGCATACTTGCATATTTGTACATACGTGCCGCGTTAATATTCCAAGCGTGATGCTGAAGGACCGTGCTCTCCTCTGTCCGCGACGAATGAACGACGAATGAACTTTTCTTCTTTTCCTTTTCGTTTCTTTTTTCTTCTCTTTTTTTTTCGCGCTAATCGATCGCAAATTTTATTAGGCGAGATTAGAATTAGTTACCCCAGGGAGAGCTGCTGGAACGGTCGCGCACTCGGGTGAAACCTCTGATACTCACGACGCGTCGACGACCACTACCGTCGCGGCGCAACAGTTCGAATCGCGTGCAGCATAGCTTCTCGTTCGAAACGAACGCCGTGTGCCGTGGCTGGCTGTCATCCGACCGTTTCCATCCCGAGAGGACACCACCTCACGACCGTCGCCTCCGGTAGATCATTAACGCGCACCGCAACTGCGCATTGCGTCACACGTTTGAACGCTTCCCGCGCAAGCATCGGTCGCGACGCGTCACGATCGACGTTGGTCAGTGTTTTTCAATAAATTTTTCTTCAAACCGGTTGGGGTCAGGTGGTTTTAAAATTCTCCCACTTTTTCTTGTTTCTTTTTTTTTTTTTTTTTGTTTTTTGACAGTTAATGCACGGTGGGATCTCTTTTAACTCATTTTTTTTTTTTTTTAAAGATGTGTTTCAATAAATTTAAAACGTTAGTTGCACGATGGGATTATTTGTGCCCCACTCTGTAACAAAGGATTTATTTAAATATTACTTTCTTTTCATTTCAACAAATATTTCATGTTTAATAATTGAAATAAACGTTTTACTCCTTTCTTTATATTAAAAAAAATTTTAGTGCAGGTAGAATTTTTCCTTTTTCTTTAAAATTGCGTGCCCGAAAGGGTTAAATACCTGGTTAAATGCAAGGTTGTTTGTTATCTTGGAGCTTAGATAACGTGCAGATATTGATTACCTGGTACTTGAACAGACCTGAATAACTATCTCGTCTGTGACGACGTTATTGTGCGCAGCATCATCGGTTATTATAATGTTAATGAAAATAGATAATCAATTCTGAAGTCTCTAGAGTAGATGTATTATTGTGTATATATAGATATGATTGAACATTTTTGTTAGCATAAATGCACTTTCGACGCGACTGAGATTTTCATTCATCTGTGTATCACAGTGAAATAGATATCACTCCGAAGAATAACGATACAGTGTTTCAAAATGAACGCGACACGTCATCAGCATTTTACAATATTCGACAGTGCTGATAACAACACATTTAAATATATATTTGTACGAGATAATTTGAAGCGTATGCAGTTCAAAATAATCACAAAATTCTAATGTAATTTCTGATAAATTATTTCGATTTATTCAGCAGCATTTCTGAATATTTATATACGCATTTCGTAGGTTAAATGAAACATAAAAAGAAAACTGCGAGTCTAATTCGAAAAATAAATTTATCAAAGTTTAGAAACTAGTCATCTTAATTAGCTTTTTTTACAAATTTAAATTGATAAATGGATAGTATCACCACGTAGCGGTGAAACGGTGGAACTAATTTATATTGCTGTCTTTGTTGCACACTAGTACCCTCCTTGTCTACCGCGTCTATATGTCTGTCCTCGTCGCACGCTGTTGCTCTCCTTGTCTACCGTGGATATATCTCTGTCCTTGTCGCACGCTATTGCCCTCCTTGTTTACCATGCGTATACGTCTATCCTTGTCGCACGCTGTTGCTCTCCTTGTCTATCGTGCATATACGTCTGTCCTTGTCGCACGCTACTGCCCTCCTTGTCTAACAGCGATAGACAAGGAAAGCAATAGCGTGCGACAAGGACAGCCTTCGATCTACTGAAAAAAAAATTCAACTTTTTACACACACGTTTCTCTGGGACAAAACACACATATAAAGAAAGCGGGGAGTCTAATTTTAAGGAGGCATATGAAAAAGTTCGGAAATTATTCCTCTTAATTAGGTTTTTCTCATAATTAGTGCGAACTGTCACAAAATGGACATGGTGGCGCCATCTAGCGATAACTCAGTGGTACTAATTATTTATAAAAATACTTATTTCTGCATTTTACGGGACAAATGGGATATGAAAAGAAAGCTAAGGGTCCAATTAGGGTAATGCAATCGCCAAAGTTTGCAATTCATTTCGCTAAATTAGGTTTTTTCACAAATGAAAATTTCTCTATTTTACGGGGTTGTAGCGACCTATAGTTCCTCGAGTGCGAGTTTCGAACACCAACTTGCACAAGCCGCAAGTGGCTGTGCACCTAGCGTCGAAGTCAACCGATATTCGATGTTAAGCAAACAGAGTGCGGAACCGCTAGGATGGGTGACCCATCCAGCCTAGCGAATAGTTACAACAACAAGCGTCTGGGGTAAGGAGTCGCTGCCATCAGCCCCACTGATGAGTCTAGGCAGCGACTCTCTAAGACGAGAAACGCCACAACCTTTCCTCACCTTACCCACATCATCACTTCCTACATTATCCTCGCATTATTATCGCCATTTCAATCCCTTCAAGCCTGAGGACACGTGCGACATCTGTCTTGCTTCGACGTGAATCGATTTTATCCAGTGAGAAAAGATTTTTATACTGCTTCGAAAAAACCGGCTTGAGATCTATTTGTGCGTATTATACACGATGTATGTATCGAGACGCTATATTTTAAGAGACCTGTTATGAGGTCGATATACTATGAATAATTTAACGTAATGGATAGAAATAATGGACATTTATGAATTAATATGTACTCGGAGATCGCAGAAGTCGATGGAACTCGTGGAAAACGAGACTTTTGTATATATATATATGTATTGAACTTTGTATTTATTACTTCTATTGTAGGTTATAGGACTGCTAGGATTATTGTTACGTTCATGTATGTATGTACGTACCTAGAGAAAAGAATTCGACAATAAACAGCTCGAAAAGCAACGAATCACGCTTATTCTTCACTGCAATTAAAAATAATTCCAAATAATTTTAACGATCTTCGGCGTTAATCTCTCTCTTTCAGTTCTTCATTGCGTTGAGTTCACTGCTAAAGAAATGTTTATGGCAAGTGACGTCTACAGTGATTCCCATTGATATTCAGGCACTAAATATTAAAACAAACTTTTATAAACATAGAATACAAATTTTTTTATAAATATAAAATTTTTATAAATATAAATATAAAATATAAGATCGTGGAACAATAAACTTGTTTTAAAGCTAGTGTAAGCGAATGTTAGCCACGCCGCCCGTTCCTATGCGTGGGAAGACTTCCTTGCCTACTCGGTAAAAGAGGCCACTCAAGGTTGAGGACCAGGTGACGGTCCCAAAGTTTATGACGGATGCCCGTAAGGTCCCAAGGTTTATGACGGATGCCCGTAAGGTCCCAAGGTTTATGACGGATGCCCGTAAGGTCCCAAGGTTTATGACGGATGGCCGTAACCCAGAACTAGGGTACCCGGACGAAAGTCAGACCGAGGGATATATACCTGAAGGAGTGCACGGAGGAGTAGTCCGTCAGCAGAACGTCACCTAAGTCGAACGTCGGAGTCAGTGTAGTGCGAAAATATACACTTTGTCCTCAACGAGAAGTGATTTGTAAAATTGTTGCCTACACTAGTTAAAAATAATACGTAGTGTAAGTAAATGAGTAAATATAATAATTTTAATATTTTAATATTAACAACAATTAAAAATTTTTTTCAAGAATGTTAAAATATAAATCATCCATACCTGAAATCATGCATTAATAATTTTTAAATTTTAATATACTGCATATAAAAAAAAACTATCATAACTATCTGTAAAACATGGATAGAGCTGTCTGTGATATGTGATAGAATGATTTCAATCAGTTATCTACTAGCTTTACGTTTCGATATTGAAAATTTGACAACACTGTAATGGATTTTAAAAATCACGTTTCTTGGTCGTTTTACTCGATGTAGTTTTCCAATTCGCCATTTTCATTATTTAAGCACAGACTGCTCTAAATTACCACCGATTTTACTCTGTCGGTATTTCAGAGCACGGAACACAAAGTTCTGTAAGATGCAACGTCTATATATATATATATATATATATATATATATATATCTCGTCTGTGGCGGAGTAAACCTAACCTCTTATGGAAATTTGTGATACTTGCTCTGAAATACCGACCATTCAAAAGCGACTAAAGCGTATTTTCCCGTTGATGGATCGAACGACTAAAATTTATTTCCTTAATTGGTACCATACGCATATTTTTTTTTTTGTTATACGATGTTCACGTAGGTTTGAGTCGTTTCAAAAATGTTCTGTAAAATATAAATCATTTATACTGGAAAACTCGTGTATTAATCAAAATTAATTATAATTTAATTAACTTAAAATTTAATCTATCGTATGTTAAAAAAAGCCATGATAAATCCATAAAACATGGATCTTTGTGATATGTAATAGCAAGATTTCAGTTAGTTACTTCGTTACATTTCGACGTTGAAAGTTTGACAACACACTGATACGTTAGATTTTAAAAATCATGTTTTTGGCGCGTTCACTCAACTTTGATCAACTTCGATCGTTTTACTCGACGTGGTCTCCCAACTCATCGTTGTTTAAGCGCTAAAATATCAGTGATCTTTTACAGATTATGGAACACGAAATGCGAGATATATTATTCATACATGTATCTTTGCGCTGGACAACGTTCGAGACACCGGAACAATTCTCTCAGAAACGTCATCTATCGGGATGTGACGAAATCTAGCGTTTATCTTACGTTTAAACCGATAACAATTTCAAGAGCAATCGGCACGAAGTACCGAGTCTCGAGATAGGCGATCACCCCCTAGTTGCCGAGCAGGGAAGAGCAAAAAAAAAAAAAAAAAAAAGAAAGAAAACTCGTCGGTATCTCCGAACATCGCGGTTCTTCGGGTGTTCTCTTCTCGGTACGCACTTGGTGATCAGCTGATGACGTAACGCACGGCGAGCGTAAAGAGGAGAGAAGTGTTCGTTGTGTGGCCGTGTCGGTGTTGGAGGGCGCGAGACTTGCGCGAGACGAAGTATGGCGTAGGATTCCCACTTTCATTGAGCAGTGTTTCCGAGTTTGCCCCTACTTCGCGCTACCTCGCCAGTTTTTTCCCTCTCGTTTTCCCTGTTTTAGTTTTGCTAACGGTAAATCAACGGCAGCGTGTCGGTGGGGTGCGCGTGCCACGTTGTTTCGTCGTTGGTGAGAACAGAAAGAAAAGGAAAAAAAGAGAGAACTCATTCGTGTGCGCGGCCCTCTGCTACAGGAGTCGTGAAGCCCAGGACACCTTCGTAACCGTAACGAGCACGAGAACGGACGTGCACGTCGTTGGTGCAGGATGAGCGTCGACGCGTACGGGCCCAGCAGCCAGACCCTGACGTTCCTCGACACCGAGGAGGCGGACTTGATCGGCGCGGACACGCAGGGTAGCGAATTCGACTTCACCGACTTCACGTTGCCATCGCCAAGCCAGACCCAGGCATCGCAGCATGACTCTGCCCAGAGCCAGCCTAGCCAGCCTGTGCAGGTTCGTTTCCTCTTGCTCTCACGACCTAACCTGTATTCTTTGCTCGTTCACCTCGTACGACGATTTTTTACCCAATCACGCGGACGTTACCTAACCTCAATCACAGATGTAGTTTTAGCAATTCCTAAACAGATAAAACGGACCTTGTGCCTTGTGTCTCCCCCTTCCCCGCATCTCTCGTTTTCTATATATTTTTCTGTATATTTTTCCGAAGACATTCACCGTACCCGAAAGGTTTTGCAGAAACGATTTTTGCGACGTATTGTGTCGCAGATTGGAGGAGACTATTTAAATCACACGTTTTTTAGACCGGTAATTAGTGGCCTCTCCGTGATTTGGAGGTTAAGTGGTGCGTTTCACAGTATTGTGCAAAATTCTTCCCAATCGGTTCTGGTTTCTTAGATAATTAGTATACCAGTGATAACTATTATAGTAATATCAATGTCGTAAACAGGTGTGTAGAATCACCTTACGTGGGATCTAATAGAGAAATGAGTGTCAAACCGAGTCGAGCTCTTCAAACGGATCTCATGCACTCTTCTGTGCAATAGTAAGTAATGATGACTCTTCTTTTTGTTTAGGTTAATGGGACAAGCGGCAGTTCATCTCTGGACTTGAAGATATCTGGTGCTGCGCAGAGCCTTGCGGAATTACAGTTTGAGGAAGAGGAAGAAGAGGCGTACTACAATCGTGACCTGCCAGAGCATGCATGTAAATATTGTGGCATTCATGAAGCGTCTTGCGTTGTTATGTGCAATGTCTGCCGCAAGTGGTTCTGCAACGGACGTGGAAACACATCTGGTTCTCATATTATCAATCATCTTGTCAGAGCCAAACACAAGGAAGTGACTTTACATAGGTATTATACTGTTATTTCACTTTTAACTAGACATGGAGTTACAGTTACAGTTGTATCTGATAATTTCTATTTCTGCTTCACGTTGCAGAGATGGACCTTTGGGAGAGACTGTCCTCGAGTGTTACTCTTGCGCCGTTAGGAACGTTTTTGTTCTCGGTTTCATTCCTGCGAAAGCAGACTCCGTCGTTGTGTTACTTTGCCGCCAACCGTGCGCGGCACAAAGTTCGTTGAAGGACATGAACTGGTAAGCTTTCTCAAAAACAAAAACTACAAACACAATCGCAACGAGTATTCAACGAGTTTTTCAATTTTCTAGGGATCAAGAGCAGTGGAAACCATTGATAGAGGATCGGTCCTTTTTAGCTTGGTTAGTAAAAATCCCGTCGGAGCAGGAACAGCTGCGCGCCAGACAGATTTCGGCCCAACAGATCAACAAGCTGGAGGAACTGTGGCGCGACAATGTCGATGCAACCTTTCAGGATCTTGAGAAGCCCGGTGTCGACGAAGAACCGCAACAGGTACTCTTGCGGTACGAGGACGGATACCAATACCAGAATATATTCGGCCCTCTCGTGAAGCTGGAAGCCGACTATGACAAGCGTCTGAAGGAATCCCAAACGCAAGAGAACATTGAGGTGCGCTGGGACGTTGGGCTGAATAAAAAGACGATCGCTTATTTCATGCTGGCGAAAACGGACGGCGACATGAAACTGATGCACGGGGACGAGCTGAGGCTTCGTTATCTGGGCGAGCTTCACAAACCTTGGTCAGGGATTGGACACGTGATTAAGATCCCCGATAATTACGGGGAGGAGGTCGGGATCGAATTGAAGAACAATTCTGGCGCACCGACGGAATGCGTCAGTAACTTTGTCGTTGATTTCATTTGGAAAAGTACCAGCTTTGATCGGTAGGTATTTTTTTTTTTTCTTATCTAAAGATATTACTTGTTATAATATATCTTTTTTCTTTTTGTGTGTGTGTAACAGCATGCAGTTAGCGTTGCGAAAGTTTGCTGTGGACGACACTTCCGTGTCCGGTTACATATATCACAGATTGTTGGGCCACGAGGTGGAAGAAGTCCTGTTCCGCTGCCATCTTCCCAAACACTTCAGCGCCCCGAACTTACCGGATTTGAATCGTTCTCAAGTGTACGCTGTGAAACACGCCGTGCAAAGGCCCTTGTCCCTGATCCAAGGACCACCTGGCACAGGAAAGACCGTGACCAGCGCGACAATAGTCTACCAGCTAGTGAAGCAAAACGGTGGCCCAGTGTTGGTGTGCGCTCCCTCGAACACAGCGGTAGACCAACTGACCGAGAAGATACACAAGTCCAACTTGAAGGTGGTGAGACTGTGCGCGAAGTCGCGCGAGGCTATCGACTCGCCCGTCAGCTTCCTCGCGCTTCATAATCAGATCAAGAACATGGAGACGAACACCGAGCTGCAGAAACTGCAGCAGTTGAAGGACGAAACCGGAGAGTTGTCCAGCGTCGACGAGAAACGTTACAGACTGTTGAAGAAAGCGGCGGAGAAGGAACTGTTGGAGGCAGCCGATGTGATTTGCTGCACCTGTGTCGGTGCTGGCGACCCGAGGCTGCACAGGCTCAAGTTCCACTCGATTCTCATTGACGAGAGCATGCAGGCAACCGAGCCCGAGTGCATGGTGCCGGTCGTACTCGGAGCGAAGCAGCTGATCCTCGTTGGCGATCACTGTCAATTAGGACCGGTGGTCATGTGCAAGAAAGCCGCCAGAGCAGGCTTGTCGCAGTCGCTGTTTGAAAGACTGGTGGTACTCGGGATCAGGCCTTTCAGACTGGAAGTACAGTACCGCATGCACCCGGATCTCTCGCGGTTCCCTTCCAACTTCTTCTACGAAGGTTCCCTGCAGAACGGCGTGTGCGCGGACGAGAGGAAACTGTTGAAGATCGACTTCCCCTGGCCGGCACCCGACAAACCTATGTTTTTCTACGTCACGCAGGGCCAGGAGGAGATCGCCGGAAGCGGCACGTCGTACCTGAATCGCACGGAGGCGTCGAACGTGGAGAAGATAGCGACGAGGTTCCTCCGTTGCGGCGTGAAGCCCGAACAGATCGGGGTGATAACACCGTACGAGGGTCAGCGTGCCTATCTGGTGCAGTACATGCAGTACCAAGGGTCTCTGCACTCGAAGCTGTACCAGGAGATCGAGGTGGCCAGCGTCGACGCGTTCCAGGGCAGAGAGAAGGACATAATAATCATGTCCTGCGTCCGATCGAACGAACATCAGGGCATCGGGTTCCTGAACGATCCCCGACGATTGAACGTCGCGTTGACCCGTGCTAAATACGGTATCATAATTGTAGGTAACCCGAAGGTGTTGTCGAAGCAACCCCTGTGGAATCACCTTTTGAGCTTCTACAAGGAGCAGAAGGTTCTCGTCGAGGGGCCCCTCAACAATCTCAAAGAGTCGATGATCCAGTTCGCCAAGCCAAAGAAACTCGTCAATGCGGCGAACCCGGGCTCCCACTTCATGTCCACGTCGATGTATGACGCGAGGGAAGCGCTGATCCCGGGCTCGGTGTACGACAGATCGGGTACCCAGGTGAACGGTACGCAGAATCACAATCCGTACTACCAAAGGAACGTGCCGCTGGACATATTCAGCAGGACCCACGACACCATCAGCTACATCAGCCCGGAGAGGGCACAGGCCGCGATGAACAACGTGCCTGTTCCTGTAGGCATGTTCATGAACATGGCGCACGTGCCACCGCGGTTCTACAACCAGCATCAACAGGCCTTGCAAGCCAGGCAGAATCAACGGAATCGCCGGGGCACCGCTCTGTCGAAGAACAAACAGGGCCCGCGAATGGGCAAGCTGAGCCAAACCGAGCAGAATACCCAGCCGTACAGCCAGCCGGGATTGCCACTGACTCAAGGCACCACACAGGGAATGTCTCAGCCAGGCTTCAGCCTGTCGCAGCCTGGTCTCAGCCAGGCGGAGCTCTCCCAAGACTCGTTCGCCGTCGGGGAGTTTCAGTCGCAGATGGACGGCCTGTTGTCGCAGGACTCCACGTACCAAGGTGACCGTAGCGGATTCTATCAATCCGGTCAGTCGCAAGCCGGGGGACAGTTCTCCCAGCCATATTGAGCCAAGATCGTATGGCTGAGCAACGCAATTGCTATGCAGCGTCGCGGGAGCGACTGAAGGCTCGTTCGACCAATTTTTCTTCGACCAACAACCACAAAAATCACTAACTGCGCAAAACGATAAAAACGGCTCGGCGATCGAGTACGGTACACGCACACGCAGTCGTCGGCGTTCTAAGAGGGTTTTAAAAACAGACAGGCAAATAAATGAAAAAGAAAAAAAAAAAGAAAAAACGAAAAAAAACGAGAAAAAAAATACTACACACGGGGGAGAGTTTATCGTCGCCATTTACCGTCGAAATGCTGAACTATTCTAGACGGGGGAAGGAGTACGGTTTAAAGAGTTAAGGGAAAAAAAAAACCACACTGGGCATAACAAGTACGACAAGTCAATAAGAAGAAAAATTTTAGAAAAGGGATGTAAAAGAAGAAAGGAAGGAAGGAAGAAAGGAAGAAAGGGACAGGACTGTGAGACGACATTATCACCGAGATTTAACAAAACACCATCACCGTGACACGCGCTTACCGTGAACGTACCGTTTTATCGCGGGAATCGAGTGACGATAGAATTATATACACAGCAAAATAAAACAAATAAGAAAGAAAAAAAAACATCAAAACACCAAAAAAAAAAAAAAAAAAAAAGAAAAAAAAATTTAATGATAACGGAGGAAAGAAAAGAGAAAGAGAGAGAGAGAGAGGACAGAAAGGGAGGAGAGAGAGGAGAGAGGAAGAGAAAGAAAAATTACTATGGATACACGTGTAATGCTTCATGATTTGACCAAATTCGACGAGTGTGCCAATGTAGCGTTATTAATTAAAAAAAAGAAAAGAAGCGTATAATCGCTGAAGGAATCTCTAAAACGGGAGAGTAAAGGAGAGATGGTTCACCATCGAGAGAATGAGAAACAAAAGAGAAGAAAAATGCTTGGACTCTGATGCAAACACTTTGCGTCTTTTTTTTTCTTTTTTTTTTTCTTTTTTAAATATTCTGTATGGACACTGCTACTGCCAAGAAAGGGAGGAATCATACTCTTCGCAAAGATTTTACAGAACCGTGGAAAAGCAATGTTCACCGCAGACCACTTTCGTTCACTTCCTTGTAACATCTATGATTACGGATTACAAAAAAAAAAAAAAGAGAGAACGATTCTTGCAACGCGTTGACACGTGACAACGTCAGTAACCGAGGCAACGATGACGGTGTAGTTGTCATTGGCTTGTCCTTGAACCGACAGAGACCATCATTATCATGAGAGTCAAACGAAAGACGTTGCCCGATTGAATTTTGTCGTCAAACAGTATGTGAGGCCGTCACTTGAGTATCGTTTCGCGAAAGAAGGCGAAATATTCTTTCTCGCAAGCTTGGCGTGATGACCGACATTATCACGCTGACCGATAACGGATTCCTATTGATTTCTGATCATGTTAATTAGTTTCTATTTTTTTCTGCTTAGACCAATATATATGTGTATATACATATATTGTGTATATATTTTATTTACCGCAGGGGTCGACAGAGCACGCAAGAATGAAAACAAAAAGCAAAAAAAAAAAGAAAAACCTAACCTATTTGCGTTTTTTTTTTTTCTTCTTTTATAGAACTCGCAGATGAATGACCAAAAAAGATGATAAATCCGATTGTGAATACACGTTTGGAACAATCAAGACAGTGTTTATTAAAAGAGAGGGAGGAAGAGGTTAACGTTACAATTCTTCGACGCATCTTTTGAATACGAACGAAACGTAGTTTAGAAAAAAAGAGAAAAGAAGGACAACAGAAGAACGAAAGATCATCTGAATTTTGAACGACCCTTAATTTATAAGGATATAGATATACATTGTTATCTATCAGCGTTCGAAATATTTTATTCGTTCTAAGATATGTGAACCACTGACTGAAGCATCATTCTATCTGCTGATTCTTTTTTTTTTTTCTTTCTTTACTCTTGCACACTGCTGTGCCCTGCTGCTATTTTTCTTTTTTTTCCCCCCTATTTTCTGTCTATACTAGCTTCTCGCGGTAACGTAATTTGACAATTAAATACGCGTAAATAAATTTGAAAGATGAGAGAAAAGAAAGAAGACACAGCATATTACACACAGACGCAAAATTGTTTTCTTTTCTTCTTTCCGACCAACAGCGCACCGCTAACTGCAGAATATAGTATGGAAATTTATTGTGAGAACCTTAAGAGAAAATGAATAAATTTAATTTGAGAAAAAAGAAGGCTTCGTTCGTATATTTTTTTTTTCTTCCACCGCTTTGTGACTAATAAACTAATAATTCCTCGATCAACGTTAATGTTAATATAACAATATAATTATTATATAATGTTAATAACAGTTAGTTACTAGACAATGATGTTCGAATTTTTCGTGTATATAAATAGTCTTTATTTAACAACAAATCATAAATCAAAATTACAAAAAGTTTGATGCTATTATCGTAAAATTTTGTATAACGTGTGCGTAGAATTGACGAGAGATTATGAATTTTTATAGTTGAGCAGAGCAAGGCATTTTAATACTATCTAGTTTTCACCTTACATCGGTTACAAAAATAATCAGAAAATATATATATATATGTATTAGGCCTGCCAAGGAAATAAAACGACGTACGCATCGTTTGCATTGATCAATTGAAAATTTGAAATGTTTTGCGCGGTATAAAAGAAAAACTTAACGTAGAAATAATGATTCTTCTTCTTTAACGAACCGTTGTTTTTCGCAATTAATTTACAAAGATGGTATTAATCGTACGCACAGGCCTAAACATTGTACATAGTATTTCACAAATCTCATACAGTTAACACAGCCTTATGTTCTTTATTACATGATATTTTAAATATCTAATAAGTTATTTGTATTTTTTCTCATAAGAAAGACTAGTCAAAATGAGACTAGAACTGGAATTGAACATTTTTTTTTTTTCTTCATTGAGTATAGGAACTTTGATTGTCGAATGTATCTATCTAGAAAAAAGAAAAGCTATCGCAGATTTAATTAGTATTAAATTAGTATTGTTCAGTCTACTTGTAGATCTTTCAAGTGTATAAATGTTCATTGTTTACATGAACTACAAAATATTTACTTGGATCACGAAGTAAAGACAGAAATAATAATTCATTTGTTTGGCACGTGATGTTATAAACGATCAAAATTTAATCATTACTGTATCAGTAAGATTCAATTGACTTTAACTAAGTTTCTTCTTTCTTGTTCTTGATGATCATAATTGATTAGAACAAGAACATCTTTCTTTCAATCTTTTATCTTTTTTTTTTTTTAATTTTTGTTTTTTCTCGAATAATAATTTTTTGTCTTTTTCATTTTTTAATTTTTTTTTTCGCTATCTCGAGGAGATAGTTTTTCTGTAAATATAGCTGCTTGAAATATAAATTTAATGTTCTGTATGTTTATTAAATTAAGGATAAGTACTTTCTAATTTGTATATAAATATTTTTAAGTCTAAAGAAAATTCAATGACATGTCATTCTTTTAATTTTAAATATACATTTTTTTCCTCTTCTTTTTTCTAATTTCTTTTTTTTTTTGTTTTTTTTTTTTCTTTTTATTACGTTGCATTGAATCTATATCGATTCTTGTACAAGTAACTTTCAAGAACAACTAGAACTTTTGTATCATACTCTTGGCTGGCTATCATATCAAATAAATTGTAGCAGCCTGTGTAAATGTAAGGCACCGTACTTTTGTATTCAAAAATTTGGAAAAAAAAAAGGAACTTTACAAAAAGCCTACGATCGAAATGCGAAATATACGACAAATAATACTTTCGTACAAAAAGAAACGTTTCATTCATATACAATTGCTGCCATTAAACCATTCGATTCGATTTGGCGTAACGTTACGAATTTTAAATATTCAAAGGAAACTCGCGCGAATATTCTCTTTCTTTTTTTCGCAGTACGAGCGTAAACCCGCGCTTTCTGCGAGTAGATGTTTAGCAAATAGCAAAATAAAACAGAAACGAAACAAGACGGGAGAAAAACTCGAGTTCACAAACGCAACAGAATGAGCCGTTGCGCGAAAGCGCAGACTATTATCACAAGACACGAGCATATGTTAGCTCCGAGGTAAGCGTAAACGAATCACCTCGTTGTACTGTGTTTTATCTTAAATCACCAGTCGGAATAGCCTCGAATTGCACCGAGAGAGGCCAATTGCAAAAAAATGAAAAAAAAAAAAAAAAAAAAAAAAAAAAAAAAAAAAAAAAAAAAAAAAACCGCTTTCCGAATGTCCCAAGTTATACTAGATAGTGCGAGTATTTCTGCGCCAGTCTGCGCGAACGCGATTACGTTACGATGTAGGGTGAAGCAGAATCCACCTTGATGAATATTCTGGCCAGATCGTGATGCTCTTTCAGATTCTGGTACGTGCAATCGAACACGTGCTTGATCCTTGAGAAAACATCCGGATCGTAAACTGATCTCGCGGTGTTGGTCAGATCGAATGGCTCTGCAAAGACATAAATCAGTCGATGAGAATAGAGTATTTTCAAATTTGGTATGTTACTCACCTTCGATACACAAGTATTTCCATTGATGGGGGTCGTTCTTGTATGAACGTGCCCTTCGGCACTCTTCTATGGGTATTTTTTCTGCCAGCCGGACTGATATCGCATATTGATTGAAACTGATTAAACTTTATTTAGTATGGCGTCTTTTCGTCGAGACACGATCGTAGTTTCCTTTCCTCTTTGTACTTACTCGAACATAACGTAGTAACGAAAAAACTCCACGAATAGTTCCCCTAACGGTTGTCGATTCTTAGGCTGGAGTACAGAAGCTGGAATGTCTAGTTCTTCCTGAATGTCTATGCAATGGATGTCCGTGTGCGGTGTGAATTTACCTTCGTAAAGCGAATGCAGACACGGTAAAACCGGTGGATCGACACCGCCTAAAAGGAGGAACAGAAAGAAAAAAAAAAGACATGTAAACATGGATTAATAAAATTAAATGGGAATGAAATACATACACTGCAAAAAATGAATAACCATAAGAACTAAGGAATAACTGGATATTGTCATGTTTTTGGCATCATTGATATTCTGAGATTGTGCCCAAAGTTTAACTACAAGTACCAGCGGTCTTACTCTCCAATCAACTGCAAAACATTTGAGAAAATACTTCCAGAAACTAAAACATCATACATATTTCTTTTGCTTTGTATTTTTTTACTTATGTAATCACAGTTGTCTTACTTCGAGAGTAACAATAGAGAAGGTGAGTATTTCGAATGCCGACAGCGTTGTTACAATTTAAATCAACCTCTAAATTTTGTATCGAATCATAGAATTTTAGAATCGGTACCTTTGCTTGTATAAGCTCTAATTGTTCTATAAAATCTGTTTGCATAAAAACAGTGATCTCGTTAATTCGAATTGATACAAGGTCAAGACACTTTCAGTGCAAAAGTTAAATATCTCGATTAACACACCGCATCTCCTAAGGCATTTCAATATTTGCTCCAAATGTCCAATGGCTTCGTTCCTTTGATCCATTTCTGTATGCCTCACTAAAAGGCACATGTCAACATCGCTATTATCTGACCCAAAACCGTTCATCGTTGAGCCAACCAAGAACAATCCATACTTTGGGAATGCAGTCTGGAAATGAACGTCGTGAACTTGAGCATTTGTTTGATACGTACAGCACCAACGACGATGTGAAACGATCATTGGGTTACTTTGATGTAAACATAAAGGTATCTCCAAAGCATCATCTTGTTCCTATAGACAGTCTCGGTCTGTTGATTCATCATGAACTTCGACCAAACGTCCTTTGAAAGTCTGTCCCAAATTGATCCAGTGAACAGATCGTCCGGTGAACGAGTCACCTCGATTAAATGCGACCTGGCTAAAAAGCGATCTGGGGCAATACCGTATCTGGGAAACATATGATAATTGGGTGACAAGAATCCCATGTATCTTTTATTCCTAGGCAGTCTTTGAGGAGGTGGACTGTTTCTGCCTGCAATTGCAATTTGTCTCTAAAGTAAACAAAAAGTTTAACTTTTGCTGTACAATGTACACATACCTGAATGATACCTTCTTTTGTTCTGGTAAGTTTGTACTTGATTCCTAGACGTTGACACGGTAGTGGGGTAACAATTAACAGATCTTTGATGATTCTGATAATACTGATGTATAGAATTATTTGAAATTATACCATACTGCATTACTCTGCTGTTCGTGACATTACTTGGATGTACTCTGTGTGATTTTCTGCAAGGGAAGACAATCAAATCTGCTCCGACGTTTTCTATTTAATTAACGATACTCACTTCATGTTCTGTTCTACCAAGGAGATTACAGAATCTCGTTCATCTGAGCTTTCTGTTCGACTGCTATCGGCGTGATGCTTGTTCGGCGTGGGAGACCGAGAACTAAAACCGCTGTCGCTGCCGTATTTCTCATTATTCACGTAGGATTCGCGGAACGAGGTTCTCTTATTCAATTTGTTGTACCAATTTGACTTTTTATTTGCCAGACCGTTATTGTTTGGCCTGAATGTTAGATGCGGGGAGTGTATGAGAGGTGCGTTGTTCGACGTATTTACGTGTCTCTGCCAGTGTCCACGTTGGCTGTTGTTATTCGACTGCATGTATTCTACGTGTCGCAAAGATGGTATCTCAACCCCCATCAATAACTCCAATGGATAAGATCCTGTCTGCAAGAATACTGCTTGTAATCAATCCATAATCGGAATACACACTAACATTTAAAAGTCATTCAATTATGACAAACTTAACAACATACTTGGATCATGTGTCTATTCTGAGGACAAGCATCTGAGTGATACTTCGCATATTCTGCCTGATTGAATGCACTTGCACCATGAATGTGCATTGTGTGTGGTTGAACTGATGGACACTGTCTATTTGCCTGTTGGCCACCCATTATCTGCACCATTATTTGCGGCGGATATATAGTATGATACATAGTCAAAATAAATATATAAAATGCTACAAAAGAATGCTTATATCTACTAGGGAGCTTTTATATTCCTTAATAAGATAATTATTATAGCATATAGCACACTGTGCAAAATAAAGGTACTACTAATTACATAGACTTGCAACAGATATAAATTTAGAAAAGAAAATTTACAAACAAAAGGCATATATTACACGTATTGTCACTAACGAAATTTGAACGTTTCCCCTGTTGCGTATTTTCTCATTGGACATGTAATACTCTATTGACTAAATGTTTGCAGGAAACAGGGTTGAATGTAATTTGTTAAGAAACAAGTTGAATCGATACGAAGCATTAATTGTATTCTGATCAACAATCGAACGTGTAACATGAATCTCAGCAGAACAACTTCAAATATAAACCATGTATCTTATATTTCAATGCATCTCGCTCCTCAAAATGAGCTCCACAAAAATTCTCATCAAGTTATTTATAGTTTCTCTTTGTTTCTCTTATTGGTATCTTGTTTATTATCGTTCAATCCCAACAACAGATAACACTCTTGCAATGTTTAAATATCAATCACTTCTTTTTCAAACTCTCAGCAAAGGCTGTGAGTGTTACGCTTTGCAAGATGCACGCCTGAAAAAAATAAAGATGTATCAACAGACATTTTCTCATTAACAACGCAGTAATTTTACCACATACTAATCGCAATAAACCAATCTAAACAATAATAACAGCAACAATAGTTTCGCTAGGTAGGAATTTTCTAGATTTATAGGTTAGACACCGACGTGCTGGCTGTGTACAACCGGAGGAATTGTTTCAAACGCGTTGCAACGATCGCAGATCGTGCGTGTTTGGCATCTATCCGGCTAAGCTCGGTGTGGAATCACACGGAAAGAAAAAAAAAACCCACCTGTCGTGTAAATAATAAGGGAGGAGAACGGTTAGTCTGGGAAGAGAGTGAGAGGATCACCAGGAACTGGAAAACCAACAGGGACAAAATACGTACAATTTGCGGATTAGTATCGGTAATCACCGATAATACAATGAGAAAACGACGATACCTGTTCTCTGTCGCCATGTTACGAGGATCTGTTTTCGATTCACCGTGTTGCTCCTCCAAGGAGGTCCACGATCTGATCGTCTCTCCTCAGAGCAGTTCCCTCTTAAGACACGGACGATCTTTCAAAGAGCGACCTTGATCACGCGATCGTATCTCCCGCCGAAATCACCACCGAACGACACACCGATATTCAAGCAGCGAGATACGTGTGTTTCCCTACGACGATCACGATCCTCGGGAGCTGCACGAGGCTCTCGACACTTTTAACGCATTCCGACCGACTAAACTTGCCCGTTTGAATTTTCGAATTCCTCCGTGTGCTAAATGTCTGTTTCTTTTCTTTCTCTCTCTCTCTCTTTCTCTCCTCTCTTTCGATTTGACACTAGATAGCTGCGAAACGCGGCGTCAGATGGCGTCGCGGGAGATGGCGATTTACCAAACGAGCAATTGGAAAAAGTTGCCGATCGTTTCTTTTATCATTAGCACGGACGAGATATATAATTATTGTACATGTATGACAACACGAACGAAGCATAGATTTATACAGGGTGTCCCATGTGTTTTTGGGTATGTTACAATTGAGTTGGAGGTGATTCTGTAAGAAGATACCCCATAAGTAATGTTCTTCATGTGAAGATGTAAATTCAGTATTCTCTTTTTTTTCTAAGACGGCATTTAATTAAGTATAATATAGATTGTACACCTACTATAGACTATAGTCTTTTTTTTTAAGTAGTACAAGTTCATTTATTCATACATTGGGATATTTCAGCATTTGCTCAAGTTTGAATCAACTAAAAAATATTTATAGTAAACTAAATTTTCAAACTCGATTTTCTCGGAAACTTTAAGGCTTTAATAAAAAATTTTATTCTTTGTTTTTGATTTGTTTTCTTCATATAGAATCACCACCCATTATGGGACACCTTGTATATAAAATGTCCAAAATAAAATATACCCAATGAAAATATACAAAGTTATAACATATTCAAAAATATATGAACTTGTCCAAACATTCCTAATCTATTTATGATTGAAGGAAAAGTGATAAATTCATTTAGTTGAATGTATATTTCATGCTTTTCATCAGTATACTGATATATAGAACAAGTTATTATATTGTAATAACATGAGATGAATTTTTTTATTAAATAATTACATACATTCATTCAATGTATGTCGAAATGCATGCAAATTGGAAATTTCATCTGATATTTTTTTGTAACTGTAATATAAAATGGCAGCCATATTGTTAATTCTTATTATAAATATTTTATTGAGAGAGTAGAGATGAAGAGTGGATATCCTTTTTATATATATATATATATATTTTTAATTATATATGTAAAAATTGTAAATAGTTTTACTTGTCTATCACTTTTATTCGCCAATTATCGTAAAAAGTTCCATGCAAAAGGTGAAATGCTTTGTATAAAATCACTGAACTGAAAGTTTCACGAAAAAGAAAGAAAACAAATGCCTCCCCTAGAACAGAAGAACAAGAACTCGAGGTTCACGTAGAAGTGCGTTTACACCCTGCGGCAGCACTCTAATCTCATTGCATCTAGAATTTGTATCGTACATCATCTTCAATACACCTGTCTGAATCTTAGTTCGCAGAATGCTACGATCCGGTAATGATTTAGGCTGACGATGAATACTGCTTCCTGAGCCTCTGAAATTCTATCTCTTTCTGCAAATATTCTTTAACGAACGGATGTTCCAAGTGCGAATCCTTCAGCTGGCTCAAGTAACGGTTAGCAACCTCTGGTGGCTTTCCCATATGCTGGGAAAGTACGATCATGTTGATCAATGTGTCTGGATTATTACTATCTTTGTCCAGGGACTCTTGCAAAGCTGTCTCGGCCTCCTCGTATTTGGCTTGTCCGATGAAACAGGTGGCCTGCCCGTTCAACAACATGCTCGTGCTGGAATGCTTGTCTATCATGTCCTGCAATCACGACAAGTGTATCAACAAACTGCTTTACAAAGTTGAAATGGAGTTTTACGCGATGTATAATCTTACTTGAAATATGTAATAAGCATCTTGCAACTTGTCGCCTCCGCTGCTTATGTTCAGCCACGCCTGTGCCAGCTGCGTCAACGTGGCATCATCATCCTTCTCCTGCATGGTAAGCAACTCCTTCTTCGCCAGGTCCAGCCGGTCCATCTTCAGGTAGATCTGCAGCGTGAGTGCCAGACACTCCAAATGATCCACGTTACGGAGTATCCTGAGCGCTGCCTCCAGATTCTTCTCGTGATAGTAGATGGTCGCGGCGACGATCAGGAAATTGTGGTTGTCGTAGTTAGCCCGGCTCGCCGCTTGTTGCAACTCGGCGACGATCGTCTCCCGGCGTGCCGGATTCGCGAAGTAGTCAGCCAGCATCTTCAACGGCTGAAGGTCAGGGGGGGAAGAGTTGTTGATCTCGTCCAGCACGACACGGAACTTTCGTTGCGCTATGTACGCGCGGTACAGAAACACATCTCGTTCCATCATCACCTCCGACGAGGATGACTGTAAAAAAAAAAATCATATCAGCGTTACTACATTAAACGACGCGAAAATTAAGTCAACGAACAGACAAGCAGAATATAATTCGGGTTAGGTCTTCCTCCCCGGAGGGGAGGAGGAAGGGAGAGAAATGGTCTCGACGAAGAGACGAGGAGAGAATAACGCTAGGTGAAATAACACATCGGGGCGAACAAACCTTGATTTTCTGCGCCTCGTTGATACATTGCTGGTAGTTGCCGATGTAGAAGTGATTCTTCACGTCGAACAGTTCGTCGACGTCCGCTTGCTGCTGACGTGCCATCTTGTCATTTCGATAATAGTGTTTCATTCGGCCTACGTGTTCCGGTTTTCAAAAACCGCGCACTGCAATACCGACCGTTCCACCTCGTCTCGGAGCCTATTCGCCACTTTACGTATTTTTTTCAATTTAATCATTTCTTTCTCTCTCTTTTTTCTTTTTCTTCTTCGAAGTTTCAAGGTTGATCCTTTCTTCGAACCGTCGGATGATTTGATTCACCAGCGTAGGTTCTCAAACGGAGTTTCGCGCGTCAACGATCGTACGTTGTATCCTTGTTTATTATGTGACACGCTTCGACGTAGAATGTGCGCTGTTAAACGTCGTAAGAAAAAAAATTTGTAAAATGTATGTAAATACGTTTCATGCGTTAATTACGGTCCACGTGATACGGTTGCATTTTAAAATAAGATGCAAATTATTTTTCCAAAAGTAACATTTGCAACGACACCGTATCAGTCATCGACTCGACGATAATTATAATTTGTTATATCACGTATTTGCAAGTGTCAAATTATTTATTCCATTAACGGTACCCTTTTGAATATTTAAATGTTCGAGCGACGTAATTCAAACGTATTTTTGAAAACGTTTTTCTTTTCATTTCTAGGTTAATCGTTGAAGGGCAGTTTACCAATCGAGGGATGTTGTAAAGTGAAATAAAAACTTAAAATAAATTTTTAAAAGCGACTTTATACGTCGAAGTACCATATATACGTATGTATAACAATTTGTACCTTGTAACACAAACAATTTTATTTTAAATTTTGACTTTTTGATGTGTAGAACGACATAACCTGCTTTTTGTGAGTGCAAGACAAGATATCCTCTTTATCTAAGATAAGGCTCAAAGATGGATGTCAGTACGTTGTTTAAAGCAAGTGTGAAGACGGTTAGCCTTCGTAACAAAACTCTGGGAATTGCTGATGGTACGTGGAACCAAAAAAGGGCAAAGAGTAAAAGTGCCTTTTTCATACAAGCCCAAGGTGTCGTTGCACAGATCTCAAAGCTACGCGAGTTTCTGTTGGAGAACCGTAAGGCGTACTTGAACTTTTCCAACTATTTGTCAAACGTGCCGAGCATGACAGACGCTGATCGCGACAAGATCGACATCGGCGCGCAGAAAATAATGAGCACCTGCTCCCAGCTGATCAAGGAACTAAGAAGAGAGATAGCAGGCTCCGAGGTTTCTCCACAAAACTTGGAGCATAGGGAAATCATGTTGTTGTTGATCGAGGATTACCTGAAAAACGTATGCAAGATCTACTCAGAACAGAAAGCTATACGAGTGAAAAGAGCAGTGGAAATAAGAAAGATTGCCAAACTCGAACTAGACACGAAGCCTGTTAAACCATTGTCCGAAGTGAGGAAACTTAATTCGAACGCAAATGAGGACAGTGAAGACAAAGAAAGTAAAATTGACTCCAGTGAATCCAGTCCTATGAAAATACAAGAAATAAACGGCGATGTGAATGCACTGATGTATGAGGAAGAGATATCGCCTGAAGATGTACAAGTGTTCGAGGCAGAAAACGAGCAGCTGTATAATGAGCTTAACACATTGACGGAAGAAGTGAAACAAATAGAAAGCAAGGTTGTGCATATAGCTGAACTTCAAGAAATATTCACGGAAAAGGTATTGGATCAAGATAAGGACCTTGATCGTTTGATGACGACCGTCGTTGGGTCAACGGAGAATGTGAAGGAAGCAAACGAACAGATTAGGCAAGCGATCCAAAGGAACGCCGGACTCCGAGTGTGGATCCTTTTTTTCCTACTAGTTATGTCATTTTCTCTATTATTTCTTGATTGGTACAACCCTTGAAATAAACGAGTACGTATATCATCTCTTATTAAGGTCGTTTGTACATACTCCTGAAGGTTGTTGTATGTGAAATATATATATCTTACTATCGCTAGTTTGGAAATGAGTGAAACATTTGCCAAAATATGTCACTGTATTTTATCCCCAAACATTTTACATAATAGCTACATCTTACAGTAAAATTTGTAGTATATGTATATATTTACTTATATATACACATTCGCATATGTGCAACCACCACATACAATTTCTTTCATTTTTTTTCTTATCGATATTTGGTTCAACGCAAAAGTCATTCTGTAAATTAATTAAAGTGTTGGGAAACACTTCACAGGATAAATCCTCTTGTACATTTCATCATTTAAAGAACGTTAATGCTATCTTAACTTGAAGTGTTTAGAGGCAACTCGCTTGATATTTGTTTTCTTACTGAACATATACCCATTATGAATAAGTAATGAGTTCTATAAATTCCTCTGGGATATATATCCAGTACATAAAAATTGTAATGTAAATAGATTTTGTTCTGCGCTATAATTTTACGTAAAAAAATATTTACAGGACACATCCACCCACTTGTCTTTGATTTACAGTTATTTTAATATTTGTTGCGAAGTCACCGAATTACAGTTAACGAATACAAGTTAGAATCATATCTTAATGAAATCTTAATGAAAAAATAGTTCTTATAACAAATTGTCTATTTCCTGATGGTGAAAAGTTTGTTTCCTTTTTTGAAAAAAAAAAAAAAAAAAAAACAGATAATTGTTTATGTAAATGCGAGGAGAAAATTGCTCTTGAAATGTAATAATAATTCGTGTGTAATTGAATGCGTTATTTGATATATGAATATGCTAAATACGAAAGAAAAAACAATATCAAGTTATTTACAACATTAATGTAAATATGAATTATTATTAGATTTCTAATTATATTATACTATTCGCGTATCGTTTTAACTTTCTGCAAGGTGATATTTTAAAATAATACGACAAATTATCTGTGTTAAAAAACTTAGTGTTAGTGAAATAATAACATCGGATCGCGAAAATTGCGACTATAAATTACGAAACTTCTTAAAATTCATTTGTTTTTTTGTTTGCTTTTTTTTTTTACAAAAGTCATTTTTGATTTAGAATTTGATTTATACAAAATGTTACAAAATTCTAACTCTACGTTTTTTGTTTTTTTTTTTTTTTTTTTTTTTTTTTTTTTTTTTTTTTTTTTTTTATAAGTAATGTGATATATAATAAACATATATACGTTCTGTATAATGAAAAAATCGCAAGAAACAGAAATCTTTACATCGGATGTCCGTACAATACGCAATATATAAAACATTCTTCGACATTGTCAACCATAAAGTAATTTTACACATACTTTATTAATAGAATCATATTTAGCTACTGTAATATAATTTCTTTTTTTATCAGACACTTATCAAAAATAGATTTTGTAACGTCATTGGAAAACTACTGAAACAACGACTTTAAAGTACCAGTACTTTATAATAGATACGTGAGAATGAAAGAAAATAGATGTGCTTTGAAGTGTCTGATAATATTTGGAAATAATATTCTTGTTCTATTGGATATATCTAGAATGATATAATGAAAATAGAAGATTTCATAATTTATGAAGACAGAATATCTCACCTGTTTTCAAAATTATATGTGCAATTTCCCGGCTGTTAAATGTAGCTAATTTTTTTTATAATTGTATTTATAACGACTTTTTCCATCATACGGACATAATTTCCCCTCTATCAAACACTGAACGACCCATGTCGTGGAAAGCAATGGGATTTGTAGTTTACTAGCTTCCTCCACTGCCCACGACGGGCATAAACTATTTGTAAGAACTACAGTTCCCTGTTCGAAACTTTCCACTGCACCTGAAAATCGATTTTCATTTAACGTTGACGCTTATTTTTATACTTTCAATAAAAGAAATATCATCTCATTATCACGAATAACATTCATACCTCGTTTATCTGCTAATATGACAACAGCACCTGCGTTTTCACAGACCTGACGCCAAAATGGAGCAAACTGTTTCTCAGACTCTACAACTGGAATTATTACAACAACCTGAGTGAGTGGTTTGTTGCTGGGTCTTTGGAACATTTCAATATACGCATTTTTTTCCAAACTCCATCCCGCTGGCAATCCATTTTCAGCTGGATTTACCAGCTTGCCCTGTAAGATGCAAGAAATCATAAATCATTCATGCTACATTGTACACAAAGTACGATATAACAGAATTACAATACTTACCTCCTGACAGCATCTGATTATCCAGTTGTGGTTGTAAACGGGTATACCGACCGAAAGACACAGGAGGGCTTTTGCAGTTGTGTTTGGCACGTTCGTTATTAGTTTCGTGTTTTTGTACTCGTCTTGAGGGATTTCGTTGAAGTCTGCATAGACCTTTCCACCACCTGCCACGATCTGTTTGGTCAGTCTATCTCTTATAAAGGGTTTCTTCGACCATTCTAACTCGTCCTCCGACGTTCCTGGATCCGAGGATTTGTCATATTTGTCGTCCTTGTCGTCCTGAAACCGATCGATGCTCTCTAACGTTACGCAAGTAAGAAGAAAAGACATGCCTTTAAAGAGATTCGAGTCCGTGTGCGGAATCGGGCCAAACGTCGCGATCGTCTCCTCGTCGTCCACTTTCTTTTTACTTCTCGACTTGCTCTTGATTCGACTCTGCGGCCCTTTCACAACCTGCTCGTACGGGGTCCCAATTATCTCCGGTTGTATGCCAATGGAGAATTCAGGGTCAACCTTCATAGAGACGTTCGAGTCGCTGGAAACGCCGTCGCTTTCGGTGAACACCTTCCTCTCTTTCTTGATCGTTGACGTTATACCCGAGACCGACGGCTCTACCTCGAGTCTGTTCGCGAATGTCTGAATTAGTCTAGATTTAGGAGTGGTAAAACTGGGCGTGGAAATACGTTTGGAACGTCGTTTTCCATCGACCATGTTGTCTAACGTTACTTGGCCCAGATGTTTCGGCGTGGATGGTAGGTTTTTGTTCTCCAGATCGATCTCCTCCTTCAGCACTTGAGCTTGATCGGCCGACAATGAGAGATCTTTGATCTGTACTCGCAGCTTCTCTCCTTCGTCCGTCTCCACCGTGTAATACACCTCGTTACCTATAGTCTCAGCGTGAACGATTATGCCGCACGATCCGTAGTCGTAGTTCTTGGTAGCAGCGTATACGGACAGGCCCTCCTTCAAAACCTTCGGTATCGGTATAACAAAATCCTCTATGAGTATCTTGTTCTTTCCGTCGTAGAAGTTTACCTTGTACTTCATTTTTATCTTGTCGATGACCGTGCCAGGGTAATAGTTATTGTCGGACCATTTCGCAAACACGTCCTTGCCGATCAACTCATCTGCTATCACGTGAGGCTTTGTCGAAACGTTCACGGTGCTCGGCAGTACATTGCTCGTATGTTCCATTTTACTCTTCTTTTTGTTTGGCGTGCTCTCCGCGAGGCTCGACACCTTTGGAATTTTGTTCACTCCGTTCGACTGGTCGTCCGACTTGGCGACTTTACTTTTCGGCCTCTTCACCGCTTTGCTCTTCTTCGTGCTTTTGGGAGTTTGCAGCTGGACCACATCTTGCTGTACTTCCGGCGTGGAACACCGGATCTTCTGCAATTGGTCGTCTATCCTCTCGTTGCTGATGTTGTACGATTCAGTTCCAGCGAGTTCTGCGTTCGCGAAGTTCAATATGGTCGTTGTAAGAAGGCGACTGTTCTGCCATTCTTTGTTCAGACGTTCGTACGTCTCGTCTATTGCTTGTTTCTCGGTCAGCGAGTGAATATCTTGCGCGAGTCTCTTTGCATGTTTCGCTGGTGCTCTTGGCAAAGAGAAGTGTATATTGTCTCTTATTGCAAGCTTGGCTGCCAACGAAGCGGCACTGGACACAGAACTCAAAGAGCTGATTGTCGAGGCAAATGAAAGTCTGGAAGGATTCAATTGATACAATTGCGGATTACTATTTACTGAACCGGGGGATGCTTCCTTGTTGTCATTACCAGATATATCTGCCAACGAAGCAGACGTGTCATTGTTTTTCTGCCTCGATAGAGTGGGCTCTGCAGCGATAGTCTCACACTGCACATTCGTAATCTCTTTACTCACATATTCCTTTGTACCTTCGTCAATGTGCAGCAAGCATTTCATTCTGACATATATACCGATCTCTTTCTCCATTTGTAAGGCTTTCGTGATAGAACTACTATGAGTCGAGTTTGATTTACTCTTGTCATCTACAATAAAAACATCAGGCTCATTGTCACTTACACTTAACAAATCGGCGTGATCGCTGTCTTTAGACACAGAGATTGCTTTAATTTGTTTATTTGCATTATGCGTAACCGCGCCAATGCTCTCTGCTTTATCCAGAACTGGCATATCGTTAAACGTGTCTGACTGTAGACTAACAGTGCTGTCTGTGTCGCATTTCTTTGATTCGCTACTTCCATTTACCAATTTATTGCTAGACTTAACCAAATCAATAGACGATTCTTTGGTATTCTCTATTGATTTATAACTAAATTCACTGCTACTTTTAGTTTCTAAGCAACTTTTGTATATTGTGTCAGATTTGGTGTTATCCAGGCCACTCCTAGTTTCTGTTTTCCCCTCCGATTCTTCTTGAGACGAATCCAACACTATCTTTTCACCGTCTTCGTCAATTTCTACTAATTCTGTAGATTTTGGCTTAACCTCGCGAATAGTAGTTTGATCGTACAGAAGTTCTATGCTCATTCTTGATTTAGATATGTTGGTGGAGCACGTGTTGGTGTGAGATTCGCTTGATTCTTCAGGAACCAGGATTTCTTGAATACTGCTGCTGTTTTGTTGCAAAGTGGTATTTCTTGCAGTATCAATACCATTTGCCTTGTCTTCTGTTTTCTCGTTGTATGTTACTTTACTGTCTTTCGCTTCAATTGGTTTGGTACCATCAGTGTTTTTATTACCCAGATCAGATTTTAGTTTCTCGACTGCAACGGCTTTTAAGGGAGAATCTTTCTCTACTTGCGTTGTCCTATTCTCGCTGGACTCTGACGTATCTTTCAACTCTGATATCTCATCATTAAAGTCTCTCTTCGTAATAGCTTGATATAATTTCGACGTATCGTTAAAATTTTTGTTCTTGTCTATCTCGTAATCTTTCATTTCCAACTCGGGGTTCTGCTTCTCGTCTCTGGCTCTCTCTTTATACGTTGCTGGCAATTCTACTACGTCTTTCGCGTCCTCGTTTTCCTCAGCATCCTGAGTCTCTGCAATTATAACATTTGCGTTTGAGTAATTTTTTGGAAATTCATGATGAGAATCGTCAGACTTGAACGAGTGGCAGCTTTCCTCTTCCTCCTGAATTCTCTCCTCAGACGTCGTATCCTCTTTGGACGCTAGTCTTAAAATTTTCACAGGTGGCTCATCAAGCGATTCTGCCTTGCGTTTCAGACTGGTCACCACATTAGCAGCAATTTGCTTCTGGCATGGCGAAGAAGTTGCAGGTGGCGTGCACTGTATTATTTCCTCATCCTCGTTGGTATACTGCTCTTTGCTCTGCGGGACGCTGCTTTCGTTCACAGTTTTCTGTTCTCCCTCATCCTCTTTTCTTTTCGTAAGCTCGACATCCTGCGTATACTCCACCTTTACACCATCGTCGTCTTGTACCTCGGGCATCGTTGTCTGCTCGACCGTTATTCTCACTTCGTTCAAAGTGACATCCACTTTGTCACCAGACACAGAATGTGGTACTTCCTTGTTCCTTGCATTCTCCAAGTTCTGCTGCGACTCGTCGTCGCTCGTATCTACCAGACGAAAGTCTTGACTTTCGTTCAAGCTGTTGACTTCGTTCGATATGGACATACTGTGCTTTTCTAAGTTTCCAGAGGACGTGTCCTGGTCCTCCATCATACCACTCTCTTTCTTCTCCGTTTCTGACATCTCTTTATCTCTCTTTTATCAGCATACTGAAATTGAAAAAGCGTATCAACAAAAGCTTCTCAATTTAAATTCAACGATTACCCTTTAAAGTTACCATTTTTCTACCAGAACGAGTTCAAATCGACGATTCACAAAAAGTCGAGGCAAACCGAACACAAAGAGGGTCGGAGCAAAATTCAAGGACACCCTATATATCAATACGGTGTTTACAACGGGAATGGAAGGTTACGGCGGGAACGTCATGTGATCGGGAAAATCTCGCGAAAATCACGAGTCGCGGGGAACGGTACTCACCACGATTGATTACGCGCAGCGAGACGTGTCTTCCGAATTGAGTTACTCGTACCTCCTTGTTAAAATATTACATTTGCTGCAGTAGATAAATACGTTCGCCGGCCGTAGAAAGCGGGAGTTCATGTACTTAACCGTCCACCGTTTTCGCACTTCCTCTTTCTAACCTCTTGCTACGTAGCCGTCGTTCTCGCGCGTTTCCACTCGTTACGAATCACAAAAGCGATACTAACGATCCCGTTTCTCATAGAAAATGCCACGGAAACACCACTTTTCGGTCGCGGAGCAACACAGGCCAAAAAACGCCATCGCCACTTCTGGTGAACATAGATTACATAACTGTAGATTTGCAAGGTTTCACAGCTGGGAAACAAAGCACATTTGCGTGTCGGCCAATCACGTTGCTTCTTATAAACGACGCGGCGCGCACTGCGAGTCGTAGACTATATAGTCTACGGCGCAACGTTGTTATTCGTGGCTGAGTTTCCCGGCGGCCAATCAGAGCTCGCGACACGTGTCATGTGACCGACTTTGATTTCAATTAACCGGTGCAGTTAAGAACAGCAATCAATTCGTAATTTTCCCTCTCTCTTTTTTTTCTTTTTAGAAGAAAAGAAATATTAATTAGAATATTAATTAGAAGTTTTTGTTTTAGAAACATGTCGGACGACAATGTAAACATTATCCACGAGATAAACAGGTTGAATTTAGAGTTGAAGAAGAAGCTGGAAGTAATTTCAAAATGGAGAGGTATATCGCGACGCCGTTGATCGTATTAAATCCTTTCAACGTCTTCCTTCCCATTTTTCAGTCGAGTGTGCTCAGATGGAGCTGGAGTTTTTGAAACTGTACACTCCTGAATGCGTCGAGATTCTCGACTCGCTCAAAGAACTGGCCGATACGGATATCGGCTCGAGCACCGAGCCTGATTAACTCTTGACAATTCACACGCCGATATATACGACAATCAATTTCAATAATAAAAGATACCGGATACACTTACTTTGAAATATATTTATTACATTCGAATATAGGACACATAGAATGTATTCATGGCTTTTATAACGCAAAGACAGACAATATAGATACACGTATTTTTCCCTTCTTTTTTTGGTTCCTTCTGTCCGACGAAATATAAATTTACACGAGAATAGATTTAATGGCGTCCTTTCCAAACTTTATTAAATATTTCCTAATACGTTCCGTTTTGATGGGTGGAAAAGAAGAACAGATAAACAAGATACTTTGACGCAACACCGCTCTTATGTGGAAGCATTTGCGTGGAAGCGTGTATTCGAGTAAACTCAAAGAACAAAGTAACTTTTGAGAATGAACCTTTAACTCTGTGACTGCGAGAATATTGCTGAAAGTCATCATCCTATTTAAAAAAAAAAAAAAAAAAAAGAGAAATGAATTGAACGCAATAGCACTTATCCTCTTCGTTACTCGACACGACTGTTTCAATGTATTTTCCTGTTACAATTTTCTTGCGAGGCGTTTATCCAAATTTTTATTTGTTCAAAAATTACAGTAATCTTGCGATCGAAAAGTTAATAGGACAATTATTGCGATCGTATTACTCGAGACTTTAGAAATTTCTTACATTCGTGCGTATTCTCACGAAGGAAAATTTCAGTCAATTATTGTCCCGCATCGTTGCGTTTTACTATTCCATACCATTTAAAGAGGAAAAGCATCTCGCAAGTGGAACGTTCGTCAGGCTTGAAATTCAGTCGTTTCATCTTTCGTTTCAGTTACGCTAAACGATATACTCGTTTACGGAATAGAGTCAGCCTGTTGTAAACAATTATACGGGTGAAAATTCGAAGCCACATTGAATTTGAACCATCTTCATTGACGTGTTCTCGAATCCCTGACTTTGAAAGTTATTCCGAACGTTCGACCCCTTCGTTATAAGTGAAACTACTCGCTCGATAAAAGGTGAGACTCTTTCTCAGCATTCTCGTACGGCCCACCCTCAACCCCTACGACCTCGATGTTTCTCCCTCTCTTTCGGGTTTCTTGCAGACGAAATAAATACTGAAATACTGAAAGTCGACTATAGAAATGAAGCTCGATCTGAGATCACCAATTTGCTGGATAGTCACACACGTTTCTCGACAGAGGATCTTCGATGCGGTGTTGTCGTGGACGTCGCGTCGTCACACTTGATCTACACCGTTTTACTGGTCTTTTATCGGTCCGACTGTTGAGAACCAGCCATATCGTAGCTGTCCAACTGCCGCCCGTTGTAAGGGTAGTTGAGATAACGACGCCAGTAACGATAATGGTAACGCCGCAAGCAAGAGTCATTCCCATCGACACGGCACTGATCGGAAATCGCCGCCGGGGTCTGCAACTGCGACAATATCAATGCCGTGCTGGCGCACGCCTCTTTGCTTTTCGGCCCCTCTCTGATTTCTTGCGCGTCGCAGATCTTCCCCGCTTCCACTGCGTAATTACCTAAACATTCCTCTTCTAAGTCGTTCTGTACCTGAAATTAATATTCTTCATATTCTGTGTTCTCTTGCTGTCGTTTCTTCTCCTCTCAAACAGAGATGGAAACAGAAACACAGTTTGTATTCGAAGGCTCGAGCAAGCTCTTGGAATTTTAGGCTACTGACCAACCATAGTGAGTAAAGTATCTCTGAACTATCAAAATTTAAGGGAAAATATTTACGCAGGCTTTGCAGATCTGAAGCATGACACAAGGAAGGTAGAGCATCTGCGATTCGTCTCCACCTAAAGCATCCACCGTTCTGCATCGTCTCTCGATCAGTTCTAGTTCTGGACAGGCTCTGTTTTCTTCCACAGCTTCTCACGTGGAAAATGCAATCGTTAATACAGCGCATAATGTGCATGATACAGTGTAACGATCAATCAAGTTATACCTTCAGCCTCGATCAAGTTATTGACGCGTTTCTCCTTGGATTTAGGGCTATTAGCATTTTCTCGAAAGTTCGAGGTCTGATTTTGATTCTGACGGGCCCTTTGAGCTTCCATCCAGTTCCTAAGCTCATTCAGTGCTTTTCTCATCTTTTCGAAGGAATACGCAGCAGCCATTCGTGCCATTACCTTGTCTTTCACCTAACATTTCATTTAAACGTTATTACGAGACGTGATACCGATTGCGATTGCGTAAACTAACTAATCTCTTTAAACAAGTCACACCTTCTGCATGTCTATACCATCTTTCGAGTCCCCGTATTTTAATGCTTCTTCGACAATCAGGTCCCTGATGGTTTTCTGTCTCGGATCTAGCTGGTTCAGCCTGTCCTTCCTCTCATTCGCTTCCTTTTCGTACTCGCGGTCATTTGCCTTCAGATTCTCCACCATGTTCTAAGAAATCCACGATTGAACGTTACAGACTGAGCTTAGAATTAGAAAAAGGATTATGAGAGAAAGAAGTATACTCTCTGGCTCTTTGTTTGAAATTACTTCGTAGTATCGCTGTAACATCCACTCGTCGTCCTGGTTAGGTGTCCCTTGGCCAGCCGTGAACGTAGCTTTCTTCTTTCTCCTGTCAATGCCGAAGTACTGCGACCAATCGACGCTCTTTTTCCTCACCTCGATAGATTTTGACTTGTTTGACTTCGTCCCGTTTTCCGTTTGCCCTTTCGGCGGCGGAGTTACCTTCGGCGTTTCTGAGGTACTCTCGTGTTTATGGGGATCCCCATGCTGGTCATGACTATGATCGTGATCATGATCGTGATCGTGATCGTGATCATGCTTGTGGGTGTGAGAGTGATTCTGATTATCCGTCGCTTGACTGCCAAACAACGCTCCCAGATCTTGTGCGACCTGTTGAAATATCAAAGTCGAAATAAACATTTAATTAGACAAATGATTCTTGGATAATGCCAAATAACTGTCAAAACGTTTCTGGAAAGTTTCTCCACCGATTTACCTTGGGATCGGTAATTTGTTTCTTGGTAGATGTAGGCTTTGGACTCCTCTTGGCAACAGGGTACCGTTTAGCCATATTTCGGTACGTCCTCAGAGGACGTTCTATGGGATACCCACCATTCACATTTCTTCGTTCACCCATGGACAGGTACAATAGATTCGGGTCTTGTTCTCGATCGCCAAAATCGTTTTCGTCAGGCTCTCTACCCTGACTTCGGCCCATAGACTCTTTGCTTAACAATGCCCCCCACGACATCGGACCTGAATTCCTTAGAAACAATTTCACCGTTGTCTCAAATTTTATAATATCCTTCAGTGTTATTGAATTTATGACATGTTATAAGATTTACTGAGCTTTGTCGTAGAATTATAGCTATTAAGGCCATTGTTGGAAAAAGGTTTAATCCAGGTAGCAGGCTGCAGGTGAACGGTACGTATAAGGTGGAAAGAAAAGTTTGCTGGCATATATACTTACTTTGAGCACAATATACGTGTTTAAATAAAATTGGTAAAATTTATCATTTGCTATTCAAATTTATCATCCGAAAAAGTCCAACTAACAACTGCAATTTTTTTAAAAAGATATTTACCTCGGACACCCCATATATATTATACCTATTGAGCTACCTGACAATCAGCGAGTACTATAGCAAGACTGTTGCATTAGTAATACTTGTACAAGCAGAATTCAGTAATGTACTGTGCCGAAAGGTTTTTATCAATATCTTGGAAATTAATAAACATCCAAAGCTAAAATTTTACTTTCTATGTCCTCCGCTTTTCTTAAAATTTCATGTCGTCCGGGTTTTCCGGGCCTTCCTCATTGTTGATAAAATAATCCTAGCGAAGGATCTAAGAATTCGTATCAATTACTAACTCGTATATCCTGTTGCCTCGATCGCCTCTGTACCGATCGTACATCATCTGGCGAGCGTCCATGTACGCTTCGTCGTTCAAATCCCCTAAATTATACGAGGACCCGTCCTGCAGCTCCTCTAGGAACAATTTCGCCAGCTCCTTGTTATCGAAGTTCAGCCGATCGGGGCCGTAACCTCTTTTACGACTGGAACTTCGTTCGCGTTCTCGGAACAACGACGTGACTGGTTCCTCCTGTACATTATCACAATATAAAGCTCTCTCTCTCTCGTCTCTTGTGAAAATACAATGCAAGAAAAAGGAGGGGAAAATGGTACCTGCTGTTGGAGAATGTTCTCTAGATAATCAATCAGGGCTTTCTCGAGCAGTTTATTGTTCAAATCTTGGAAACCGTTTCCAACAGTCTCTAATTGCCCAGTTTCTGAAAGAAATTTCCTTTCTGTAATGAACACGGTATATTTGCCATACGAGATACATAAAGAAATCCTAACATTTAATTGTTCTCCTAAGGGGAAGGAGCATAGATGACCAACTACTGGATCTTGCCCTTATGACCATATTCACAGTTACTTTTACTAGCTCATTGTCAGTGTTTGCACAGATTCAATATTGTCCGGGTTGGTCATCCAACACAAAGTTCAATAAAATATCGTACATCAAATTTTTAAGGATCATTACAGGGCTATTATAAAAGGACGTCACTGCGAGGATCGTTGATCAAGTAAAAAGGAACTAAAGGTATCAAAATACAAGCCTCACGTTGTAAGACCAACTGTACATACAATTTCTTTATGCAACGTTTAAAGCTTAAAATATCAACAATGTTTCCTTCACATCTGTCTCTTTCCTAATTTTTTCCCTATCAATTCGCATCTACATTAAATTTTCTTTGTTATAACAGTTTATATTCATTTCATAGACAATAACTTGAAAATGTTAAACTCTACTTGGGATAAATTCGACGTTCTGCCCAGGATAAACAGGATTAAGCGGTTAATCCTACAAACTTCTCATTTTTAATTTCCTCGAAATAAATGATGAAAATCCTATCAACAACGTGAACGTGATAGACCATCGCACGAGACAATACCATTGGGTAAGAATTCTATTTCCTCCTCTTCCTCTTCCATTTCCCTTTCACCTTGACGTTCTCTGTCCAGTTTTCTCTCTCTCTCTCCGCCGTGATATTTAAACGAACGTAGATCATTGTAGTAGTCCTGCGAGTTCGTATCCAGGGATCGTTGTTTTCTAGTAATGGCGTCCAAAGCGCTCTTCAGGGACTCCTCCGTCGAATGATGGGGCAAGGGTGTCAACGCTGTCGCCAGCCCCACGAGTAAAAACGCCAGTAGCCATTCTTGAGGCAACATTTTACCTTTAACGACAGAAAAATAATCTTTCATTTACAGAATCTCATATTCAAAGATGATATACGTATACATTTGAGTACACTGTCTCGCAAATGGTTTCTCAAACACAAATAAATTTTACACACCTTTGTCCTGAGTCGCATTGTCACCCAAAACAAAGGCCTAACAGTAAATGGGATTAGGGTACAAAAATGAACACCGTTACTTCTTCTCTTGCCCTTGATACAAAGTATAAATACTTGCAAAAATTTGGAACCGAAATCATTTAGTCGTGAACAAGCGTACACTCGACAACAAACAATGGAAAGTATCATATCTAGTTGGGAACGCAGCACCTGTTTCGGATATCCCGAGGGTAAGTGTTGAACACTTGTAGATCATTGCAATATAAAGGTTTATTTAATTTAATTTATCGAAGTAAAACGGGGAAAATCCCTTATCGTGCAAAAAAAAAAAAAAAAGTGACAAGATCGAGCGTCAAGGTGAAAATCAAGAATAGTATATACAGAGGACAATCACTTCCTACTAAAATAAATCTGCAATTTTTGTTATTATATATTTAAAACAAATTTCTCTTTTCATATTTCTATATTTTTATGTTTTATAAAATATAAATATCTAATAAAATAAATAAATATAAATATTTATGTTTTATTAAAAAAAATATATATAGGTAGGAAGAAACTTTTGTATAATATATAAGTTAACTTTATAACTTTTGTATAATATATAAGTTATTACAAGTAAGATGAAGATATTAATATATAAATATAATAATTACAATGTTAGGAAATAAGACAATTAAGCTAAGGATAGATAAATATAAAATTTCACAGTGACTAATAATATAAATAGTTACAATGACAGATGAAAATAATGAAAACATTAAACAAAACAGAAAATAGATTGAAGGAATAAATACAGGTGCATAAATGCAGTAAATGCTATTCAAACCAATTTTTTTAGTCCTTTTTTAATCTTTATCTTTCTAACTTATGCCAGATAATCCAAGGCGATACAATCACGGGAAATACGAGCCGATTGCTGACAGATTGGAGAGATTAATAGCAGGTAAGCAAGCCAGTAAATCTTATAATTCAACGGTTTTTCTCAATTTTGGCCATTTCGCTGCACATTCTTTTTCTCTCCGTTTCGTCCCGGATGGCTCCATGTGCTCTTCCGATCTTCCACGAGATTTAACATTCTTTTCAAAAAAAGCAGAGAATATTAAAAGCCAAAATTTAGAAGGAACCGCTGAACTAGAAATTGATCAAAATTCGAACGTTCCTGAACGTTTTAAAAACGAGAACAAGCCTGGGGAAATCCGCACAGGTGGCAGCCCCTGCTCGTGACAGAAAGCAGAAAGCCGGTTGTGCCGTACCTGGTACTATGTACCTGTTCTTCAGAATGAAACGAAATTTTAAGAAGTGGGAGAGAGGGGAAAGAGAATCACGGATGTAAAATTTTAACGGCGAGTCTTTGTTAGTTTCTGAGATATTGATAAGAAACTTTGGGTTAAAAAAAACGATACGACTAACACAACGATCAATGATGGTATAGGTTATTGTCGGTGAGCATTGTACTGTTTACATAATGTTGGATGACCAACCACTCCGCGCAAGTAGTTCGAAAAACAAATCTGAGGACAATCTTTAGAGAAAGTTGTTTTTGTTTGAGAGTGATTATTTTCCGAAGTGGGTGTAATTTTTCCCAAGTAAATTTCATCATCTCTCAAACACTTTACAACGTCGACTGATCCGTAACATTCCTTAACTTCGTCGCGAAAAATTTAAACGATAAACAACTCACTTATCCCCGTACGAGTTGCTCTTTTCGGGGAAAAATGCACTGAGGACTGTAGACTGTTTCATTTAAAATTCGACGTCAATTTTCGGTGTAACATATCAAATTTTGTCCACACAGATGCTAACTAACAATAAGATATATTTAATTGCATTAGGATAGGTTAGATTCGGTGTGATATATTGAATTTTCTCTGACGTTACTAATTGTAAGGTTGTAGATTTAAATTGTAAGATTTTAGATAGGGTAATTAGATTTTAGGTTTAGGTTACGTTAAATTCATTTTTTAATTGAAATGTCGTTACGTAATAAGATTGGTCGATGTTGTATTTTAAATGTGATACCCGACGTCATTGGTTACAGCGTACGACAGTCGTACAACACCGACTAATGCAGCGAAGATGATCTTTTTATTTTTGTAAAATGTTTATCCGTACGAACATTTGTAAATATTTATTTTTATACGTCTGTATGAAAGACTCTAATTGTTCCAAGGTTTTTTTTATTAATTTCTCATACACTAGCAAAGATCTGCTACTAGAATTTTATTGGGGTCCTTCACTCTTCTCACTCCCCTTTAAAATTTTCTTTCATTCCAATGAACGAGTAATACCGCACCACATCTGGAAACTCTAGTTATATCTATATTTTTATCTACACGTTTGATCTTGTAGATCAAACATCTCGATTGCGTTAGATATTGAGGTGCTTAAGGTGCTTAAGAAGTTGACTTTGGTATTTGAAAATAAATAGAGTCAGGAAAAAGGGGAAAGTGTGTTAATAGTCCCGTTCAATCAGCTTTAAATCAGTATCGATTCCGCGGAAAAGCCAGCCAAGTTCCTTAACTGAAGACGTAGTAGTGAAAGCTCTAGTGATGCAACGAAGATTGCTCTAACCTCTGATCGATCGAGCTCTTTCACTAGAAAGAGCGGAACACGCTATAGCTCGATCGATAATTAGCCACCAGATGATCAATCGGTATTTTCACAAAATTAAGTATTGTTAAGCTAATATTAATTAAGAATCAATAATCATTATGAATGTAAAATGTACATGTGATATACGTATATAACGATAATCAATTTTTCTAATGATAAAATGAACCTGACGCTCGAATTTACCAAAATTAAACCTAAAACTCGAAAATATAGAAAATTAACAGTAGTCAAATACAATAAAAATACCAAACTTCTGACAGAATTGCATTAGTTAACCTATTATATAGTATACACAACCACAATTAATTTTTCTAATGATAAAATGAACCTGACGCTCGAATTTATCAAAAATGAATCTAAAACTCAAAAATACAGAAAATTAACAGTCGGGAAATGTTCGTCAAATACAATATGTAAAAATATTGAGCTTCTAACGAAATTAAGCTAGTGCTAACTTACAATCAAATATAAATATTTATCTACGATAGTGAATATAAAATGAATAAATCTTTTTTTTTTTTTTAATAACAGAAGAAGGTCATAAATTCTTGGTATTAGGGTCTCGGTATTGGCATTAAGGGAGAACATTCTCCCCTTGTTGTTTCTGAACGGCACCTCTCAGATCGATAGACGTACCTAATGCATTCCACGCGTACAATCAGGCTCTGCCGCACCGTCGTGAAATCCCATTAACATTGACCCTCATATTTCCTACGTATTTATCGCATATTTACAATATCCCCGGCATGCAATAACCGTTTCATCGAGAAAAGAGAAACGCATTGGACGATCACGTACAATTCAGAACGGATCAATAACCGATTATCAGAATGCTCGATGGTTGGTTTTCAAGCGTTTGAGCCACATTCGACGAAAATGTATGATCGCGATAATAAGTTCCGAGCATTTTTATCTCGAGGGACCGTTCACATCTAAACATCTTATCAAAGTGTAGATTTTTATCAATCAATTAACAATGAGTTAATTTTGGACCTTGAATTTGCGTCCTGAATTGAAAGACAAAGAGCTCGAAATTATTCGTGTAACTTAACCACTTGCGCTGACAACTGATTACGGACCATAACGAATGACCGAACCGTATACAATAATTCGTCGCTTTCTTTTTCTTTTGAACTCGTCGATACGATACCACTGGATAGAAATTATTGAGAAGTAATAAATTTATTATTTGTTTTGCCTGGATTATACTTAAATATACTTAAAATTGAGAAAATATTCTCGGCGTGCGTATCAAAGAGGTTAACCACTTGCGCTGGCAACTGATTGCGGACCATAACGAGTGACCGAACCGTATACAATAATTCGTCGCTTTCTTTTTCTTTTGAACTCGTCGATACGATATCACTGGATAGAAATTATTGAGAAATAATAAATTTATTATTTGTTTTGTTTGGGTTATATTTAAATATACTTAAAATTGAAAAAATATTGCATTTTGGGACAAAAAGTTCTCGACGTGTATAGCACGTCATTCCAGCGAAAGAGGTTAGATAAATCGTATATATTTAAATTTTTAAGTAATAATATATTTAAATTTCCGTCTTCTAACACTGTGATTGAATTTTATTCGCTTTATTTCTTTGTTTCTGAAACTACAGACGTGTACTCCTAACACGCGTGTATCATTTGCACGCGAATTTGACATTACGAGAATTAAAACTTACGAAATTGTGGAAAGAAAAAAGAAAAGGGAAGAGCTGAAGTATCCAGTAAAAAAAGTGATTGATCAATTACTCGATTTGATTCGCGTAGATTATTTCGCAACATAGAAAAACACCTAATTTCCCAAAAATTACGTCGGAATTAAGAGTCGAGGTCAGAAGTTACGATTAACTTACGATTATTAATTATAACAATAATAAAAAAAAAAGTTGTAATTAAAATGATGATTGTAATAAAAAATTAACAAAATTGTCATTAAAAACAATTATAATTATAATTACAATAAAAATTATCAGGAATTAAGCTCGTCAAAAGTTGCAAAAAAAAAAGAAAAAAAAAATCGTAATAAATATAGCTGTTCGCGATACTTGTATTCGTAACGAAAACTCCGACGTACAAAACATCTGCGATCAAGTATTTCGAAAGTACTTAGTTTCCAACGCTTGACAGATAAGCGCCTGATATCACACTCGCAGCGCATTATATATTTCAATTCGCGTGTTTTAAACAAGTATTTCCCTAATAAAATATCTATTACGCAGCGAACGCGATAACAGGGGCGGAAGAGGGGAGGGGGGAGTGGGAGGAAGAAATTGATCACGGTCAGAGGCGAACACGTAATGTCACAAGCACCGTAACAGATGGTGAAGCTAAACTCGCGCTAGCGACGCCAAATTTTTCCCAACGGAATATCGTGACACCTCCAAACGATACAGACAGTGTCGTTCTTAGCTAAAACAGGATTAAAAATTCGCGACTAACTGACAACAGTTGTTCAACTGCGACCTGAGACACAAGTATGCACATAATAATTTCTCTCTTCAGTTGGAGAGGAGAAATAATTTAAAAAAAAAAAAAAAATAAAAACAAGCTAGGTTGGGTCAGGTTTCGTTAAATTCCATTTAAGACTTACTTGGTTCTTAATTAGTCATCCGCGCCGACACAACCAGGTCCCAACGTCTCCTATTTGGTTTACGCGTTCACCCTCACTCTGTCGTGGTTCCGCTGTGACGATCCTCCACGGGGCTACGTGGTGGAATATTGGTCCGATCTACCTCTTTCATGACTACCGATGACACGTCCTTTTATATAGGGGGCACCGGGATCGATAGAAACGCGCATGGAATCACCGTGGAGCAGCAACAAGTAAAGGCGTGTGGGGTGTGCCTGTGAAAACACGGCAAACCGGAAAATTATAGACACGCGTTTGGAGATCAGGTCCCGGTGTATCCAGTCAATCCAGAGTGATTAGGAAGAAGAACCAGACGAATTTCAAAAGACCAGAAAATTTCAAAAGAGAATCTCCTTTCTCCACTTTTTTTTTTTTGGTTGTTTTGTCACTCTCGTTTCAAGTACAGTGTGCAGTGAGGAGCGTAATAGCGCCGATGACAATGAAAAATTGTCGACAGAAAGACACCCAACAGGCGTGACTTCGTAAAAAATAGATGCACGTAACGACCCACGACTTGATCTTGTTTTAACCTCTTGCGCTGGAACACTTTGCCACGCACGTCGAGGATTTTTTTATTTCAAATTGCAACATTTTCTCAGTTTTAAACATATTTGAACGTAACCCAGGCAAAACAAATGATAAGTTGATTACTTCTTAATCATTTCTATCCAGTGATATCATACCGACGAGTTCTAAAGAAAAAGAAAGCGACGAAATTATTGTATACGGCTTGGTTACTCGTTATGGTCCGCGAAACCAGTTGCCAGCGCAAAGGGGGGGTTAGAGAGCCTCTTATTTTTTCTCACAGACGCGAGTTCGTTTTGCTTTTTCTTTTTGGACGATGACTTTACATCGTGTAGCAGAGGGTGGAAAGAAAGTTTTGAGAAAATTTCTTCCTCAAAAGTTGTGAAAATCCAAAATGTGAACGTTAAGAAGTTAATAAATAATGATCTTTCGTAACTAGATCTATCATCATTTTGAAGATCGAAGTCTTCTCTTTACTTGTTGATTTTTTATTCAAAACAGTAAAAATTCAAGAAATTCTAATCGTCTAATGTTCTAAAATTCAATAAAATGGTAAAAAATAAAAATACAGCAAATTTTAAGGGTTCGTCGTAAAGAGAAAATTTCAATCTTCAAAGCCATGGTGAATTTAGCCATCAAAAAAAAAAAGAAATTTAACTTTTTAAACGTGTTTGCATTTTCACGAAATTGTCGAGAAAAAAAAATTCTCACTTGACTGCTCGATGTATGATGTAAAGTCATCTTCGAGAAAAACTCACTATTTAAAGTAGACTGTTTTTTAAAGTAGAAGCTTCACGCTTTAAAATGAGACCAAGTGGATCGTTACACGATCTTTCTTTACGAAGTTACATCAGTTCAAATTATCGGCAATTTTTCATTGTTTCATTGGTATAGCTATACACTCTTCGCTGTATATTAATCTTTTCGAATAGTTTGACATATATATCGGATCTCTCGAAAGAGAAATTTAAGAAAAAGTTTTGAATAAATTTCTAAATTTTGTCAAATTATTGTTTTTCTAGAATTAAAATGTTACTTGACTATGAGTTCTGTTATCAGTTCTTTTATCAGTCACCAGAATCTGATTCTTTACCTTGGTCAAGAGATCATTTTCAAGTGATTAAGGAAAACTTCAAAAGACTCTCCTCCTGTGTTTTTGTTTCTTTTTGTTTCATCATTCACTCTATACATACATGTTAACTTTTTCGAATAATTTGATGATTTGGACCTTTTGGAAGATCTGTAAAGAAATTTCAGAAAATTTGGATATATTTTTCTAGAATTGCAGCAATTTTTAATACTTTGGAAACTTTGAATTTTTCTAGAATCAGAATGTTACTAATGTGCGTGCATTTAACTTTTTACCAGTTTTTACCAAGATTTGATGCTTTTCTACTTTGTTCATATTTTATTTTCCTCGAATCTCTGCCTGTTCGATTTATTTAGCACTGTCGGCGGAGCGTTGAACGAAGATACGGTCGAAAATTGCTTCGGTGGTTTAGAAGAAGAAACTGGAAAATGCTTTCCCATGAGAATTCAGTTATGACTTGAAGTTGTAACTGACTCGTTAAAAAGTAAACTCGTCAAAGAGCAAACAGTGAAGCAAAATTGTGTAACAGCAACGTCGTCGAAGTGACTGTAAAAATACAATTAAAGTAAATTGAAATCTTACTCTGTTCATTACTCTGTATAAGTAAATACTTTTTCACACACTTTCCGTTACGTTTTCTACGCGCTACACATTTGCATCTTTCTCTGATTAATTTATTACCACACCTTTTCATTAAATGAAATTTCACAAATGAAACAACTGTAAAACAATATCACGTTTAAATAATATGTGACAAAAGATGTAATTGTTGAATTAGAATTCATTTACGTCCGATCGATTGCTGCAATTATTGTCAATAACAATCATGACGGTCGCTATAGTTCGATTCGAGCAGTGTGAAGTGAGCGCCTCTTCGTTCCAGGGGACCGAAGTAAGTTAAGAGATTAAAGAGAATTCTTAGATGGTTCTAACAGGAATTTATCAATTTTGAGATTCCTACAATGCTTGAATATCGATATTTCCGATATTGGGGGAGGTTGTGATTAACGCTCCGCCGTTTTTCATGTCGATTAAATATCAACGAACTTAGGTCAGCGGTTCCCAACTCTTTTTTTTTAGCCATGTCCCACTTAAGTATCTCTAAAATCCTGATGCTATGTTCCTGCGACACATAACTTATTTATTATTCAAAAAATGAATTTTCGTCGTGGAGGAAGTTTAAAAGCTATTAACTTAGTTTGGACAAGCTTCCAAAGAACGTGACATTCAATCCTTTGAATCGTTATAAAATAAAATGGAAAGTGCCTAACAACGTTCAAACTAACAATTTCACCTCGTCCCAAAAGTGAAATGCCAAAAAAATTCATTCTCGAGAATCAAACTGCTAAATTGAGAACCATGGACTTAGGTCAAAGGAGAATGAGAGAAAGTCAATGAATTACAATCAATTAATCAATTTCGTATCGAATGAAGTACAGCTTCTGAACCTGATACGAGCTCGAAATCGTAGACTCGCACGAGACGTTTAATTATTAATCAGATATCGACGACCAACTTAAATTAGGAGAACGAACGATAAACGGGGATCAATGAAGTAAAATTGTCCATCAGTCTTTCGTATAATCGATTTTACTAGTGAAATCACGAAAATTGTGTAATTTTTAATAAAAAAAAGGAAAATTTTAACGAAATATTAAATTTTAATTAAAAGAATTATATTTCTCTAGTATTTCGATGCAATAGCCATGCTAAAATTGTCCATCTTAAAAGTCTCTCCTATAATCGATTTTACTACTGAAATCACCAAAATCGTGTAATTTTTAACAAAAAAGAAAATTTTAACAAAATATTAAATTTTAATTAAAAGAATTAAATTTTTCCAATATTTTGATGCAAATGCAATAGCCAAATGCAATAGCTAAAATTGTGCATCTTAAAAGTCTCTCCTACAATCGATTTTACTACTGAAATCACCAAAACCGTGTAATTTTCAACAAAAAAGAAAATTTTAACGAAATATTAAATTTTAATTAAAAAAATTATATTTCTCCAGTATTTCGATGCAAATGCAATAGCCATGCTAAAAGTGTCCATTTTAAAAGTCTCTCCTATAATCGATTTTACTACTGAACTCACCAAAACCGTGTAATTTTCAAAAAAAAAAAAAAAAAAAAAAAAAAAAAAAGGAAATTTTAACAAAACAAGAACCATTTAATAAAACAGCGACCATTAAGTTCGATAATGGCTGTGATACCGCTTATCCGGCTTCACGATAAGCGTGCCGGCTATCAGCGATAACAAAAAGAGATTTAGCAGATCGTTCGATCGCAAGCGAACATGACCAAACAGTATTTGGAAGAGTTTCCAAGGATGACATCGATAGTACTTGATATCTAGACAACGTTGCATCTTCCAAGGACAGGATTTCACCAATTCGACGACCTCTTGAACCCCTAAAACGATCAAGGACAAAGAATCAGCGAACAGGGTGAAGAAGAAAGAACAAGTTCTTCGATATTTTTCTACGTGTGATAATATTCACCGAGTTGGTCAATCAGTCAAGTGCAGTTTAACGTTAAAATTAAAATTAATTAATTCGACAAGGTTCTCCCGTGTGAAAAGAAACAAAACAAAACAAAACAAAAAAAAAATACGTTTCAAATCACGATGATACTCTGAGGAATTTTGATTCACGTATGAACCTTCGCTGCCTTACGAGAGAAAATGAATGTTGATAATCTTAGTCACGTAACCACATCAGGTAATTGATATTTTCTTCGAGTTGTCACTATCAATCTCCATGTTACTTGGAAACTAAAAAAAAAAAAAAAATTATTTGAATATAGAAATTAACTAGCGATGAGAATTGTCGATGAGATTGAAGCATTCAGAGCATTAAAGTAAAAAAAAAAAAGAAAAAAAAATAATAGAGAAACTTTAGTACAAGCTTTCATTTATACATTTTACGAAAAATTAATTTAAATCTTTAGAAACACACTGTTGTCGTCTATGAAATATCTAACAAAAATTATAAACTGGTCACTTTGACTACTATGGTAGTTCCAGTGTTAACAAGTTGTTAGATACGAAAATATATATAGTTGATGTTATTTTCTTAATCGATCGACAGAACAGATTTGTTCTAAAACTTATCACACTTTCCTCCCTAGTTTTCACACGCAAACGTGGTGAAAATCAAAATTATGTAAGCCTTCTAGAAAGTTAGTTAGGTTCATCACGAATTTCTATTCATCATGTTATCAAGAAAATAACATGCATCTCGTTAATGACAGAATTATTTGGCTCGTACTCTTGTAGAATAAGTCAGTGTTCAAATGAGTTTTTACAATCACGCAGAACCAAACCAGGAAAACGTTCGATATATAGAAATGGAACAGAATCCGGTGTTCACCATACCCTCTGTTTATCTGAAGCCAACGGTCATTACGGCACAACCACAAGGTATATCACCTGAAACGCAATCAAATATGTAAAACATACTCGTACACTATTAACATGTAATATTTGAACGATAGTGATAAGTAAGTAGTTTATGCATTTATAGAAAATTTAAGAGATGTATAATGTAAAGATATGTAAAAATATGTATTCAAAACGTAGTGTATTCGCTATAACTTCTAAGTCTCTGCCAATTGTTAGTTTCATCTCTACAATTGCATCCATAAAAGCGTGAATTTATGTACGTCAAATTTGCAATGAACAATTTACCGATAACAATGAATACATGTGAAATAAAATATCGTTTCATTGAATTTGTACAGAAGAGAGAGAGAGCAGAGAAAGAAGATCCATGAACACGTTGGACTGGACATCAACGTCGAACTTGCAGATAACTACAGTCTTCGGAAGTTACGTCCTGAATGACTTGGAGCAATTGGAAATTCGGCAGATTGTTGATCTCAGTACATGTTCGTAACTGATTGTACAATAAGGATATAATGTAGTTAAAGAAAATTCATTGGCACGCACTACATCTATTCGGTTATTGAAATTAAAAGAATTTTTTCTTTTGTCGATTAATAACAGTAACAAATAGTAATTTTGGTTTGGAGAAAAGGTAGTATACAGAGGAACGTTTAATGTATTAATAAATAATAGACGTAGACGGATGAAGGTGAAACAAATAACGATCATTTCATTATTTAGATTTAGTCTATCTGGATAGAATATTCGAGACTTTACTTTAGAATTTAGAATTTGCTTTGTTTTCAATTTTAAGAATTTTAATCAATATCATGTAGCTATATAAGAGTATGTTATATTGTCATTTATGTTATTTATTAGTCAAAATTTCTTTAATTTTCTTTACTGTCATTTATTAAATTAAAACTGGTTTGTTATACTGTTTGTTACTGTTTATTAACTGTTTGTTAATTTTCTTTTTCATTGTCATTTAATAATTAAATTCTTTTTAAATATCTTTTCCTTTCTTTTTGTGGAAAATGGAGTGAAAGATCTACGAGATCGGGAATTTTATTCACAAGGAAATTTTCTTCCTTTGTCTGACAGTGTTCGGCAAGAAAAGGAAATTCAACTACAAAGTGAAAATACCGAGAGCCGAAACAGTTTTCCTAGCCCTGGACTTAGGGCAAACTGAAGAGTCAAGCTGCTGGGATTGCGCCAACCTGTTCCGCGACGAATTCACGTTGAACGTCGTGAATCGATATGGCGAGAAAGCCTTCACCATGATCATGAAATCCAGGCTCGCGTATATGGTTTCCAGATTGCACGTAAGTAGCATGAAATGGTTATGAGATCGCCCAGCAAATCAACTGTTTAACAAAAAAAGACGAACATTTCATTGCACAGGTCATAAAGGTGCTAGGTCCGAATTTAATTGGCACAGTGGAACAAAATTACCGTCTATTGGGCGTGTGTTTCACGATCTATAATGCAGAGAAAGAAGAACTCTGCTATATAGAGGGGCCGAATATTTGTAGTTGTTGCATGTATCCAGAGTTACACTTCAAGGTACCATCTAATTTTTGTCTGAAAAAGGAAACACTATATATATATAATATCTATTTATCTATCTATCTATCTATCTATACGTGTATATATATATATAATCATTTTGAATATCTATATGTATCTATTATATGTATGTATATATATATATATATATATATATATATATATCCATATATAAATACATAAATATATACATACATAAATACATATATTTATATATATTTATACACTTTTTCTGTGTATCTATATACATTTAATTTTACCTAATCAAATTTTATCTAATCACTTTGAATGTCTGTATGTATCTATACATAAAACTCTATTTATTTTTAACGATACAAAGCAATTTAATTATTTAGATCAGAGCAACAGAGTTTCCGCCACTTTTCTGATCGCTAGAGCTACCCCTTCCACTGCATCCTGATCTTTCCACCACACTGAAATTTCCTCGCCGTCCCGCATAAGAGAGCGAGGCTTATTTCAGTGTAGTGGAAAGATCAGGATGCAGCGTGGAAGGGGTAGCGTTAACGATCAGGAAAGTGGGAGAAAGGGCCGGCATGCCGCCAGTTAGCCGTCTCTAATTTAGAATATCGTAATGGGGATATTCAAGCTATTGACGTTATTAATGTTAACACTAGAACAACCAAAATGGTCGAAATGACCACTTGAATACTTTTGTTAGATATTTCACAGATATAAAAGTGTATATTTTTGGAGACTCGAATGATTCACATATAAAAGCTTGTGTATTACAAAGATCTTCTGCTCTATTGCATCATAAAGATCTTCTGTTTCTTTTACCTTATCTCTGATTAGAGCTAATTTTGCTAGAGCTAATGCTTTACTCGTCGGTAGTTCTAGCGTTAAGGTACATTGAATTTTATATATCATTCGCATTGTAACGCATTGATTGTCAGGTGATGTCGGCCGACGGTCGCCGTCAAATTGCGTCCTTCATGCATCTGTGGGACTCTATACTCCGCGAGTACATCCTGTTACTCACGTTCTCTAAAGAGTTGGACACGTCACTGAAAAGTTTACTTCTCGCTGCGTCATTTCTCATAGTGAGTTTCTCATTACCCTTAATCTACTTTAAATCAAGATCGGAGTACCTTTTCGCCAATTGCTACGAAATTTCTTCTTCCTTTTTTTTTTTTGTTTTTTAGGAATACGTGTACTTCAAAGATGAAGCCTCTTCCGAAGGCCCATCATTATTTCCCGCGATGTAAATAAGAAGATAGCCTTGCAAGATGAACCGGCTGAAAGAGGAAATGTGCACTTTCATTCGATTTTGTGAGAAAATGATCATCGTCGACGAAGATCCGTTTTGAAGGTTTAAGAATGTAAGAAGAAACTGGCGCAACAACGAGTCTACCTCGCTTCCCGATAATTCGAGAAAATCAACACAGACCTTTGCAACTTGAAGCACGATTAAGATCAAGTGCAAACTTGCTACAAACTCGTGATCCTCGAATATCAAACTTGTACTTATATATTCTTCCTTTTTCAATAAATGCAACTTAAATATCGGAGCTATGCATTTTTATTGCTATGCAAATCCCATCACTCCTCAGGATCAAATTGGTTAGCGATATTTCCTCCGTCTTTTGTCAATAATTTCTTACTTGATATTCCATCTCATCGTTGAATCGTTGATTTTTTTAAGAATTTTTTACGACTTTTTTTCAGCAGCATACTAAAATATTTAGTGTTAATAATTATAGTAGTTATATTTAATATTATAATAAACATTATATTTTATATTATATATAAAATATAATATAAAATTATAATATATTATATTTTATATTATATTATAATATATTATATTTTATATTATAATTTTACATTATAATAAATATAGTAATTATATTATAGTATTACTATAATAATTATAGTAATAACATATAGAAAATAATATAATAATTATAATGAAATACATAGTAATAATAATACAGTAAAACTTGAGGAAACTTTGAAGAAAGTTACACACCTTTGAACAGTTGCAAAATAAGGAAAATTCAAGAATCTTGTTGGAGATAAAATTATGTTTCATTAAAAAAAAAATAATACGTTTGTCTTCTTATGTGCTGTTCAATTAGCAATTGCTAAAAATTTGAATTAAATATACAGGACAGTCATTTAGCTATAGACATTTCATCTCGAAACACCAGGTATATCTCCGCGAGGTTCTACAGGGTGGTCACTGAAAAACTGAATGATATAAAACAAAAATTTACTTACTTTTACAAAGAAAATGTTTTTTAATTTTTTATTTGGAAATATAATTAATTTGATTTTTCAGTATTATGTATGAAAAACAATATCCCTCAAATGAATGAATTTTCCTGCTGGCAAATACGGGCTCTTTCAAACCCTTCAGTTTCTGAATGATCACTCTGTAACTGAAGCAAATTGTTTTTTTATTTCAAGCTAAATTGCACGAGAGAATCTAGAGTATTTCTCAAAGTCGACTTTTTAAAAAAACTGACAGCTACCTGAACTTGAACACTTGTTTAATTTCCGTCGTAAATTTTCAACTTCTTGAGTAAGTAATAATAAAGAGAAATACGCAAGCCAAAATTTCGTCACATACTTGATGCACAGCCTTCCAGAATATTACCACAAATTAATTCAGCAATCTTTCAGATATTTTTAGTAGTGATTTTGAAAATTTCATTTGGACGAGAAGAACGTTTTTTTTTAAGTTTCAGTTATTTGTTACCATTGTAGATACTGACAAACAATTCAAATTAGTTACTTTCTAAAATATACAACTAGAGCACTCTAGAATCGCAACGACAGAATTACAAATTTTGAAACATCAATTATCTAAAATAATTTATATATATATATAAAATTATAATACAATAATAATTATAATTATTATAATAAATATGTTATAATTAACAAATATATTGTAGATAATCGATGTTTCCAAAATTTTACATTCTGTTATTGTCATGTATACATATGATATAATATAACATCTCACTTTTCTGTTCAAAATACTTATAAGTCCTCTCCCTAAATAAAAACAATACACGTGATCATGCGTTAGAAACTGATGTTTACATATCACGAGTATGGTAACGTAATAGTAACACTTCAAAATATTTCTGATGATGCAAGTCCTACGATGGTCAAATACAATAAACAGAAACAGAACTTAGGATCCGTAGTTTCAGTAAGAAAGCACAATGCTGTTCGAACAATTTTTTATAACGAAAGAAAACGAACAAATGATAAATTAATAAATGAAACAATTCGAAGTGAATCAATTAGAAGATATATCACTATTGTAATCCAAGATTTCAAATGTGTCGAGAAACGGTTGTTGTATAGTGATTTTTACAATTGCTTGTAATGACTATGCGCGATTGATTCTTGGTACAGGCGTTGAACATTTTAATTTTGTATGTTGGCATAATCAGAAGTGTACGTTACATGTCAGAAGTGAAAATCACAATGTCTCAAGCTTCAACTTTTTCTTTTATCGTCTTGGTATCTAAATTCGATTCTACAAGCACGTCCAATGTATTTTGCAATATCCTGTATAATCGAACAGAAACCTTTAAATAAATAATTGATATCTTTAGATACACAATAAATGAAATATCTTTATATGTAATATATATATGAATAAATATCTTTATATGTAATATATACACACACACTGCTCACAAAATTAAGATATTTCAAAATGAATATGAAGCGATAAAAAAAGAAGCGTTTAATTTTGCTTTTCTGCTTTTTTGCTTTGCTTTTGATTTGCTTTCATGCTTGTTTAATAAAACAAAAAAAAAAAATTAAATGCTTGCAATATCCTCTACAACATCCAATGCAAATATCATCTAATTTTTGTGAACAGTACATTACACCACACGATCGTAACATATCGTAGGCAATCTTAAGTAAGTTGTTGTTATTAAAAGTGCATACATATGTACATAAATACACGTTTTATTTCACCTTTATGTTTTCCTCCACGTTGTATCTATTCACTCGCTTTATTGAGTTATAGTCAAATTAATTACACTCTATTTGCGAGAATTCGTTAGGTTGAATTAGCTATTCGTTTGTACTTATAAGAAGAATATGGTTATTAAATAATTATCATTTACAGTAGCAATGAAATATTAATAATTAATAGCACGAATAAATAATATTGCTATTAACATATATATTTAAAAAAGTATTGCAATATCTGCTATTTTCTATTACTACTACTATTATTATTATTTTATTATTTATTATTTTATTATTTTATACTATACAAGTATACCAGCGACTAATAATAATAGTAACTGTTATATAACAACAGTATGTAATTTCATAACAGTATAATATTACTATGATTACTCAGTAGTTTTCTTCTCCTCTTTAAGTGACACTATCATTTACAATTTGAAACGAATTTTCATACGTCAAGTTAATTGAAATATCTATTATAAGCTTGTGTAAAATATCAATACTTAACGTCAGTAAAGTACTTAAATTGCAAAAATATATTATCAAAACTAATTGAAATGTAAATCCTTTTCTTTTTCTTTGTTTTAACTGTATTTCTAAACGGCTTCCTTTCAAAATGGTCAATCGCATTAAAATTTTCGGGAAATGGCGAATAAAGGACGATTTCAAATATGATATAAATGTGAAGAAATATAAATATACTTATGTAACACCTTGTAAACACTGATTAAATCAATATTCTATCGTATCATGAACAAGTTGATAATAAGTGATACGACTGTTCCAAAGAAATTACAATTATATTGATGTTTATAGAGATAAGTTTAATTCAAAAGTATATCTCTCACTTTTTTCTTTTTTTTACAGCAAGATGGATTTTATAGCGATCGTTGGCTTAATAATTATAATTTACAATCTGGTTTATATGATCTTCCCCTGGTTTTTAGATTGTGATTTAAACCTTGCTTTACATGAGAGATTTGGCAAACCTATAAGTAATGATGATTAAAAAAAGTGTAGTCTTCATGCATGTTAAAGTAGCATTATTTTTATGTGTATTATGATATGTTTTTTGAAATTTTTCAGGTTCTCTAAAAGACAAAGTAGTATGGATAACAGGAGCTTCAAGTGGAATTGGAGAACATCTTGCATATGTTTTGGCAGAGAATGGATGCAAATTAATTTTATCAGCACGACGGGAAACAGAGTTGGAAAGAGTGAAAGACAATTGCTTGCAAAGTAAAGCTCTTTTAACAAAGACAGTCATTATTTTATGCCCATATTTTTGCTTGACTTTGATGTACACAATTCACTTGTTCAGGAAACGCAAATTTGAGAAGTTGTGATGTTGAAGTGTTAGTGTTGGACATTTGTGATTTAGATAAGCATGAACCAGCATTTAATAGCATCATCACTAAATTTGGCAAAGTAAATATATATTCAGTGCCTCTTCACTGCAATGATTCATTATGGTATATTTTAATTACATTTTAAATTAATTTCAGTTGGATATACTTGTGAATAATGCAGGACGATCTCAACGAGCATTGTGGGAGGATATTGAGATATCTGTTGATAAAGAAATGTTTGACTTGAATGTATTCTCACCAATAGCTTTGTCTAGATTGGTAGCAAAATATTTTTGCAAGATGAATGCAGGTCATTTTGTTGTTACATCTAGCATTGCTGGTATCACAGGAGCATCATTTTCTGCTACATATTGTGCAAATAAATTTGCACTGCATGTAATATATCAGTTGTATACATCATTATTAATTTATCTGTCTGCATATGTATATATTGATAAATAAATATTTGTTGTTTATAACAACATAGGGTTACTATAAAACTCTTGGCATAGAAAGACTAGATAAAAACATATCGATTACAATGGTATGTCCGGGACCAGTGTATACTGATTTTTTGGCAAAAGCATTTACAAACAAAAGTAATGAGGTAAATATAATGTAATTTAATATTTATTATTATTTATTTATTTACAATTCTCTATATTTCTACAGGTATATAAAAAAAATACGAAAAATGATACAAAAAATAAAATAAGTCCAGAACGTTGTGCTACGTTGATGGGAATTGCAATAGCAAACAATCTTCTTGAAGTATGGATTTGCAAACCATTTGTACTGCAATTGGCATATCTTAACATTTATTATCCAAATGTCGGACAGTGGTATGTTATTCTGTATAGAACGTTATAAAATTGTAGATACTTTATAAAATTATTTCATTTTAGGATAACAAAGAAAATAGGAACAAAATTTCTACAATATTTACGTGATAGTGAAGTAACAATTAAAACGGATACTACAGAAAAATAACAAATATATATCTTTTTTTATATTACAGCATTTGTTCATTGAAAATATTTTGTTTATAATTTTTACATATACTTTCTATATTCTTATTATAAATTAAAGATAATATTTTTTATTTTCTGTAACTATATTATCTCTGTACTTCTTCTCCCTCATTATTCTTTAATCCCTTGACATATGAATTAAATGAAATGAAGTAGGTAACTTTGAATATAAGGCATCAACGTTGAAAAGAGCATGTTCATTATTAAGAAAAATATTTTTTTATATCTTTATGTGCATATCAACTTGCAAACATCTTAGAGATCTCATTGTCGACCAGGTTAGAAAACGCATGACGTCTTCCAGACATTATTATATATTAAGGAGTTAAATCATTTACAATATAACTCTATAGCACAAAATGCATTATGAATAGCATAATTTGCAATGGAATACTGTTTTATCTAAATTCAGTGTAACTAGAACTTAACCTATTTGAATTTCTTCTACATTCTAATTCTATAATAGTTTAGTTGTTGTTAATAACAGTTTTGTTGGTCTTAATAGTTAATAGATAAATAGATAAATAGATAGTAGATATACATTCTAAACTAAATTAAAACAACTAGCTTGAACTATATATAAGTCCATGTTATACAAAATATATTTACATCATAGGAATAGACACAAAAAATATAAATATACAAATATATTTTATTTTATAAATCTAGGTAAATAGTATTCAATGTTACTAAACGATTAAAATATTCATTGAAACTTTACAAAATGAAACAATTCCAAAAATTCTTATCAATTTTAAAATTCAGTTTAACTATCTAATAAATAATTATTTAAAAATTATTTGGTAAGTAGTATAAATACTTCATTATTGGAAACAAATTAGTCATAAATAAACATGGGTAAATTTCTAGCTTAGCAGCTTTTCTCTATTTCGGCCATTTTAGCTATTGTTTCTTTAATAAGAGATTCGTTTTATCGCTAAATGAGAAATCAATTTTGTTATTTTTAAAAAAAATCTTATACTGAAAAAATTATAAATGAAATGACCAAAATTGAAAAAATTAAACTAAACTAGAATATTATAATTACCATAGAATTTACCATAGAATTTGCTATAAATATTTACTAATATATCTGACATAAATTTGAAATGTTGTGAGACCGATGTCTTAATTTATTACATACGTGTATTCATTTATCTAAATTACAACACAAAAGGCTAAAATATCATGAATACAATCATGATGCATGATGTTATCAAGATGGGCAAATAATAGTATAACACGAAACGTTATATAATGTTTCAAATCTATCTTGTATTTCTTCGAAGGCGCAATACTGTGTGAAATATTTTGTGAAACTAAACGTATTGATACTGAAATTTTTGGATGCATCTTTGTCTTGTGACTTTTATAATTCGGACAGAAAGGCAGAAAATATATTTTATACACTTTTAATAAAACAATAGTTGTCTCTTGAACGAAAGACTGTGTGTTTGTATATCATCCTCAATAAGCATTTTTACATATATGAATTTGCAATTTGTTTAATGCTGTGATGAAAATGAGCGGCGAGGACGATTGGGACGTAGAACAACACAAGACGGAACACGAATGCGACGAACATTGGGAACTCAGGCGAAAATTTCTTTTGGCTCATAAGGACAAATTTCCAGAAGACGAACTCGTTTGTTTAGCTCAAGTGTTTACAAATGTGGAACTGCTTGGATGCAGGTAATGTATATACACTCTTATTTATATTTTACAAGTTGTACTATATATATATACTACATAGTTATGCTATACATTACATTATATATGAGTATCTAAGTTATCAATATATAAGTTATAAGTAATCAAATATATATTGAAGTTAATTAATTAACTTTTAATGATTATGAAAGGTATACTTCAATGATATTCCTAATGAGTTGATAGAAGAAATTAAAAATACATTGCTAGTATTATCAATAACGATCTTGATAATATGCAATAAATAAGATCTCTGGAAGTATGCTTATATTTGCATTTATATTAAAGACAAAAGTTGACTATTTTAAACAATTTGTATAAACCAGTTTGAATCAGTATCAATTACTGTAAAGAATAATTTGAAATAAATGATAATCATTAAAAGTTAAGTAGCTTTGGTATGTCTGATTAATTATTCTTTGTATTACTATTCTTTATATATATATGTAAGAATCCCAGCTGAGCTTCCAATTTGTAGAAATTTAGTTAAAGGATAATTGTTTATTTGAAGTTAAATAACAGAAAATTTGTTTAATGATGATTATAAATGACGTTTACACTATTTCCTTAATTGCTAAACACTCACTGCCTTCTTCCTCATCTGCACAAAATTTGTCATTCACACATACACACATACACACCATTTGCATCCATATCCTTAGTGTCTTAAACGCTAAGCCTAGAGGGCTAGCCATAAACAGTCCCAAGTTCCAGGTCTAACTTTCTCTACTATTTATGTTACACCACTCCTGCAATCCTCAGGTACTGGAGAAAATTCTGGCAATCCCAATTCCTAGAATTTCCCCATTCCACACATATATGTTTCATAAATCTTTAGTTTACTTTATTTATTATATTATATTTATTCGTATGAAATGGTTCATGAAATTATTGAAACATTTTGGTAATCTTTTATAAATGTATTATTTATATTATATAAAGCATTTATATTATATAAAGCAACTGTAATGAGATTAGAGTATCCTGATTATATTAAAACCATATATAACTATGATAAGAATCATCCAAACCTGAAAATATATGCAAAAATTATATTTGCAGTAAAAAAAAAAATCAGTAAGTAGTACAAATAATTATCTCAGAAATATAAGAAGTATTAAAAATGGTATACACTTGAAAAAAAGTTTTCTGTAGTAAATATTTAAATACCTTTATGAAGCACTATACGTATATTTTGATAATTTACTTTTAGGTATCCTAAAGAGACAATGCAGCTAATTGCAGAATTAGCTGAAGATATTGTTGGTGAATACAGAGAGAAACAAAAGTCTAAGTTGAAACGAACGTTTGTAAAAGCATCAGATGCTGCTAGTTCAAAGGTCAAAGGTATATCTAAGAACTGTGAGTTACATATTGAGTATAAAACAAGGTCTTTTTCTTTAAGTTCGTTCCTTAAATACTAATGTTTTAGGAGGAACTGCCCCAAAATCCACCAATAGAGTCGAGACGTCAACACAGTCATTAAGTACAAGATCAACTCATAAGTCAAAATTTAACAAAGTACCTTTTAAACGAAAAAAATTTAACATAAATCCATTTCGTGATATTGTTATAATCGAAAGACCCAGAGATATACCGCAAACTACACTTTCTAATGCAGTTAATATGTCAGGTGGAAATGTGGACTGGAAATTTGATAAAATCGGGGATTCTTAGTATGGACATTTTTTTTATCCTCTCCTCGTTCTTTGTCGTCAAAATTGTTTTATCGTTCTTTTCGTTTTTTTCTTTCTTTTTACAGTAAATGCCGTATTTTTATCAATTCAAAACTAATAGCGACAGCTCGTAGTCCCGACCAAAAATCAGCGAAGAGAGATGCATCCATCATTGGATTGCAAGAACTAAGGAAGTATTATTATACAATTAAGGTAAAAAAAAAAAAAAATTGTTTCCTATTTTGATCTATGTGAAACTGTTGCTAAAGCTGTGCTTTAACATTTAGATTAAAAATAGCGTAAGACATGCTAATGTAACTACAGCAACAATAACTAACAGAAAATCGAAAGACGATACTATTTCTGATGACAATATTGGAAAGAAAATAATGAAATTAATGGGTTGGACCGGTGGTGGTCTTGGTAAATCACAGCAGGGAATAGTAGAACCCATCGTGTAAGTAAAACCTTTATTCTGTTCTCTGAAGCATTTTATAATCAATCAATTTCACATTTGCAGAGTTAACGAGCAAAAAATTAGTAGGGAAGGTTTAGGATTAAAACGACATCTTTTGTCTACAGACGATTTGAAACATAGATGTAAAGATATCATGGGAAAGTTCCTCTCAGGTGACATGAAAAATGATTTGATATTTTCTGTTGACTTTACAAATGATGAAAGAGCAATAATCCATCAGTAAGTGCATCGATACATTTGTTCAAAACAATCGTTGAAACTCAATATATTAAATACATATTTCAATTTGTTTGCAGGGTTGCAAGACAGCTTGGTTTGAAATCGCACAGTTATGGTCCCAAAAGTCAACGAACGTTAGTAGTTTCTCGAAAGATAGATCCGTTGGATTTAGTCGAAGAACTGAAAAGTCTTGGCGGTGACACTAACAAGTATCAGTTACTCGAACCAACTGAATTGTAAATAAAAAGAACTACGTTTATCTTTTCACAAACCTTAATAAATTTTACGCCTAATTATAAATACCAATTGTAAATCGTTATATTCAGGCTGTCATAAAAGTCAGATTGAAAGATCACATTGTTAATACATTGTTAATATCACATCGCTATTTAATTCTTGGTGTACAAGTTGAAAATATTCAAATAAAATATTTCTTCGAAGAAATTGAATTTAATGTGTCGTTTCTCCTTTATTTATTGCATGCTGGACAATTTTCAAAGAATTTCTCAACAGTCTGGGGAAGAACATTACTCGCTATTGCGCAATTCCACGAAATCTCGATTCTCTGAATGTATCTTTCGTACATTCTCTTTCACTGACGAAGTTTCTCGGGTTGATGTTTCGACGGTCATTCAATAGGAAGGAGAAGAAATTTTTATGAAAGCAGAAATAGAATATTTAATGATTACAATAATCACGAACGATATATATATATGTGTGTGCGTATGTGTGTGTGTGCGCGTGTGCGTGTGTGGTCAGGTACAATTTTAATTTCGTTAAATAAAACTGAAAGAAACATTCACTTTATTTAATGATCTTCGCGCGCTGAACTTATCTCCAAAAGACAATGTATTTTGTTTTAATTAATAGAAGTACAAAATTTTAAGAAGCAAGATCGCTTACAAGTGTACGTCGCAGTTGCCGTATAAGAATTGCTTTGGCAGTAGGACAATCAGAAGTCGAAAGTAACATAGATACGATGGTGTGTTTTTAATTACGTTATCACATTATTTAAATCTCGATAACCAAAATGGTCGAAAATGTTCTCTGTACGTATACGTGTATGCGCTGTGCATCTCGTCGACTGGCAGAAATGTCTGACAATGCTTGTTCACGCTACGTGCGACGTGTTCAACGGAAATACTACTCTCTTGAAAAAATATCCTTTTTTTCTTTTTAAAATATCCTCTGCATCGATCGAAAATGTAACTCTTTTCCTTTATACGGGTAACTGGTAATCCTTTTGGCTGAATATATCATGGACGGATTGTATAGATATGTTCTGTTACTATGGTTCACAATTTATCCAATCTGCTTTGTTAAAAAGTGAAATCCTACATTTAACTGAAGTTATTAATTTTTGTTCCAATCTCGGCCACTGTCCACTGATCGACGAACAACGACAAATATCTGTGTGTGCATCATCTAGTACTAAAATTATTACATTATCAGTGAAACTAATACTAAATACATTATTAGATGTAACTTGACTTTGTTGACTTGGTTGAAATCGTACAAAAGAAGAACAGACGACGTGTGAGGTCATTCGCTGTGAGGAACAGAGAAACAAACAGACATAGATGTAGCATGTACAAGCATTTTAGTGCCCGTCGCTCGAGAGCGATAGAAACATATAGCGCCGCGCATGGATTCGTCAATTTGCCACCAATTACCACCAGAGATGAACGGCCTTATGTTCTTAAATATAACACGTCAAAATTGAGGGCAAAGGTGGAGGTGGGGTGGTTTATAGATCAGGATTAAAGCGTTCGCGATGCGGAGATTCGGAGCGCCTTGATCCTTTGAAAAATGTTTCCAAACTCTAAAGCTTACGCAAACTTCCCTCGGGATTCTGTCCTCGGTCCAGGCCCTACTTTGAACCGTAATTGACACCTAGAGGGAACGTTACATACACATATTTCTCTCCGTCATTTTTTCTTCGTTTTTCTTTTATATATCAAAATAATATATATATATCTACTATCTGATAAAAGTGACGTCTTTGTTGATATGTAATTATATATATATATATATATATAGACTTATTTATTTATCATTAATTAGAAGATATGTCAGTGGTTGACTAGAAGATATGTATTACGCTTGATAGGTAGAGATGTGTTTCACCTATACTGAAGTCTCTCCACGGTGGAGCCAAAGCTTTGAGTCTCCACGTTTGTATACGATGTAGTTTTTACAGCGTCGAAATTTCATTTCACTCGAACGGTCTGTATTTTTCCCAGACCATAGAGAAAAAAAACTAAATCTGGAGAGATTGGCTCCCAGAGAGAATTCGGCACTCATCTCTTTAAATTAGATTACTGATATGTATCTATATTGATATGTTGTGTTGCGTTACCGTAATGAAAATATTAATACACAGCATTGTATACTTGCTTCGTCGTCATTACCATCATCATCATCATCATCATCATCATCATCATCGTCACCTTCATTTTCTTAAGTAAAGAACGCGTTCTACCCTGAAGGAATGCGATACGATGCTCAATTTGTACCTGCTTCACTTTTCTTGCTTAAAATAGATATATATATATATGTGTGTGTGCGCGCGTGTGTGTTTGTGTATACATAGATTTTTATATACATATACCTGTGTATGTGTACATATGTGTATGCATCCTCTCATGTAAATGATTATACGTGTATTTTGTAGTTGAGCTGAAGATCAATCATTGTTCGTATAGCAAACAAATTTACACTGCGATTTACAGATTAAATTAACCGGAATCTAAGCAACAGATATATAATAAATTAATCGGGACAATTGTCTTAACCTCTTGCCGAGTCCATTGTTTGCAGAGTCCTGTCAAGATCTATACGTTGTGTTGTCGTAGCAGCATATCAAGGGATCGATTCGAAATTCTTCCAACTGTCGAAGATTTTCGCATCGATCTCTTCCCTCCGTTACATTCGTCAACGAGAAAAAAGGACGCCAAGACGCGTGTCACTTCACATTTTCAAGATTTACAATGCAGTTTAACAGAACATCGTCAAGGTAAAGAGTCAGGCTTGTCTACGTATTTCCGTTTGGTGCGTATCGACGAGGATTGATTGTACACAAGTGTAATTTCGCTCAAGTGAAACCAGCAATGGCTACATTCTACACTTGTTAAATTCACAAAGACCGTGTTCTAATCACTTCCCTCGTACTTGGAGTATCAAAGCAACTTCTCTCGAATATGCAATAGGAAGAGGTATCGTTTAAAGTTTTTTCTCTGATTGTCCCTCACTTACTTATCTGTGGATAATTATATGTGTATAATGATAAGTATATCTCGCGAGATATTGATTTAATCTAAACGTGCAAGATCTAGAGACAAATCTCAACCTCGATACGAGAAACTGAAATCCGTAGAAGAACCTTTAGTATGTGTATTGGTACTGTACCAGCAGTAATTATCCGAGTTCATACAAGCGTGTAAATGTGCAGTAGATGACATATATATATAATGTATGTATATATTGTACAGAAAAATGTAACGAAAAAACACGTGCAGTGTTCCGAGTCGCAAGGCAGGTTTCGCGCATGCATGAATTTTACGTACGTGTCGTTACGTCAAGTATCACGAATATTAGCCACCGAAGCACAGCTTCGGTACAATATGTAGTAAAATACAGAGAGCGCCACGGGAGTCGGACGATACGGTGAAATAAAAGTCAAGAGGCAAGAAACTGTACCACCGTTTCTTGCACGTTTCAACACATTTGTGTTCCCAAAAACAAAAGCATCCAAATTATCAAAGGGTTTTCTCAATTATCATCATCGATTAAAATTGCGTGAGTATTTTTAAAAATATAAAAAGAACCGACAAGTATTCTGTGAACTCGTTTTCACAGAGTATTTTAAAACGTTTTGTGTCTCGGACGATGATTGCACGTCAACGACAAAAACAGACTGACGGTTAATTAGTATCGATTGTACACGTCGTATAACTGAGCGTTCGGCAAAATATAATTAATGTACCTGACATTAGGTTACGTGTCGTCTCCGTTGCGCGATTGCCGACGAATTCACCGTTGAATTTCTTCTCGTTATTTCAATTTTGTATTTCTTGTTTTTATATGTCGCATGGCAAAAGAATGGAACGAACGTTCATCGACATAAAAGCGCGTGTCCATCGCAGCGCGAAAATGAGTGACGTCGCGTCGATAAATGTGCATGGATATACAAGCATCAACCCTTGACATTTGGGAAACATTTTAAACATTCAACACTCCCGTGCCTCTCGATAATGATAGATATCTTCTTAACTTATCTCGATGCTCGCTCGATGCGTTCTTTGAAAAGCGGGGAGAGCAATAAGATGACATCGAGGGGAAAGCGAAAGGAAAACTTGAGACAAAGAGAGGCAGAGACAGAGAAAGAGAGCCAGAATGAGGAAAAGAAAGGGGATGGAAGAAGAAGGGGAACTTGCCAAAGAACTTCTCAAGGCGATAGGATAGTGCGATTGTTATACGATACAGCCAGTGTTATAGCGCCTCCGCAACGGCGCTCCGTGGAAATGCCAATTCAGTCGAGAAAGCCGGTTTTCACGAGCTTCTCCAGGAAAAACTTCACGTCCCCTAGCTCCGAGTCCTTGATGCCGATTGATTTCAGCATGCCCAAGTCGCCGTTCTCCACCGCCATAAACACCGAGCGCAGGTGTTCCAAATCAGAGCGCATGAGATGCAAAGCTGCGCCAAAATCCTCGATCGTCTGAGATTCTAGAAATTGAAAATTTGTTTTACTTTGCTTTCTTCTTTCTTTCCTTTTTTTTTTTTTTTTTTTTTTTTTTGATTTAATTTAAAATGAAATTTCCTCTTTTGCAAATTTGTTTTTATATATATATCTCCAAAGATCGATTTGTTTATTTTTCATGTAAGGATCGCGATAATTACCAGAAAGTGCTATAGCAACCGTGTTCACGCCGCCAAGAGGTTTCAGTGTGTCCCGCGCTTTGGTCCCGAATAATTTCTCAAGATAATTTGGGCCGTGACTTGCCAGCAACGATTGCAGAAAACTAGCAGTCTCCTCTACTGGTGGTCTCTTCGCTGGAACAATCAATTAAATACTTTGACGAAAAACATTACACAAATACACGTAATATACGTCAATATGAATGTTGTATATTATATTGACTTACAATATTATATTAATTACAATCGTATTAATGTTAATAATATCTTTCTTCGATCAAAGTTTCTTACAAATTACACTAGTTAATAGTTACTATATCATATCAAAATTTTCTATATTATGGTAATTACTAGTTACTATATTATAATAAAGTTTTCTACAAATTGTAATTACTAGTTACTTCTGCAAGTATATCTAGTTACTTATAACCCGTTATATCTGTACCTACACACACGTAACACAATGATCGTCTTTTTTTTATTTGCACAACTTTGTGGCTCGAGAACAGGGGAGGGGGAGACAATCAATGCAAGAATACACGGAGAAAATAGGTTCGACCTAGTGATCGTACAGTCTCGTAATAGATAGGTAGCCTGTGTAGTAGTTAAGAACGAGAATAAATCAGACGTCCTATACGACCCGAAACTCGATACGTTTCTGCCATATGGAAACTTCCTCGTAACCTTGTTCTTATTTTCAATGCCGCGTTATACAAGCTCCCTGAATTGCTCTTAACGGTCATTGCAGACTCATAGTAATTTTTCTTTTTAATAAGAGATACTAACACCTACGTGCTACATTATTTTTATTGTAAAAAAAAAAAAAAAAAAAAAAAAAAAAAAAAAAATGGATAGGGGAAAATACTGTTATACGTAGCCAGTAGATTTTACCAGCTGTGCATAATCGCGAATCTTCGTCGTATCCATCTTGACAATCGGGGGCTCCGTCGCAAAGATACTGAATTGAGATGCAGATTCCGTCTCCTGGACACTTGAACGGCTCGTACGGGCGGCATGCATCTCCTGCAACATTGAATGATGATAACAATAACAACAACAACGATAATAATAATATTGATAATATTCACAATACTAAATAATATTAATAATTAATAATAATAATAATTTAGTAATATTAATAATAATATTGACAATAATAACCGATTGATATTAATAGTAACAATAGTAATCAATAATATTAACAATAACAATTATTAATATTAATGATAATAACAATACATTTTTATAAGATGCACGCGAGTTTGTTTATTTCGAAATTGGCTTCGTAAGTCATTTTGCTTTCAACACTTACTACCAAAATAGTCAAGATGACCAATTTTACAATTTTTGGCATGAGTTTTTCTAGACGTATTTTTGAAAATTTAAATGATCTTTCGAAAAACGTGTAAATAAAAACATATCAAGCGTAATTTATTCTATCGCAAAGCTTTCTCCACTTTTCTACTTGAATGTTTCTGTTGGAAATTTTACGCTTTAGTCGTCGATAATACTTCCAATGTTGACTCGAGATATTTAAGGCTGTCACCCTAAATTAAATTCCATCGATAGAATCTTGGTGGTTTCGAACATACTGGCCGCAAATTCTATTAGAATGAAAGGGATCGCAATTTAGTTCAGTCGCTAATTTGACTTCGATCGCAATTCAGTTTAATTGCTAATTTGACTTCAATTGTGACTGGCGCCATTTTCAAAACAAAAGGCTCGCGTAATGCGTAGGATGTACGACAATGGTACACGCAACAGTGTCCGAAAAGGGTGTTTAATAAATGTCCGAATGTATAATAATCTCGTGACTATGCACGGTCGTTTCACGTTGCGTGCGTACGTCGAATATTACACACACACACACACACACACATATACAGCGTGCGCGTGTGTGCATTAACTTTGTAACTGACAATGCTCGGAATAGCATAACAGAGTCACCAATTATTGGTGGTTGCCAACACGGCTGATATTGACCGGTTTAACCCTGTCTGCGATTTTCAAATCCTTTGCACGCAGGGGAAAGTTTTCGCCCGAAATGAAATTAAAACGACTGATCAATAACGTAAAAAAAAAAAAAAATAAAAAAAATAAAAAAACATAAATATAAAAATATTTGAAAATCGCAATAAGATCAAAGATAAATACTATTTACGCCGTTAAATGCGATTTTTTTTTTTGTTTTTTTCGTCTTTATCATTTTTCTCGACAAATCGATTGTTGACTACATTCGTGGTCAACCGACCGGGAGGTGATTCTACGTGTAAAAATATTTTCGAGAAAATCGAGTTATTTTGTTTATTTGGACAATATATTTTTTTTCATTATAAATCGGAAGAATGTTAAATTCCAATTCAGCCACATTTGTCCTGAACCTAATGGTTAAGAAAATATTTTACGATTTATAAAGATGACCTCGGAAATTTAGAGAAACAAAAAAATTGATAAACCATGCAACTTTCGTATCAAACAATTTTTCATTAGACGCATAATTGGAAAGTTCATTCAAGTGTGCAAGTTATGTGAATCACCCTGTATATTGAAATTATGCATATTCAATTGTACATCGGCCCAAACATCATTTATTACCGTGTTTTCATACGATCGTGAAAATCGATACGTTACGAAAGTGAAGTAATCGTAAATTGGCGAAACACATTAGCGTAATTCAAGTTCGCAGCAAGCAAATTAACCAACCGCGGAGAACTTCACACGGCTTTATTGCTCAAAGGAATTTACCACTAATAAAGCAACGCTTAGTATATCGCTGGCGTCGATTGCCACGTTGCGTTGAATAAACCACGGACAGAGGCCGTGTCACGAAGATGAATCGTGATACGTTTAATGCACCACGTGGACTCAAATTGCCACTTCAATGATGCTGTCCATCAACACGGCGGTTCATCGTGTAAAGATTAAAATACAGCGTGAATAGAAAAGAGGGTTCGTAACTTCTAGGTTAGGCAGTACTCGCCGAAACGTGAAAAAAACGTTCCAGTAAATAGAAGGGGTCGACAAATTAATAAAAGTTTCGAAGTTATGAGCGACTTTTGTTTCGGGTTGAAGAAACGAATTTCTTCGCTTCGATGAGCTATCATACTGTACGTAAGTAGTAGTTTACCTTTTTTTCCTCTCTTTTTTTTTCTGATTACAGGAAATTTTCATTTCTATGCATGCTTGCACCTTCGTATCGAAAACTTACAGGATGCGTTCTAATTCTAATTCTAATTCTAATTCTTTCACAAGCATGTCGGTCGAAACAAAAGATAGTAACTTGGAAACTATTAATTTTTCGATATTACATTATATTAATATTCTGATAATTATAGTGTATCGTTTGACATATCTCGGTGTCCTTTCTTTCTCGTCACGCAATGCTGGCATGATTCGATTTAAGACATAACTGAGTTTCCAGTTAGTCGGCAAACGAAAATTCTTTACAACTGTAGATTTGAAAACGGCTTGTTTCTTCCATATGTACATATACACACAAACATGTATCGTTACATAAAATAATTAGAATTATTAATAGAATTATTATATAAAATAAACAACATGTAAATTATTACATATGAAATATAAATTATCATTATATAAAATAACCTAAAAATATAAATTAATAAATTATGTAAATTGCTGCATACAAAATGTAAATTATTACTTTGTATAAAATACAAATGACTATTATACAAAATAAACAGTACGTAAATTATTACACATAAAACATAAATACTACTACACAAAACAAATAGTATGTAAATTACCGTGTACATAAAAACTATAGATTATCGTTGTACAAAGTAAAACAGTATGTAAAATGAATTACACGATTATTTATTGACCACTGTGAGATATCTATATAGAGCGAGAAGGGTGTATGTAATTCCGAGAAATGTGTTGACCAGGTTGCGAATCAAGGTTGCGTACATTCTCTAGTGCCGGACAACTCAGCTAGGAGGAAACGGTCACGGTTATTTACTCACCCGTACGTTTGTTGAAGTGACCGTAGAATCGGCTCAAGTCGATCGCCATGACGGCACGGGGGAGAACAAGGCAGGCACTCAGGGCGAGGCTGAGCGCGGCCACGCTGGTGCAAAACCTCTGAACCATTCTCAGCCGGCGACGAGTTGGACTGTTCTCTCGAGAGAAGACTTTCAGCAGAAGGTACCTTTTTTTCGCGCGGTAGTTCGCGGTACTACGCGGTCACGGGGACACGTACGAGCTACCACCCCCCCGTCGTCGTTTGCGAACAAGCAAACTTTGGCAACAAGCCCGTGAACTTCCCTTTTCTCTCTGTCCAACTGAGAGGCAACCGTGAGACGCGCTGTAATCAAAGTGACAAATCGTTGATGATACTTTATGTCTATGATCACGTCCCCTTTGAAAAACGAGAAACGTACACGGCAGACGTACAAATACGCGAACAAGCGTATTCCTCCCCTTTCTCTCGTTTTTTTCTCGTTTTCACAGCCACCCACCGTCTGTTCTTCGACACCGAGTGGCTGGCGCGTGACGCGGGGTGCACGAGCACTGTGAAACACACCTGCGTACGTACCGTTTACCGTACGTCCCATGCCAACTACATATTATCCCCTCTCCAACATCCCACTCACCCTTATCAGTCACGAGCCTGGCAGCGCGGTGGAGTGGGAAGGGGTAAGCATGGAACCGCGATCGACCAATCAGACAACGGGTCTCGTCGGCCGCGGCCAATCGGGATCGCCGAGATCGAACGTTCTACCCTGGAACACCTACGCGACCCTTTTCTACCACGTCGCATCGATTTCAACCCCCCTTGTATCCCGTGCGTAACGTTTGTTTATCGTTGTTGGAACACCGCTGCGTTCACGCGCAGCGGAATTGCGTGGCCACCTCGACCCGTTTACACGGGGATTCATGGAATGTAATATCGTTTCATGAAGTTGACACGCACGCGATCCTCCCTCGACTAATCTTTCCATCCCTCCCCCCCTCCCCCCTCTACCCACGCCTGATCTGTTCGAAGAATTTTTTTATTCGCGTGACACCGCGTGTAGCTTCGAAATTTTTAGGAATTTAGGAATCACGTTCTGAATTTGTAGAAATTGAGAAATTTAAAATTTTTAGAAATTTTGTGTACGTTCTGAATTGAAAATTTTGAGAAACGAAGAATCTACGTAATAAATAGCAATGTATCTGAGCGTGGCACGTAAAGTGAGACACGTTGTCACTCAAAATTAAATAATCGTTACTTTTATGTAGAAAAGGCGATGTGAGCCTCGGGAGGGAATTTCGAAGATGCAAACGAAAGCATAGTTCACTGAGAGTAATTCTTACAATTGCTCAACTATAACATAGCCTTAAATACTAAATCTTAACCTTTCAATTTCTTAACAGAATTGAAAGAATTCGAGGTTCATCTCGAGTATCCTCACCTTTTCGTACATTTTTTTAATCGAGGTACTTTCGACAAAATTTCAATACGATTCTCGTTCAATGCGATTACAACAAAACAACGAGTATAATAAAACATTTTTAAACAACGTGGATAATAATTTAGAATCTTTTCAGTCTATTTTCTCATTTTTTGTTATTTCATACTCTCTTATTATTATTATTTTTTTTTTAATAGAACAATAATATTAGTCGCATCAACTGTTTAGGAGTAATAACAGAGTTGGGAGAAACAGACGACAAATTGGGAGAAGATATCGGTTGCTTGTGAAGATAGCAACATTTGAAAGTCCATGACTGATACAAACCTGCAATTCCCGCGGAAAATCTTCATACTGTATATAACCAGAAAAAAAGATATTGATATACGCGCGTATGCGATCAAGGCGTACGCAATGTGCGAGCAATAGATCTGACGTATGTACTTGTTTGTAAGATGGGGTTAGCTGAATAATTATCGAGAAATGCAAATGCCAATTGCTTCGGTCGGACGGACGGAAACAGCGAGATATCGAGTAAACAGATGAAAATGTACTGGACGGAGTATTGAGGGAATTTCGAACAGTATGGAGGATCTAAAATGCAAATTTTTTGGCTTGATCAACAAGCAGGTAAATGAATTAGTATAAAAATTTTACGCTTAAGTATCGTACATTGCGAGGAACAACTTGACCTGTCTCCCCTCTTGTGATTTTTAGGTTATGTTGTAATTTGAATTTGAATTTGATTTCTGTGTTGCATAAACCGCTTGCGTTTAAGATTATTGAAAAATTGTATGAACGATGCAGTGTGTTTATGTTTTTTATTGTTATTGCAGAACGCAGCGAAAATCCCGTTGATGGGTTTGCATCCGGATTTACTTAATCCAGAATCGCAGAAATCGGAGGACGTGCAATCAGAAGCTGATCAGTCAACAGAGAGCGAACCTATCCCTGATCAAGATATATTGGAATCTATAGAAGGAATTTATTTCAAGACGGACCATAATTTCGACGCTGGTAAACACGAGTTAGAGAAATTGCCGAAGATACTGCAATCTAAGGAAATTGAGAAATGCTACAAGAAACTAAAGCAACAGCATCAGGTCGTATCGAAGAAAGTGCTGCAACTTATCTTGCAGAAGCAGAATGCCTGCAACGTGGAGTTCGACAAGATTTTACTGATACAAGAAGAATTGCAAGACATGTTGGAGATATGCAGAATGGGGAGAGCGGATTTGAAACTGGCTGAAAGGCAATTTACCACGGCTAGTTTGGGAATATTGGCGAATTATAAGAAGAGACAGATCATAGAAGAATTATTGAATAACTTGAATACTATAAAAACATTGGTAAGCTTCTTTGCTTTGGCTTGAAGTTTATTCGTTATGATGAAACAGTTGTAAATTAATTATTATAATGCCTTGTAGCAACGTACAGGGGACAGGTTACAAGAGTTGTTGAACGAAAAGAATTATCCCAGAGCAATTTCGTTACTCTTAGAATGTCAGAGTGCTGCGCAAACGTATAAACACTTTCATTGTATTGCCGCTTTAAATGGAAAGTTACAGGATATTTTGGAACAAGCGGAGGAAGCCCTAGACGTTACATTGTCAAAGATGTGCACACAATTTGACGTAACAACGTACACATCCATTCAGGAAGCTTATACTCTATTAGGAAAAACTCAGTCCGCAATGGATCAATTGCATATGCATTTTACCGCTGCGATTCACAACACTGCTTTCGCCGCTGTTCATTCATATGCGGGTGGAGATACTAAAAGACAATATAAACAACTTTGTCAGTCAGTTCCCCGTGAAAGTTGCGTTACTTGTCTAACAGAATTGTGTAAATCGTTGTGGACAATATTAAGCTCTTATTATTTGGTAGTAAACTGGCATAATACCCAAGAAAACAAAGTTAAGTTCAAAGCCGATGTGAAAGATCTGGAGGAAACTTTCAGCAAGCAATACGTAAAGCATAAATTAGAGAATAGTATGATACGTGTATGGCATGACGTTGAAATGAAGATATCCATATTTTTAATGAATGCTGATCTAACTTATATTAAATTCGAACAGTTTGTTCAAGTTTTAGGTATAGTTAACAGGTAAATGACAAAAAATTAATAAATTTAAAATTAATTTACGTATACCGTGCTAACAGAGTATAATTATAGATTAATGGAAATTGGAGAGGAGTTGTGTGGCTTTAAGTCAGAAAATCTACAAGAATCTATAAGGAAACAATCGTTATTGTATTTCTCTCATTATCACGCGTCAAGATTAGACGAACTCAGAATATTTTTGGAGAACGACGGCTGGGAATTGTGCCCTGTTAAATCTAACTTCGTGGCAACTCAATTGCAAGAATTCAAGAGTTTAAAGCCATCGCTGAACAATTGCAAAGTGTGGAATAATTTTGATAACTCTAACCTCGGTGAAAACGATAGCCCCATTAGTGTAGAGTGGATTCAAAAGTATTTAGAGGGGAGTGCGTCTCCGTTCTCTATAGGTTTAGACGACACCATGGACGAAGATATTTTGATAAGTAATGATGTACGATTGTTTGGTTTAAAAATAACTCATTGCCCTTGTACTAGCTGATAATACAATATAAAAGATAATCTATATTATCTACAGGATAATCCTCCAGCTTATTTTTCTGATGAATCGGACGACGACATCCCTGATGAATTGAAACACGAGTACGTTGACGATTCGGATCATATCAAAACGAATAAAAAGAAGTGTAAATTAAAGCAATCAGGACCCATGGTTACAAACACAACGCTAAGTATATTGCGTGTTTGTGGAAAGTATCTACAGATGTCTAGATTGTTACGATCAATCGCGGTTACAGTTATACAAAGTATGATACAGTTTTACGAGTTATGTTTTTATACGGTACATTTGTTCTTCACGTCAGATTTGGTAAGTTTCGTTTATCAATTAACCTCAGAATTGAAAAGTTAATTCAATAAATAAATAATAGTAGTTTTGCTTTTTTACAGCAAATAAACAGCGATTCCTTATACAGTCCAAAACTGAAACTATCTCTGGCAAGAATCAAGGAGAACTTGATCATGTGCGAGAACGATACAGAGGATAATATTAAGTTAAATTCCGATAAAGTACGACAGCCACAGCTCTCTTCCATTGTAAATTTATCACAGCCGGAAAAACTTCATGGTTTAACCGAACGTATCGTAGGAGTGGAATCTTTGATATTTTTAGGTCGGCAATACGAAAATTTAAAACCGTACTTGGAACATCTGATCGGCGCCAGCCCGCAACGCGGTTTTCTTCATCAATTTTATATGCAAACGATAGCGTCGACCGTAGACTTGAGGAAACCGGTATACATGGCCGTTGCGTCGCAAGCATTCGACGTTGCAAATATATTAAATTTAATGAACAAAGTTAATTGGGAAGTGACCGATGTCATGTCTCAACATAGTGGATATATCGATGCATTGCTTCAGGTATGTACCTTAAAAGTAAGGTTTATCTTACTCGTGTATGTTGAAGAAAATTTTCATTGTCTTTTTCGTAGGAAATATGTATTCTAAACGAAAGATTGAAGAACATTGGAAGTTGTCTCTCTTTAGCAAATGACGTATATAACGCTGTTTGGGAGAATGTGGCACATCTAATAACTCATACATTGGTAGAGGGGTATGTCAAACTTTTGCTTGCAATCTTTTTATCGCATTTACTTACTCATCTATACTTTTTCTTTATCGCAGATTTTCCAATACTAAAAAATGTTCAAACGGAGGTAGAGCACTGATGCAACTCGACTTCACACAATTAAAGTCGAAGTTCGAAGCGTTGACTTCTTTGAGGCCAATGCCTCACAGAGAATACGTTGAGTTATATATTAAAGCTTACTATCTTCCAGAAAATAGTTTAGAAGAGTGGATAAGGGAACACAAGGTATTTAAATATATTTACTTTCTCGTACAAATCTACCTGACTATGATATTCTTACTTATTGCTGATGTATTTTTCCTATTCTACAGGAATATTCTGTCAAACATTTAATTGGTTTAGTTTCTTCGGCTTGTCAAAATAATAAGAAAACTCGGCAGCGTTTAATTGCATTCGTAGAAGAACAACGACCTAGTAGATAGCATAGGGCTATACACTATAATACATCTCAAGATTATATCGAAATAGGAATTGCATAAAAAAAAAAAGGATGTTTAGAAACAATTTAGAAAAAGATGTATTTTCTTCGTGTACATACTCGGGGACTTTTACTATATCACTAAAGTAAGCAAGCCCACATTTTTTCATGACATTTTCATTTATTCAGTGCACGTGTTAAATCCATTGATATGAACTTTTTAAAAACACATGTTCGCAAACATGTTTGTAAAATTGAAGCAGTATGTGATAAAGTACGAAATACTTTACTTACTTTTATTGACGGTGATGTACGTCAATAAAGTATAAGTAATATCGGTTCAAAGGAATCTCATATCGGAATTTATAATTTTAATTCGAATTCGTAGAGTATTGTTATTACAAATAATAATTACAAACTTTTCACATTGTATCAATAATATATATATATATATATAAAGTTCATCATTCAGATCTATTACAGCGTTAGCAAGTATTCTGAATAAAAAGTATCTACACTTTGAATCTCGAAGAAAGAATCTAACTCGTTACTGAATCTGTTGATAAAAGAATTTCTGCTCGATACGAGCTTTATCTCATTCAGTCACTATAAAACAAATAAGATGTAAATAATTTTATTTCATATTCGTTTTATTTTCATAGCTTTTTTTATGATATATATAATGCAACATTTTTAAAACATATATATATTATTCCACATGAAAATTATGATCTTCATAAAATTGTGTTTTAATATTTTGCACACGACATTATGGACGCAGTCCATTATCCAAAATATTAATTAATTTGTTATAATAATTAATAAATAATTGAATAATTACTTTTTATTTTCGAAATTAAGTGCAGTTACAACTGTACTATTCAAAAATATGATATTTTACATTTTGAAAAAATGCTCTTGTAATTTAAAGGTGTCTTTATTATACAAATAATAATAATTATTATAATAATAATATACAAGTACATTTTTTTCTGGATTCATCGGTTTCCAATTTTGTAAAAATTATTGTTATTTATCTATATAGAATTCATTGTAGGATTACGCTTATCATATATTTATATCGTTTATACTTGTACTAAAAACCAAGAAATTCTATTGCACCTCTGACTTTTTTATTCGTATTTTAACGTTCAGCCTCATTTCGAGGAACGTATTACTTTTCGTTTTCGCTTATTAACATATAAATGATTTAAAGATTCATGTAGAATTGTTAAATTACTTACACGACGTAAACTGCATTTTCGCGTGACCATTTCAAAAAATAAAAAGATAACTAGAATATTTTTTTACCAAATGCATAACACGACAATATGATTAGAAAAAAAAAAAAAAAAAAAAAAAAAAAAAAAAAAATGATCCGTTTTATCAAACAAATCTGTAATTATGAGATTGATAAAAAAAATGTTGGTGCACTGAGAATTCTCTGGCTAATAGTATAATGATTCAGCGTTTCCCAATTTTTTTTTTTTTTCTTTTTGTTTTCCTGGATCGTGTTTGTTGAGTAAAATTTGTCATTGGTAAAAAGACAGTCGTGCTCTCTAATCTATCTGTCCTCTCATGTGTAAGGGATTGAATCACGTGATTGAATTACGGCCTTGTCACATGTGTGTGTATATATTTTTTCAAACTTTTACAAAATCCACGAAGAAAGAACACGATCCACGGATTGGTAAACGTTAAGAAACGCTGACAAACTGTATCGAAGTAACCAATTTCTTCCTTACTCCAAAGCGTTTTATATTGAGCCCTGCATTCTGAATGGCCCCTGTTGAAACAAATTGTTGGAAAATGTAGCTGATACGCATTGCTAAAAGTGTGAACTAAACAAATAAAAATATAATATCGAATGCTTACTTTGACAATAATAAGTCTACTTAACACTGCTATTTGTTAATAGCGTGTTAAAAAAAGAAAAAAAAAGAAAGAAAAAGAAAAACGTACGCCATAATTAATTATACGCATACGCTTCGTTTCTTTTTTTTTTTTTTTTTAATTTTTTTTTCTTTTTTTTTTAAGTTTAAAATTAGTATCGTCACTATAAATGCTTTTTTTATCTCACAAATGAACGAAGAATGAATAAATACATTACTGCTAAGTGAAACTCGCCTTATTATTAAAAAAAAAATTAAAAAAAAAATCACTAAAAATATCTGCTTCGAGCCGTGTATATATATTTAGGATTCATTTCGTTTCAAGCTTTGGACATTTTACTAATGAAACACGTACCCTATGATCAATGAAAACTTGAACTTCAATTCAACAGCGTGTAAGTGTGTAATTCGTTCAAATAAAGTTTATTGCCAAAATATACTTGCTTTCTTTTTGTAATATATATTAAAACCTGCCTGCGTGTCTCCTTTAAAAAAAGGCCAACTACCTTCTAACAATGTTACCTGTTATTGAATATAACTGTTTGTTATGTTTCTTTTAATTACGTTTTCTTACGTCTTCAATTACATTACTAAGAGAAACAAATATGACACAACATTATGAACCTTCGTTTTAGACGTTAATTAGAAGTTAATTAGTATAAACATGTACATAGAACACTTTTCGCTCGATACTAGCCCATACACAATTGAAAGAGCCTACTGCCTTCTCTCTCTCTTTCTCTGAAATCTGTGTATGGGTCTTTTTAAATGCGAGCTATTTTATTTTACACGTTAAGTTCTCACCAAAACACGGTACTTAACATTAACGGTACGTATGCCGAGGAAAAGAATCCGACGAACTTATTAACGTATCTGTATTAATCATTACTGCGGTAAAATAATAATACAATTTGTTAAAATCCTAATACCTTAGTATAAATCGTGGAATGCAAAAACGTTGATATAGAAACAGAGCGATGGAACAACGTATATTATCGTGTCCTTATTCCGCTTTTAATCGCAAATGTAAATACGAAGAAAAAAAGGGGGGGGGGGTAGGGTTGAATGACGTTGAAATGTTTTTGTTTCTGTTCAATTAACGGCAAATATTGATAAGTATGTTTATCACTCTCATTCTACATCTTATTATCAAAAGGAAATAAAACGAGACGCATGTAAAACATTGTCCGACTCTTATTTTTTTTCTTCTGTGACCTAATTCTAATTCTGCGTAATCTGATCGCTTAACTGGTAAAAAATATTGGCAGATTTAATGCTGTTACGTTATTAGTAACATAGTTCCTATTTTCTTTTTTTTTCCTCCTTTTCTTTCTCTCTCTCTTTCTCTGTCTCCTCTTTTTTGAGCTTTTCAGTGTCATCAAACCCAGTGGCTTCCCATTTGTGCGTACAGAACAATCCCATTTTGTATGTATAAGTGTACGTTTGTACGTTAAATGCATTTTAATTGAAGTTGAAGCACAAAAAAGATATATAACATCATTGTGACTTGTCACTTTCTTCTCGGTTTCTTTTTTGGAAAAAAAGAAGTTGATTGATATGCGTGAAACTCGAATGGAAGACAATTAGTAAAAAACAGAAAGTAGAATGACACCACAAATGCATTTTTTTTCTCTCTCTCTTTGTTCTTTTTTCAAAGAATAAGATTGATGGTAAAGATTTATCAATGAGTTTATCGATGCTGTATAAAGTCATACTCAATGCTGTGCTGTATAAAGTCATTGATGCAAGTGCTTTGAATGTTTACTCACATATATCAGTGGGATTATATGTATGAATATTATGCGTGATACATTTTACGTAGTATGAATAACAATCAGTGAAGGATGAACTTTACGTCTAATTGTTTTGGACGACATTTTAAATTAAGTGTTGCATAAATGATAATTTCAAATTGGAAAGATGCTCTTCCTGAATGTCACAAGTAGCTCTTATAACTCTTTGTATTCTTTTATAGTTAGTATCTCGTAATGCGATACGTACGCGAATATATATATATATATAAATTATAGTAAAATGTTGAATGTAATAATCTAGTCAATATTGTTGTATTAACTATTTTCACGGACTTCAGTGAACAGTTAGTAACAAAGTCTATATCTTTTGGTACTTTGATAAATTTCTATTTATATATTATTATTATTGAAACACACCATTTGATGTTAATGGTTGTTTTACGTTTGCTGCAATACATTGGAAATTATTTTTTCCTCTTTCTCTCCCACTCTCTCACTCTATTTCTCTCTCTCCCTCTCTTTCTTTCTTTCTTATGGATCATGGTAATGATCATTATCAGTTTTGTTACAGAGCCTCTACATGATAAATAAAAATGAAAAACAAAGCAAACGTACATTCTTGGTATGTGGTTAACTGATGAAAAATAAATATTTGTTCATAATTTATGATTACTGGTCAACCATGTAAGGCCTTCGTAAAGCCCATCTCCAGTTGTGGCACATGATGGCTGAACATACCAATTCCTATCTCGTATCCTAGTTAAACCCAATTTTTCTTGTATTTCGTGTGGTTTCATTGCTGAAAAAAAAAAAATAAATAAATAAGGAGTTATTATACTACACAATCATTAAAGATTTATAGATCATTAAAGATAATATAGACTGTAACACACCATCTGGAAGATCCTGTTTATTTGCAAAAATTAAAATAATAGCATCTCGCATTTCTCTATCATTTATAATTCGATGAAGCTCCTGGCGTGCTTCGTCTATTCGATCTCTGTCGGCACAATCTACTACAAAAATAAGTCCTTGTGTACCGGTGTAATAATGACGCCAAAGCGGACGTATTTTATCCTGTCCACCAACATCCTACAATGAAACCATTACCTTTAATGAACATAAACACTCTTCAAGTTACGTTTGTAAGATTTCAACCTACCCAAACATTGAACTTAACATTTTTATAGGTAACTGTTTCTACATTGAATCCTACAGTTGGTATAGTTGTTACGGACTGTCCTAATTTAAGTTTATATAGTATTGCTGATATGTAATTAAGGAAATGTCACAAAAGCGAATCGTAACAGGATTCTAAGAGTATTTCACTTCTTTTCGGGGATCTTTTTGCAAAGTTCCTTGTATAAAAAAAAAAAAAGAAAACAGACACACGTGCGCGCGTATACGTAAGAAGGATACTAGTTTTTCCAGCAGCATCCAATCCTAGCATAAGAATTCGCATCTCCTTGTTGCCAAAGATCTTTGACAACAACTTGCCCATCTTGCCAGCTGCTCTCTACGCACCTGGCACCTGAAGTTCAGAGAGTTCACTTCTTGAAAAAAAATAATCACACGAGTAAATTGTTAATTGATCTGCTTGAAAATGTCTTAAAGACACAATGTCTTTTTTTACTGTTTCGGTAACGTGTAACTTCTTACAATGTACTATGAACATGAATACAGTATACAATGATATATATCGTGAATAAAAAAACAAAGCTTCCGTTTGAAATTGATTGTTTTAAAAGAGAACGAGAGTTTCGCCGAGTAACGTGGGCTTGGATATCGCCTGAAATCAGATGTGACTCAAGGACGACCTTCCTAACCTATCAAACATCGCGGGTGAAATAAAAGATAAACAGACGTTCGGGGGAAAATAACAGCGGTACAAGCGGATTCATGGCACGTTCGTGACCGTGTCCGGACCTGCGGTCAAGTTTTCTCCATTTCCAGTCGAGGAACAGCCGTGTTGTGCGACATACGACTCCGACAGTTGTCACGATTAAATGCTTCCTGATCGGTGTTGCGGCTTACATGACAATTGACGACGAATTTGTACGGGCAGAAAGAAGAAAGGAAGGAAGGAAGGATGAAAGAAAGGATGAAAGAAAGAAAGAAAGAAAGAAAGAAAAAAAGAAAGAAAGAAAAAAAGTCCCACGAGCCAGCGGCAGCGGGACGAGAGTGTAACTCAGAGCCAGGCGTTAAATGTAACTCACCGAAATACATTTACAAGGGGCGAGTACTCTATCATGAACGCGCGGACATATCACATCACTGGACATAATTTATTTTGTGTTACGGCTGTGGCGTGGCAGCATTACCGAAAACGTTATTTAGGCAGGCACGGCATGACGTCCCTCACTTCGTAAGTCACAAGCAAACACGCATGTAACTTAAGCGAAATAACGAGATCAGTTCGGCATGCATCGAGCACTGACAGAGAATTCGAAGCGCCACCGTATGTCGCTGCCAATTACTAGCGTCCGATTCGAGATACGTTTGAAAATTTCACGCGTCGCGGCCGGTGGGACGACTGTGTCTAATGTAATACGCCTGCAGCTTCGGTCTCAAGAGCGAAGCTCACCAGCAACGTGGCAATTCGAGTCGCTTCGTGAACTCGATGTTTGAGATTTCGCAGATTTTGGCCCGGGGAAGAAAGTTCAATCGGCACGGTATAATAGAATATTGAAATATTTTCACTGGTGTTTCAAAAAAATAAAGTATGAATATATATTTCTGGCGATTATTTCCTACGTAGTTTGTTTTCATTCGTTTGTTTGAAATGATCATTTATCAATTGAAAGATTTTTCGAAATTCACTTGATTCTCGCGAGTATGTGTATTTTTTCACGATGAAGTTGAAACAGTTGTTCTCTCGTTGTTCATGCAACGAATATTATTTTTGCGAGATCGTTCCTAATCGTTTTCGTGCGTGAATGTAATTCTGTCCAACGAAGTAGTTGCGTATGCGTCTTAACGTTTATCTTTTCACATCGCAGGTTTTAATTGAATAAATAAATTGAGTATGCTAAGGTATTCTTTTTCTTACAAATAATAATAATGTTTAATGCTTAATATGATTAATTAATATTTGTCTTTTCTCCATACTGTTTTCAGTTAATTTCCCTCTAAAATAACATTTAAAGTAGATATAAAAAATATACGAAATGTATTATATATTTTTATGATATAAAAAATACAGAAGTATTATTCAATGTAATACTTAAATCGAATTTGAAAATATCATTTCGCTTTATGCTTAAAGAAAATAATATTTGGAAACAGTATTTCATTTGATACTTAAATCACGAATGCCGTTTACACTCGGATGTAAATATAGGAAAATAGAGAATTGAAAATAAGAGTTTCGAAACGAAACAGATTTTTTAAATCTCGTTCAATGTTTTCTTAAGATCGTGTTTCTTGTAAATTGTGCTCCCGAATAAAAGATTGCCCGAAAGATAATGTGTACGTGTCCAAAAATGCGAATAAAATGAGTCAACAAAGTGTCAATAAAAAATTACTTTCTTCAAAAATTTTTAGTTACAAATAACACACAAGTCTTAAAGAAAAGTTTCGATGAAAAATCTTTGCTGCAGTATCAAATTTCAGAACTGCTTACTTGCAACATTATCATCATCATTATTACTATATAGTGTTTGCGCGTATTGGCACTAAAACATATATTTGAAATACTATTTCTTTGTAAAGAAATATTAGTGATTTCGAAGAAGTATATTATTTACCCAATTCTGTTTCGAAAATCTGTTTTTCGTCGGCTTTGCCTTTAAAATTCTAACATATCAAGTTTGATGCCTTTATCAATCTTTTGAATATTTACCGAGGTAATCAAAAGTGGTTAAACAGATGTTTCTTCTTCGCGACCTGAATTGTTTAGTCTTGAATTACTAACTGTTGCAAATAAGATAAAAAAATACGTGTATATTCTACTATTAAATTTTAGAAATCCCTCTGCATACTCATATCACGTGGATTAGTATGTTTTGTATAAATCAATGTACCTTTAAACAATTTAAGTACCTTCAGTTCCTGCGTGCGCATGCGCGCACTAGTAATCGACTTATCAATCGAGTAACAAAAAATTTCACGTATCGCAATAAATTTCTGCTACATTTTTTCCATTCGTTATCTTTCAATTCGTATATATCACTCGTAGGAAGCCATTTTTAAATTTCAAAAAAAAAAAAATTTGTATACAATAAATAAATTAATAATTAAGGTATAAAAAATTTAGATGTTATTTTTTAAAGTTCAATATTAATCGATATTGTGTATGTGTATATAAAATATTTATATATATATATATATATATATATATATATAATTATTATAATTTATATATTAATTTATATATTACATATGTTGTATTAAACAAAAAAGATTCCTGAGAAAAAATCTCATTGAATGATCGTCATATCAACTTATTAAGTTTACATATCAGTTTCACGTTTAACTTGAATTTACATAAACACGATTAAAAAACATAGAAATTTATACTCGGCTCTGCAAACATCGTAATGCAAGTTTGCTTCGGATATCTTCCTAAATTTTATGCGTTCTATGTATATACTATTTCTGAACGTTCAAAATTTCCGTAAATGCAGAAACACTGGCATTCCAATCGTCGTACGCAATCGAAACAGAAGTCCTCTCTTTTTATCCTTTTCTTTTCTGCGTGTTTCAGCCTACGTATTGTCAGTTATCTTAATTGTTTCGGAAATTCGGTGGGAATTATTTTTCAGTCCAGTGCTGAAATGTTCCCATTTTTTACTCTCCGTTATCTACTCAGGCAGACATTGTAAACAACAGACTAAGTTTATTCGTATTAATTCAACGCCAAGCCATATATATAACAACCAAAATGTAAAATTTGCAAAAATTACAAATTTTTTATACGCTTGGCATATTTAATTACAGATTGCGGTTCGTATGCCCACTGCGGGCAGTATGCCCACTCATTCGCTACCTCTATTTAAGTAAAGTTTAATAAAACCTACTGCGAAAGTAACAAATTCATCTCATCGAAATGAACATTCGTTTGACCAATATCTCCGTTTGTGTCAAAAATTTTTCCACTTCAGCCGTATCTACGAAAGGATTAATCACGCGTGACCGACAACACGGTGAACAACGTAAGAATTGGTGGCAAACGTGCGCGTACGGAAAGGTTACGGTCTCGGCGTTCGATCGAGTCTTGATCAAGTGAAAGAACCAAGGAAGAAAGAAAAGAGAAAAACAGAATATGATCACTCGCAGCCGGTATTTGCCCGTGGAGACGAAATATGTTGGAAAAAGAAAGGAGAACAGTTGGAGAAGCTGGAAGGGTGAGAGGGGCCGATAAGAGAAATCGAGCTGAATCGTGCTACGTGGAATCGTGAAAGTGAAGGCGTATCCCGCCTTTACATGAGTCGCGATAGGTTACAGGCCGCGATCAAATACCTGTTGCTCGACTTCTTTCTTCTTCTTCGCTTCCATCTGTTTGCTTAAGCTCAGGCTCGGAACGGTAAGACGCAGCTATCTTTCAATCTGTCTTATCGATAAGAGTATTTTGTAATAACGTGCTTGATGTCAGTTGTTCTTGCAGTGTACAACCGGCTGTCAAGACGAAACAGTGACATTTCTGTAAACATGGAATCTGTCAGGAGGAAGCTGATTGAATACAATCAGGAACATCTGTTGAAATTCTGGGATCAACTGTCAGACAGAGAAAGAGAGGATCTTTGTCAAGATATATCTGAGTTAGATCTGACAGATGTGACTTTATGCTTCGACAAAGCGGTATATGCATTAACCAAGATGCAGAGTATGTTGGATGACAAGTTGACACCTATCCCCAAGGAAAGTATCGCATCGGTCAGAACTACTGATAAAGAACAGTTGAGAGTGTACGAAAAGCTGGGATTGCAAGAAATAGCAGATGGAAAAGTAGCTGTACTGTTAATGGCTGGTGGCCAGGGTACTAGACTAGGAGTATCTTATCCAAAGGGTATGTACAATGTTGGTCTACCTTCTGGAAAAACACTTTTCCAACTACAGGCAGAAAGGATACTTCGCTTGCAAAGCATGGCAAGGAAGAAATGTGGAAAAGATGGGGAAATTACATGGTACATATGTTTCAAATTACTTCTGTGAAGAGTATAAAAATCAGAAATACTTCATGTAGAATAATTATCTTCTTCTTTTTCTTTTAAGGTACATATTAACCAGTGAAGCTACCCACGATACAACTGTATCTTTCCTACAAAAGCATAATTATTTTGATCTAAAAGAAAAGAACGTTCAAGCCTTTAAACAAGGTATGCTACCATGTTTTACACTGGATGGAAAAATCATTTTGGATAAAAAATATAAAATTTCAAAGGCGCCTGATGGAAACGGAGGGTTATATCGAGCTCTAAAGACGCAGGGAATATTGGACGATATGGTACAGCGTGGCATTCGTAGTGTCCACGTTCATTCAGTTGATAATATCTTGATAAAAGTGGCAGATCCTATTTTTATAGGATACTGCTTATCTTTATGCACTGATTGTGGAGTTAAAGTGATAGAAAAGTCTTCTCCGAACGAACCAGTAGGAGTTGTGTGTAAAGTACGTTTACAGGGCATTTTTATCATTCATGACGTCACTTTATTTCATTATTTCTTTTTATTATTTCTATCAGGTCGATGATATCTACAAAGTTGTAGAGTACAGTGAGATTTCACAAGAGACTGCCAAATTGCGTTCTAACGATGGACAATTAATGTACAACGCAGCGAACATATGTAATCACTATTTCACCGTAGACTTTCTCCACGACATTGTAACGAATCACGAAAATGAAATGGAACTGCACGCTGCCAAAAAGAAAATCCCTTACGTTGACGAAGAAGGAAATCGAAATGAACCGAAATCACCGAATGGAATTAAAATCGAAAAATTCGTGTTTGATGTATTTAAATTCGCGAAACAATTAACAGTTTGGGAGGGAGTTCGCGAGGAAGATTTCAGTCCCTTGAAAAATGCAGATTCGGTTGGCCAAGATTGTCCAAGCACTGCGCGAAACGATGTACTTAAACTCCATAAGAAATGGCTGTTGAACGCTGGAGCTACGTTTGTGGCAGATGATGTAGAAGTATCTCCTTTATTATCTTACGCTGGGGAAAATTTAGATCACGTACAAGGACTGTCATTGGAAGGACCGTGTGTATTGATATAAAATAATCAGAAAACCAATATTATTTTCGCAACTTTTTAAGGACAGTACTGTTCTTGTTAAAGATCTTTAAACTATGACAAAAATGTATTTTTTAACCTTCTGTGATTTAATAGTAAAACTTAGCTATTAGAAATTGTCGACATTCTTGCATAAATTTTATAACAATAAAATACAAAAGTATTTTGTACGCATCAATGAGTCTTTATAATAAAAGAAGGAAAAGACAAGTTGTGGGCAAAATGTTCACACAATATGTTGCATATTTTAAAAATATACAGACTTTAATTGTTATCTAAATTTAGCTGTAAAATTATGTAAATTATAAACTTAGAGATATATTATTATAAATGAAGATTAATATCCAGATGAAAGTGTAACGAAATCCATGTATTTTAACATTACACATTTGCATTAATTTTATACGAAATGGAGATGCAATAAAAGAAACGATAAGAGAATATGATAATGTGACGTTTTACGTATATTTACACGTTATTTATAAATAAAATTTATATACATTCTATGAATTATGCCTTGTAAGATCTTTGTTCGAATTAATTTCAAACATTCAATATCTGAAGCTTACTTGGACATCTTGCTTGCATGTTTCTATGGTCGTTCCGAATTCCTTTGGAACGTGAAATATTTTATTTAAAAATAAATAGAAATAAAATGTATGTCGAGAATGTAAATTTATTTTAGAAAAAAAAACTACACAAAGATATGTATATCGATATTTTATTATCAAAGAAGTAGCCCTCCTTTAACCTAATATATACAAGAACACATACGCTTGCTTAGATTGGTATTCTTGATCGTGTTGCCTCTATTCGAATTTGAATCGTTTGGGAGAACAGTTAGACTCACGTACAGCTAATGCCATAAAGTCTGGTGAATAAAGAAATTATCATGTTAAAAGTGCATGCATTAACATGGACGAAATTTTCCAAATTTTACGCGAATGTAATTTGTACGATAAGTCTGGCGAAACATCGGACACGGCAGACAGTAATTTTGCAACGAGTACGAAAAGGAACATCGAGATGTTGTTTGCACAGATACAGTCCAATATTGGAAGCGTCGAATATGCAAATCTCAACAAAATGCTAGCACTTTGTTACTTGAAGGTAATGGCATTGGTTCAATATCGTTACAAAATCACTTAATAATATGAAAATTATAATATGGTAATATGATAATAATATGAAAGCAATTATTGAGTAATTGTCCAATAATTGAATAAGTTCTTAGTGAAGTTGTAAATATTGTTTACAGATTGGTAAAGAACTTCAAGCTATATTTCATTTGATCGAGTCGCATGCAGTGATACTTCGTCAACAGATATTGCATAGGAATGTGAAAAAGGAGATGAGGGAATCAATTTTGAACACACAACAATCTTCCGGACTCAAATCTTCTTACGTTGGATTCAATGCGAATGATTCGAACGGAATTGAAAATTTAAAAGCAAAACTTTTTGATCTGCCTGAAGGTAAGAAGATGATAAAATTATTTTGATGCTACTGGATATATTGAAACTATTGAAGTAAATGTTCTCATTCGTGTAGAATGGTACATGGTCCAAGTCACTGGACAGTATAGGTCTCCAGATATATTTAAATATAGTAAAACTAAACCAGATACAATGTGTGAAATACATATTACCATATTGCCAACAAAGACCAAAGAAGCAGAACCCTTTTGTATAACATTACCAGAACCCAAGTTGGAGTCCTCTTACAATATCTGTTATGAAATTCAGAACATACTTTCTAATAATAGGTCAGATTTAGAAGCTACTTATGCAAACAACGAGTTGTATTGGAAAATGAGAGAGAAGCAAAATACAAATATGAAGGTACTCAAACAAACATGATTTTAACAAATTTAATAATTTTTGCTAAATTTAGTAATTTATGTGTATGTATATGTATGTATAGACTGCTATACGCGCATTAGAATATTCATGGTTACGTGAATGGAGAATCTTGTTTGTAGCTGATCCAATAAATAAACACGATATTGTAGAAGATATCGTACAAATGATTGATAAACTAATATCTGATGACAAAAGTTCGTAAGTAAAGCTTAAATTAATAACTAAACGTTATTCTAATAGTTGTGGTTAAATGTACCGTACATTATAGGAAAAACATAACAAAAAGGTCTAAATGGTTGTTAAGGAAAGTAGCGTTAACAGCATGTTTTCTTACTAGAGAAGAAATAGCACGTGCAATAAAATATATACTTCCCGATTATGATAAACTGGCAGATAACATAATATTGTCCATATTTGGAAAATTATCTTGTACAGAGGAATTGAGAGATGCAACTAGGAAGACATTAATTTTAATTGTTGATGAAGTAAGTATAGATTTAAAATTTAAGTCCATAATTTTACATACACTATCTAATGTTTTTTACAGCACATGGATTACATACCTTTTGAATATATGGAAATTTTAAAATGTCATCCAGCTACCCGTTTTCCATCGTTGCATATTGCATATGCTTTGTTCAAAGAGCATGAAAACACGATAGAGAATGGCTGTAAAATAATTTATGTGAAAAACGATATGGGTACGTGTATAGTTAATCCTTCTGGTAATTTGGTTAAGATGGAAAAACGTATGAGATTGTTTATTGAGCATTGGTTACCAAATTGGAAAAGTTGGTACAACGTGGAGCCACAAGAAGGAATCTTCGAGGATGCACTAGTAAACCGTGATATTTTAATGTACGTTTATTTTAAATATCTCATTTCTATAACTTTTATAATTTATTATATTTTATAGGTATAATGGCCATGGCAGTGGAATACAATACTTGCGAGGAGAACAGATTGAAAGACTTAGAGTAAGGTCGATTGTTTTATTATTCGGTTGTAGTAGTGTAAAACTACTTACAACGGGAGGACGTTACCCACCGTATGGAGTTCCAAATCAGTATTTAATAGCTAGCAGGTGAAAATAATTTTTTTTTTTGCAACTTTAATTATTCATATATTAATTAGTATTTTATGTTTTATTCTTAGTCCTTGCGTGCTTGGTATGTTATGGGAAGTCACGGATGCTGACACTGATAAAATGACGACGAATTTCATTAGTAATTGGATTCCATCGCCATCAAGTAGACCATGGACCGACGTTGATATTAATACGTGGTGTGCGGGTACACTAAGTTAGTATAAAAAATTATAAAATATCTTTTTAGATTATGTTTATTATTTTATAATTTGTCTTTCTTTTAATTTTTGATAATTAGAATTTTTAAAAACTCGTCAATTTTCACAAAACGTGCCCGTAGAACCTGAGATGTTGAGAGCAGTAGCAAAATCTAAAGATATCTGTTCTCAGTATATGACCGCGGCTGCAATAGTAGTACGAGGACTACCAGTAAAACTCATTTGAATTGTAAATATAAAAAAAAAAAGAATGCTGCAAATGAATCTACATTGAACATCAGTTTGTATGTATAATTAAAAAAGCTAGTAAAAAATTTTATTTATAAAACGTTTCATAGTTTGGTCGCTCATTACGCTCGTTATGCTGGCTTTTTAAAGTATTTTTCTTGGTCACATGATTATTTGCGGTTCCGGCACAGAACTGGAAATGTTCTTGTGAGGTAAAACTTGACCTCCATTAATATATAATTCATCCTTAACAATTACATCTTCACCAAGTACTGTAGTACCTTCCATTCTTACCCAACGTCCGACAACGCTTCTCCAGCCTACGATGCACCTGTTGTAACACATTGCATTACAATGACGCAAATTATAAATACATACGTACGTTACAAACAGTTTTAACATTTACCCATCCAACCATGCATGCTCTTTTATTACAGCTGCTTTAAGAATAGTGCTTCTTTTAATGCAACAACCATCAGATAAAACAACACCAGGACCAATTGTGACATTGGGTCCTATTCTACAATCCTTTCCAATCTTTGCCGTTTCATCTATTAAGACATTTCCTACTACTCCTGGACCAGAATACAACTTCTCTGGAGACTTTTGTCTCAAAGATGTCAGGTACATACTCATCCCTTTGAGAAAATCTTTTGGTTGTCCAACATCCATCCAAAATCCTGTCAGCTCCATTGCGTATAGTTCTCCATCCCGAGCCATGTGTGGGAAAATTTCTTTCTCTATACTCGTAGGTTTCAATTCTATTCTTTTTAGGATACTTGGATTAAAAATGTACATCCCTAGGATCACAACGACACCGTTAAACGCTAAATAATTAATACATTTGAAAATATAATACCTGCATTTATTTTGTTAGAAATGAATTCCTGCGGCTTTTCTACAAAGTCCTCTATTTTCCCATCGTCTCCGTAAACTACCACGCCATACTTTGACGGTTCTTCCACTTTAGTTACAATTATAGTGCCCTCCCTGCCATGGTTCTTATGAAAATCCAAAAGTTGCATAAACGGAAAGTCGCAGATAATGTCCGAGTTCAAAACAAAAAATGGTTCATCCCCTGAACATAACAGATCATGTACCAATGCAAGTGGTCCTGCGGTGCCAAGTGGTTCAGGCTCATGTGAGAAGATCAAACGTACTCCCAACCTCTTAACTTCTTCGCTCAAATCTCTTTCCATTTCCTCAGCGCGGTAAGATACCGCTAGTATTACTTCTGTCACATTTGTTGCTACCTAAATGCAATTTTACATTAAAATGTAAGGTAACCTTTTTGAAAGGTGAAAACATGAAAACATCACAAACACACTGCAACATACCAAAGCCTCTATCTGATGCAGAAGCATTGGTTTATTGGCAAATTCAACCAATGGTTTCGGCCGGCTCAATGTAAGAGGTCTCAATCTGGTTCCATAGCCACCAACAAGTATTACAGCTCTCATTGTTCCCAATTTTTTCCTCTTTCGTTGCATTCCTTGTTGATAATCCTGGTTAAAGTGTGCTTATAGTGAAACACACATGAAAACAGACTTTATTCTGAAAAAATGTTGGGAATGACAATCTTATGAAAAAGATGTTAAAAGAATAAACGATGGTGTTGATTGCATATACCTCCAATTATGTGTAAATTAAGAATTTGCTTAAATATGTAACATTTCTATTTACAAACTAACCAGCAAAATTTGCAAGGGCGCAATTGAAAAGAAAACATGTTCAAAGTTTGATTTGTAAAACATGTTTGTAAAATATTTCAATTTACCAACTGACCAATCTGATGAAATTTTGATAAATTTGAATATAAAAAAATTTGCAAGAGAACAAAATGTAGTTAGAATTTAATCTGTAAAACATGTTTGTAAAACATTTCAATTTACCAACTGACCAATGTAATGAAATTTGATAAATTTAAATATGATAAAGTTCGCAAGAAAACAAAATGTGTTTAGAATTTAATTTGTAGAATTTGTTCGTAAGATATCTGATACATTCTCTTTCTTGGAAGATTAAACGAATAGACAGACATACCTTATGCCTACATAGTGGTACGAACGGAGGTAGGTGATAATCACTACTGACGAATATTGCCACGTAGAATTGAAACACCACGTAGACGTGTATACACAGCGTCGCGTGTACGCGATAACAATACGTGCATAATCATCGATACCAATACAATCAAATGATACCAATCGCTCTGTATTTTGCACTCACGATGCCGCGCGTATCGAAATTCCTGTCGTTCATAATTTTTCGATTAACGTGACGCACTTTGTAATTGGCAGTAAACTAGCAGGGAGCGCCATTACCAACACACGTTTCATCGCACTTGCACGCGCACAACACACACGCAACATACACTTTGTCTTTTTAAATTCATTTTTCGAACATTGTTCCGCGAGTGCACGAATTTCCCCCGGGAATTCGTTAATTTATCGTTTCTGTAAAAACGCGGGAAACTGGGAACGTTCGATTGTCTTCAATTCGTGGAGAGGTAATTCCTAAATCGTGGATATTAATTTTTAACAGAAGTTCGTAACAGTATCGCGTCGAAGGCGGCTCTTTTTTTTTTTATCTCGATTAGCTAAAAACTCATCTTGTCAATTGATTAAAAATTAGTGAGCGAGTCACATTTGGAATGAACTAGGATAAATCAGACGAAGTTTCATTTTCTTTCAATGTACCGAAACTCTGGTGAGAAAAACAACCGCACGCAGATCGCATACGTGCGTTGTTGCCTTGTACGCATGCGCCGAAGTGAACATTTTACGCATAGAGGCGGAATAAAAACATCGTTGTGACCGATTTTTGTCTTTTCAGGTGCGCAAATTTCGAGTCGAGTGAAATTGATCAGAAAGAAAGAAAGAAAGAAAGAAAGGAAGAAAAAGAATCTTACGGGAAGAAATTAACTCGTCTATTCGTATTTCGATACTTCTTTTTCTTTTCTTTTTTTTTACTATTGCGACTCCTTGAAAAACATAAACACACGATATACGACGTTAACGCTGGAACTACGAAAGTGATCAAGGTGATCAATTTATAATTTTTGTAGGCACAAAAAACATTTTATAGACACACGATGTAAAACAGTGTATTTTTAATAGTTAAAATCATTTTTCGTAAGCTTGCGCAAAGTTTCTCAATTTTTTTATCTTCAACGTCTCATGGAAATTTTATGCTTTGATCGTCGCTAGTTCTAACATTAACGTCGACAATTCCGTATCGTGCGTTTCTATCGGCGGACCAATCCCAGTACCGATAGAAACCGAATCGAAAGAGATCGGAAGTGCGAGAGGATCGAAAGAAATCGACGAAAAGAAGGAAGAACAAAAGTGCCAGCGCACGATCGCGGGATCCTCGGCCTCCGAGCGGAGGTGAATTCTCAACAGAGTAGTGACCAAAGGAGTGGGGGGAAAGAAAAATGGTCGACGATGTTTGGGGCCAGGCGACTTCGAGAAGAGTCGCCGATTGTAAATGCGTGTTGAAAACGGGTGCGCGTTAATTGGCGCCACGGCCGCAAGATGGCGTAATCCATGCGACGCTGCTTTTGACGTTCGTGTATGAGTTTTTTTTTTGGTTCCTTCTACTTTGAAAACGGCAGGAAGCAAAAATTGTTAGCACGGTGTTTAGTATTCGCTGATCTGACTGAGGATGTGGTGGAAAAAGTTACGTACGGTAGCGACGATTCAACCGACTAGGATCCCGATTTCGAGTACATAGTACGCGAGGCGCACGAGGTCCCGCGATTGGCCAGTTTATGAGACGACGATGGCTCCGTGAGGAGAGAACATGGCTGCGACGCAAGCCGAGAGCCAACAAAACGATGTGAAGCTGAACGAGTCCGTGAAATGTGCACAGAAACGTCCGCAAGTCGGTGGGAATAGTGCGAGTGTTAATACGAAACAGCAGCTGGATCCAGAGCCGGGTGATAAAGTGTCCCGGGGCGCGGCCCAGCTGCTTAAATATGTGAATCGCGGCGGGGACACGGGTTTCGAGATGAGTCAATACCGCGAGGACATTGGTGGACACACTGCCGGTGAAGTCAAATCGCCAAGGGAGGCTGGACAAGCGCCCCAGGAGACGATCGGCAAGCAGGAGGCTCTCGATACGCCCGGGCATCCGAACCATCCCGGACATCCGTTCACGTCGAACGTAATACGCGATTACCCGGAGGAGTACACCAACAAGTCGAACGAATTTCCCTCCAAATCACTTGCCGATTATCCGGGCAAGCAGGTGCCGGAGTACATGGGAAAGCATGGTGACTTCCCGGGGAAACAGTTGGATTATCATGGTAAACACTTAATACATGAAAGTGAAAGAGTTCATCGGGTCGAGATGGAAGAGCATTATGCACCTTCCAAAATTGAGTCGCGATTGGCGTACGTAGGAGCAACGCCGACCAGTTTCCCTGGCCAGACGAGGTTTCTGTCAGGGCAAAGTATATCCCAGGCAACTGGTCCAACACCCACGTTGAATCAGTTGCTCCAAGCATCGACGCCTGTCCACCGTTTTCATGGGAATTATCCTGGAATGGGGCCAGAGCCTTATCAACAACCGTGGCCCATTCAGCGACCACCGGTTGTACCGCCAGTTTATCCACAACCTGGCCAACGTCCCCCTCAGACGGTGAGTAAGAGCAGTTTACGTTATCGTTTGCAACTGTGTACAGTTTGTACTTTGTTACTATCACTGTGACATCAAACCTAATGTATGTAACAATTTACACAAGTTTTGTTCGTTGCAAGATGTATTACTTGTATTAATGGTCGTGTTTCGACCTCTATGAGTCATTAGTTAAATATATTGTAAAATATGCAGGGGTCGCCAAGATTACATGCAGGACCTGGAGGACCAAGTTCTCCAACTCCTATGCCATATCAACAATATACGCCACGTTATTCTTCTCCTACAAGACCTCATGCACCATACAGCCACCATCAGGTATTTATAACAGCAATTGTTATAATGTTCATCATACTGGATAGTTGTCTGTATTAATTGACTTCTTGTGTTTTGCAGCTAAATTCATATACTACACAAACCAGCCATCCTTCCAGTCTGTACACTGAACAGAGAGGTTGGAATCAAGGTGGACCACCGAATCCACCACCACCTTCAGCCAATCAGACTAATCCTTCCAGTCAGTCGCCACAGCGCGCTCTTTCTCAATCCCCAGCACCACCACCTTCTGCATCTCCACAGCCACAATCAACTAGCCAGTCTCAAGTAGGTTATACAGATAAACACCCATTTTATGTTTTTGATGTAATGATTAATGTCCTTGGCATAAAAGTTTCTATGAATTGTACAAACAAACGTGCAAAGAGTGTTTTCTTTTGTCTTAACGTGTCGATAAAAAAAAACGTACCGAACATGCACCTGCAACTTTTCTATAAAAAGCTGTACAGCATCGAGTAAAATAAGTCGAAAGTAAGATGAACTTTTTTTCTATTGATTTGTACATTTTTAGTTCTGTGTACAAAAATACATGACTTACAGTACGTATCTCTCTTTGTTTACAGAGTTTTCATAACTTACAGCAACGATCAACAACACCAAATACTCAAGGGATAGACTCAGGGGTGAGTACCATTGTATTTTCACAAAAAAGTAGCATGTATTAGAATCTCTGTCTCAAAAATTACCCAACAAGGTTGTCAATAATTACGAGGTATCTTTCTTCCGTACGTGTTCATATAATCCGGGAAAAAGAACGGAGAGAAAGAACGAGACTCCCGAGAGAAACGTTCCCGTCGTATCACGCGGATTGATGCGTCGCGATCGTGATTTATTTTGATCTTAATTAGAAAGCACATGCGCGCCTGGGTGCACGTGTGTGCACGTGTTATTGTTATTTCGTGTTTGTGTTACGATTGGTTCTCGACTTGGGCCGCGTTTTAAAAATAAAACGGCCTAATGATAAAGACACCTAGTGGCTGTTGCGCGCGGCCTGGCCGCGCGATAACGCCGCGCGTCGCAAAGCGAATTCTAATTTCACGTTGCATAAAGTGCCATTTGATCTTGGATACAGTGGACAGGAGGAGTACTTCAATACTTCTCTCGTGAAAAGAGCAAGCATGAGTGAGCGAAAGGGAGATCTCTCGAGTATGGGTTGCCTATCTGTAGGAGGGGCGCAGGGTGTGGAAAGTGGGGATGGAGAATAAGCGACTTGTAGAGTTCGATTAGGGCGCGAGTTGCGCGGCCGCTGGAGCCCCAGATATTAGTGACTTCCCCTTTCCGCCTTCTCCCTCCCTTCCCTCGTCCACCCTTTCTCTTTCTCTCTCCATCTCGCGTCATGTTCTCACTTGCTCCTTCTCGTTGTTTGTCCGTCTCTCTCGCTCTTTCCCCCACTCTGTTCGACTGGCTGTCCCTTTTCAAACACACACGTTCCTCGCACGTACGTGTGTGCAAACATGTATATCCCTCTTCGTCGCACGTCGGACCTCTCGTTTCCTCCAACTTGGATGGGCAAGCTAGTGGGAGAAGCACGAGTGTTACACGGGTTACCCGAATATAGAGAAGCAAGTGAGAGCGAGTGTGTGTTTCGCTCGAATTAGTGGTGGTAGTGGTGGTGGTGATGGTGGTGGTTGTGACGGCCATGGTGGGGGGTGAGGGGGTATCAGAGGTAGTTCTCCCCACCACTTCTGACGTTTTATATCGTTCAGCTATATTCGGTTCGTTAGATCATGCAACTGTCATTCTGCGACATGCTATCGAACTTCTCATATTCCCATGACGCGACTGAAAACCGGCGAATATTTCAAACATTCGATATAATTTCTTTCAAATGGTCGTTAAATGGAACTCTCTGTTTGCATATAACATGCTCTTCCTCTGTTTTTCGAACGATGTAACATTTTTTATCGAGAAGTAAATATCGTTTTTTTATTAATTTCGTCAGGTATATTTACAGAGCGTTTCCTACGTTGCCTCAGAATCGTTGGGTTTTAAAGTTTCATTCGGGCAAGGATTGTTACCGTTCGACGTTCCCTCGTTCGATGTTATGACACCGAAGGACAAAAATATTATTATATAACGCCGTCGATATTGTCGCTTTTTGTTCCTTCTTGTCTCGTAAGGTTGAACAACGCAATTCGTACTAATCGAAATCGTAGTCGGTGCGTGCTAAATCTATTTCAAAAAGAAAAAGAATAACGGAACTAGAGATTTTGCGAAATGTCGAAACTCCCAATTCCCTCTGACGGGAATCTACGACGGCTCGGGGATCGTTTGAAAGTTACCGTTGTTCGTGCCTCGTCAATTGACACAACCAAGAACGCGAAAGAAAACGAAAACGTCCCGACAATTTCCGAGCGTGCTTCTACTCTCGTGAAATCGATGGGACTTTTTCTTTCTTTCTTCTTTTTTTATGAAATTTATTTACTCGACGACAGATAGAGAGAGAAGGTTTGTTTCCCCTGTGTGGTGTGTAGTTTGACTTTTAGACGTTTTCTTTCCCGCATATACTCTCTCGGGGTTTTTGGAGCACACGGGCACTCTCGGGCCGACGAGCGACGGAAATAGCCGACGGTTGCCGAACGCTTGCCGCGCCACGAAAGAACGCCCTCCAACGAGCAGCTAGACGCGAAATCTGTAAACCGAAGTCACGGAACACTACGGATAAAAAGAATCACGTTTTTTTTAGTTACTCCCGGCCACGTACACGTACACGCAGCGGCGAGCCGAACTGTCGAACGATTCTAACCTTAGTTAAAAAAGATACGCGACCCTCTTCCTTCCTCCCTGCACCCCCCCCTCTCCCCTCAACGGCGAAGTCGTGGTCGTTTTGTCAGTTCGAAGGATCTGTGTCGAAGGGTTGTATCCCACGATACTTTCAAACACTCTCCGGAGGAGATTTATTGACACAACATGCGATGGCCGAGCGAGGTACGCGGTGCCAACCAACCAGCAGTTCAGCACGGCTGACAGACGAGAGATAATATGCCCGTTCCTCGCGTGGCTCGTGTCGAACCACTGACCGTGCGTTGATTTACACACATGATCGAGCGGTGGTGGTGGTGTGTGTGTGTCGCTGTTTCCACACGAGATTCCCGTAAAAACATGTGAAAATCGTACGGGGAACATACGAGGTCTATGGTGGGTTTTGTCGTCGTAGTGCGCGGGGTAACGCCTCTCTCCTTCGATTCTCGCGTCATGCCGAGAGTCCTTGTGCCCGACACGGTATATGCTATACGTTCCGCGATACATCCGAGGAAGTCTCTAATCGTCTTCTGTACGGATGAACTGTCCACTTGGTAGGTGTAACGATGTACTTTTCTTTTTTTTTCGTTCTTTCTCTCTCTCCGTCTGCGTGTGTATGCTATGTTTCTATCTATCTCCCTTGCGTATTTCGTGCTTATTCAGTCTCTCTCTCTCTATCTCTATCTCTATCTCTCTATTCAGTTATCTATCGTTTGCTCTATCCTACTCTATCTTTAACCTCTCTGTCTGTCTGTCTTCGTCTCTCTCTCTGCCACCGATTCCCTTCTCTCTCTCTTCTAATGTACCCGCGCGCTCTCTCAATGTATCATTGTGACGATCTGCGCGAGGTGTTACGCATACACATGCACGCGCGCGCGCGCGCGCGCTCTCTCCTCCACATATACGTGTACGTACATGCGGAATATTGTTGAAACATGCGCGTGTGTATGACGTGTTATGTTGCATCGTACGATTAGTGGCAAGTAGCCGCGTGTGTAAAGTGCGTTTCCTAATTTCCTTACGATCGAAATGTGACAACTCGGAGAGAACGGAAAGCCCGTCCAAGAGGAATCCGTGAATGTCGCGTTTCAAAAACAGACTTTTTGTTCGAACTTGCTTTGTACTCTTTCTCTTTCTTTCTCTCTCTCTCTGTGCGTGTGTATGCGTGCGCGCCGTGTGTGTGAGTGTATACGGTGAATGCATGTACATTATTTATTTACCTATTTATTTGTGATCTTGGTAACACTACCTCTGTACTGAGGTTAATGAAACGTAGAATCAACGTGGACTGCTTAAAATGTGATATCGTGCATCAATCAATTTGTATTTAGGGACAGTTTTTTTTACATAATTCCGTTTATAGTTTTTGTATTGCAATTGTTTTGGTCGTTCTATATAACATCAATTAATATTAAATGCCATCATATAAGTTTTGTACATTTTTGCAACTAAGTTCAAAGATCAAACAGACTTTATTGTTTCAGTTATACCTGGTACATTGTTTGTACGCAAGAGTTTTCTAACATGTTCCTTCACGTTTCAAATTTCAGGAATTATCTGGACAAAACAGTAACGATAGTTCGAATGGACCTGCTTGTCCAGGAACACCAAATTCACAGGGGATGAGACCAACCCCTTCTCCTACAGGATCTACAGGTTCTCGCTCAATGTCCCCTGCTGTTGGTTTGTATATTTTCAGTTTATGGTTCACTGTTCATTTTTTTTTATTTTTTTTTTTTTCTGAACGAGATTTTGTAACCTCTAGTTTCCTGAACGAAATTTTTCCAGGTCAACAAAACGTTCAGATGCCTCCACGTCCGTCAAGTAGCCAGTCAGATGGTAGTGGACCAGCACGAATGAGTCATTCTCCTATGACAACTCAAGGTAAATGAAATGTCAAAAATTTTCATTTATTTTGCCTTCTCTTTATACGTAATATATGAAATATGTTTATACATGATACATAAAAGACACAATGCTTTCAGGACCATACCAGCAGCCACTGGGTCCTTCACCACACATGCATAGCTATAAAATGAATAGCACTGGTCCTGGTGTTGTTCAACCAGGACCTGGTTCTGCGAGCCTTGGTGGAATAAACCCAATGGGTGGTGGTATGGGATATGCAGCTAGTGGAACGGCTGCAGGTCAGCCTGGGGGTTATCATACGCAAGGTACCTATCCACCTCCACGTCCACATGTACAATTTCCGCAAGGATATCCATCACCGGCCAATTCACAACCACCACCCAACAATCAGTATCAAGCTTCTAATAGACCCAACAATTTGGTGCAATATCCTCCATATACAGTAAGTATACTGAAGTTGTATTTTTGTAGGAAGCGAGACTTGTACGTTATTTGTACTAAATCAATGCACCACTTTCTTTGCAGCATAAAATGGGATTTAATAGTGTACCACCAGGAATGCCACCTAGTCCAGGGCCACCTCAAGTTTATGGAAGTACTAGTACATCAGGCATGGTACCACCAGGTACTCCTGGAGTGGCGGTGATCGGTAATATGGGTCCACCAGCAAGTTCAATGGGCCCTCCACCGCCATCGCCTAACCACGTTAGTAATCAGCCACCACCTACCAGCTCGGCTGTACCACATTTGCATACTCCTGCGGCTACACCACCTCTCAATCACGAAGGAAGTCCAATGCCTCCACCGAGTACCACACCTAATTCACATCCTGTTTCAACACCGACAGCAACCAGCCATAGTTCTGCAGATCTTACTACTGAAACTTCTAATGATAGTGGCATAACTACTACCGCTTCAGGTATTTCTATTTTTCATTTATCGCGCATTTCAGCGTGTGTAATTTGAACTGAACAGAAGGATGATTAGAAATATTCGCTGTAATCATGCAGGTACGTCAGTTATAAATGTCACCTCTACTTCAAGTGGCACTGTCACATCCGTAATAACAACTGGCCCCGATGGTACGTCCTTGGACGAAGGTTCTCAACAATCAACATTATCAAACGCATCAGCTGGTTAGTATTACAAACTCTCAAAAACATGGTATATTTTGTTTAACATTTATTATAAATATGTAACTTTATTTTGACGTAGCTTCTGTAGAAGATCCAACATTTCCACCGAAGGTACGGAAAGATATGATGGGAGGATATCATAGTCATCCAGCTACGCCACAGAGTACGGTTCCGTCACCTGGCGCTGCGAGTATTAATTCGATACATGAGGAATATCCTGATATGAACAGCCCTGGTTGGCCACGTACTCCTGCTAGCCCTGTATGTATTTCTTTTCATTATATATGATTCTTAAGAATCTGATATAATGGTTACTACTTTTGTATGTATATTTCTATCTTTATATATTGTGCATGTTGTAATATTTTTACATGAAAATTTCTAAGAATGATATATGATCAAGGATAATGTGTTTTATGCTATAGTTTCCTTTGACTTTTCAATATTTTATATATTTTACAGGTATTTAACAGTCATGTGCCTCAAGACCCATACAGATCTAAGGTTACTGTTTATTCACTATAAGTATTTACCACACCGTTGCACAACATACACTATTACACTATTTACACTAAATGCTTTTTTTGCTTAGTGTTACTACATTAAATGCTAATCTAGATACCATAATATTTGCTTAACAAATGTAATTGTTTGAACTTTCTCTATTTTAACGTTGCATTTTGTACAAAAATATCCACGTATCATCGTTTTATTTTAGTCTATTGTAACACAATGATCAAAAATGATCATACAACAGTTATATTTCATACAGAAGCTTACTTGCATAATAATTTCTTAATATTAACAAAGAAAAAATATAAATTTTCCTAAAACAAAAATGAAAAAGTTCTTGAAAGTTCTTGTTGCTTATTTTTTATGTCTTTCAATCTTTTAAAAACATTTTGTTTTATATAATTGCATGATACATGTATACATCTTCTCCATTCTACTACCGTTTTCAAACAACAACATGTTTTGCATGAAAAATCTTTTCTCAACTTTAAGTAGTTTTCAATTATTATAAGTAATTAAATGATGTTACAAACTAGAGAAACTAATCCATTGAAGTGTGTAAGAAAAATTGTGACTGCGGCTCAACACAGTTTAGGTTAACAAATTTCATAATGATAATTCCAGAAACCAGACAGTTTAGCAAAGCTATATGAAATGGACGATACAATGGAGCGAAGAACATGGTTGGATAAATTAGTTAACTTCATGGAAGAACGAAGAACTCCTATTACTAGCTGTCCTACCATCTCCAAGAACCCCCTCGACCTATTTCGGCTATACCTCTACGTGAAAGAGAGGGGGGGCTTCATGGAGGTATGCAAGGTGCAGTGTAGTTCCATCTAGCCCTCGGTGTCTTTACAGTAGTTTTTTTCATAATTCTATGTGTATTTTTTTTCGTTTCGATATTTATGTACACACATTTTAATACGTGTCAAAAGAGAACATCAATGAACTCGGCCAAAGTCATCCGAGTTCTTGTTTCTTTTTGTTAGCTGACAATTTTTATTTTTATATATATACTTGACGTATACAATTGTGCTTTTTTTCTGTGTGCGCTGAATTGTGCATGGTTTATATATATATATACTTTTTTTTTTTGCTACATAATATTTTTTCTTTTCTTGTACACTGTTTATGAAATTACGACGAAAAAAAGAAGCTTAACTCGTCTTTTCTTAAAGTAGTCATTCGACGCGTATGGAAAACGCCCTGATCTACAAACCTTGGTGCTATATGGAATTATTCTAATATTCAGCGAAGAATAAACTTTTAATATCAATGTAATAACGGTAATTCGTTTCGATTGTACTCTTGTCTATATATTTGTTTCACTTTTCAACATTTGCATGATCAGGAATCGAGGTATTTGTATGTACAGAGAAAACAAAAGAAGTAAAAAAAAGATTGCGTTATTCGATTTCTTTTTAGATTAGCCGCTGTATATGATAATTTTTTCCACGTATTTCTTTTTTCTTTTTTTCTTTTTAGTTTAATTTTGTGTTTTCAAAGTGCAGATTTTTGTCTGTTTGGATTCTCTGCTAAAAAAACGAAGAACGAATCTGACAAATACTGATAAGAAACTTGACTTTAATTCTCCACAGGTGACCAAAAACAAAACGTGGAAAGACATAGCTGGATTATTGGGCATTGGTGCAAGTAGCAGCGCGGCGTATACACTACGGAAACATTACACCAAGCATTTGTTAGCGTACGAATGCCACTTCGACCGTGGTGGTGTCGATCCTCAGCCTATCATAAATCAAGTTGAAGCTGGTTCGAAAAAGAAACCTTCGAAGGGAACTGCCTCCGTACCCTCACCAGGTAAGCGTTTAAAATATTCAAACTTCTTGAAAACTTCTGTCTCTTTGTTTTCAGTTGTATGTTGTATATCTATCTAATCTGTTATATCTGTTATATCTAGTTATATTTTGTCACATTATTACATTATTTTTGTGTCTTTAGGGTCTTCCAATTCACAAGATTCCTTCCCTGCTGCTGGGTCAAACAATGCTTCCATGGATGGTTATGGAAGTTACCAGAGTGGCTACACCAGCAGTACACCAGGAGGACCTGCATCAGAGTATACACCTCCTCCTCCGAGACCACCTAGTCAGAGTAGTGCACCTACTCCGCATCAAGGTAAGAAAATTCTTTCCATCTTCCAATCCTAAATCGCATTGAAACCTTCTATATTGAGTATGTAAAAATTTTAATAATGATCGATTTGGAAAAGTGTTTGACGCGATTGGTGAACACTTTGCCAAGCATGTGAAAGGAATTGCGGTTGAGAGAATATGTTCTGGTAGGTGGTTTGAACCAGGGCGGGCAGAATAGCACGAATCCGTTCGACGACGGCGTGGGACGCCTTTTTCGCAAGTCGAACGCAACGCCCCACCCTGGTCCGTTACGAGCCTCAGGTACTTCTCTCACCCTTGTCTCCTTTCACAACGTACAGCCAAACTTGTTGTCTCGTCCATTTATGTTTACTTTCCGTGCATTCACACAGTGTTTTTAATATTTTGTTTCACTAACTTCCCTTTGGTGTTACTCATCATCATCATCGTTGTTCGCAATGTTTTTCTTCTCTGTGCGTTTAAAACAATTTCGTTCATGTTCAAACAGGCATCCAACAAGGCAGTTACCAGAATACAGGTTCCTACCAGAATTATCCCCAGGATCAGTACAGCCGGCCGCAACCGAACACGCTGGCTCAGCAGGGTGAATTCAACCAGCCTTATTCACCGCGGTCACATTATTCACCTTACGTACCAGACGTTGACAGGTTAAAGATTAAACTTATCTGGAGCCTCTTTTTTTCTTTTTCTTTTTCTTAACAACAGAACGGAGTATAACTTTCGACAATTTTTTTTACAGAGGATACCCTGGGGGAAATTTGCCGCCGAACAATGCTAGTGGACAAGATATATACAATAGATATAGTAGTAGTCAACAGCCAGCAAATTACTCGGCAAGTACACCACCTAATGCAAGAAGTAATAGCTATCCGTCTACGCCACAAGCACATCCACCTACTGTACCGCAACAAACAGCAACCAGCCAGCCTTCTTCACCTTCGCAGCCTCCTGCTGCTTCGTCTTATTCTTGCCCCCAGGACTATTATCGACCAGAGCAGGTGATATTCTATTTCTTATATTACATATTCTATTCCTTATATTGTATGTTCTGTCTCTTTCTGCGTGGCGTGTTGCAATAAACGTACGTGTAATTGTGATAAATATTATCTGGTCGAGCTAATTGTTATGATCGATATTGAAGGGTGGATATGGAGGAACACAGATATACTCAGGCGGTGCGAATGCGAATAAGAATATGCCGCCGCCACCGCCCGGTCCAAATCCACCTAGACGTCACCCAGATTTTGCCAAAGACCAACAATATCCTCAATATAATCAACAACGACCAGCGTATCCAGGTAAAGATATTTCAAAATTAGCTTTCAAAAGCTGAACGCATTAAAATGTATGAACAAACATCACGTTACATGAGATTATGTTAACTTACAGGATGGCCAAATACAACTAACCAGTACAATAGTAGTAGTGGAAACAATAGAGTTCAGTATCCATCTCAACAGCCACAGTCTCAGTCGCAACAACAACCGCCACAACCACAACCGCAAACACCACAGTCTGCTTCTTCTACACCCTCGCCAGGACTTCCCAGTAGTCAACAGTGGGGTAGTCAGCAACCAAATAGAACCACGCCTCAACCGACTTTGAACACTATAGCTCATGCTCCTCCACCGTGGGATCATCGTTACACGAATCAACCGTCCCCTCTTTATCCTGCACCTGGAAATCACCAGGTAATTGATGTTACAACTTTAAGTTGAGTTTCTGTTTGTTCAATTATTTTCATTCGTACTATATTTTAAGTTTGTTTCACTTGTATCTTTCCTTGGTAATATCGACTCTTGCTTCGTCTTGATCCCTTCACAGAATCAGCTTGGTATAAATCCCATGATTACCCAGCAACCAACATCGAAAAGAGAAATGACATTCCCTCCTGACAGCGTGGAAGCTGTGACCCCACTTCTCTACAAACGGCGGAAACTTACACGCGCCGACGTAGCACCGATAGAAGCTTGGCGCATCATGATGGCCCTGAGATCAGGCTTATTAGCCGAGAGCTGTTGGGCCCTCGACGTATTAAATATTTTATTGTTCGATGATTCTTCTGTAAGTCGCCCGTCTCATATTTATTCTCCTTGTTATTCTTACAATTGAACACGTGTAACTAACCAAGTGAAATCATGAAATTCTACAGGTAAGTTATTTCGGGTTGGCACACTTACCTGGACTGTTGGACGTTCTTCTGGAACATTTCTCGCGTTCTCTGTCCGACATGTTCGAGTCGCCAGTGAACGAGGACGATCGAAATTGGAATCAGTCGGCGGACGGGCCGGAGGTGGATCTCGGTTCAGTGACACGTCCCATCGATCCGGAGGATCGAACGAAGCTACTCTCCTCGGCGAATTATACATTTCTGTCGAGACGTGGTCGTCCGGTGAAGATCGTTCCTAGGGACGACGATCTGTTTGTCCTCGACACGAGAAGGTCGTGGGATCACCAAGACTGCGAGTCGGAAACCGAGCCGTGGCAAGTCGACAACAACACCACCAAGTACATAGTGACCTGTTTTCAATCAGAGATAGGATCGGTGCCGTTCGCTCGCCTCCTTCGAGACGAGAAGCCGCCGTTGCTGCAGAAGGAAGTGGAGTGCACAGACACGATGAAAGACGAAACCAAAGCAGATCCTGGTGCGCTCGACGCGTCCGAGTTCTCTCAGAAGATGATGGCCGAGCCCGGTCCGTCGAAGGAGATGAACGAGAAGAAGCAGCTGGACAAGAAGAAGAAGACGAAGACGCTGAGCGACGTGTTGTCGAGGATCAAGAAGGAGCCGGTGGAGATGAACGATCTGACGAGGGAGCTGTTCGAGAAGAAGAACGACGGGTACAAGAAGGAGTGCGATACCGAGACGACGACAACGATGACGACGATGACGACGACGAAAGTGAACAACAACATGGGCGAGCATTTCGCGGACGTGCAGAAACCGGAGGACGAGCTAGCGCCGATGCAAAACGGTCTGACTGACGCGACTGTGAACGCCGAGACGACGGAGAAGACGGTGGAGGTGAAAGTGGAGAACGAGGACGGGCAAGAGTCGACGGTGAAGGACGACACGAAGGAGGGACCAAGATTAAATATAAGGGATCCGGCAGGCACGTTGAAGAGAAGACGGATAAGCGACTACGAGGACGAGAGTTACTCGAGGGACGAGGCGAGCCTGTACCTCGTCACGGAGACCCAGGACAACCTGGCTCGACGTTGCGTCTGCTTGTCCACCATCCTGAGGAATCTCACGTTCATCCCGGGCAACGAGGCCGAGTTCGCCAAGAACGTGACGTTCTTGAGCCTCCTTGGCAAGCTGTTGCTGCTGCATCACGAGCACCCGGTGAGGACGCAGAAGACGCGCAACTACGACCGCGAGGAGGACGCCGATTTCGCGGACTCTTGCAGCAGTTTGCAAGGCGAGAGCGAATGGTGGTGGGACTTCTTGCATCACATCAGAGAAAACGTGCTAGTGATGGCGGCGAACATCGCCGGCCACATGGATCTGAGTCAACATCCAGAGGAGATCTCGCGACCGGTGTTGGACGGTCTTCTCCACTGGGCGGTGTGTCCGGCTGCCCACGGACAGGACCCATTCCCCACCGTTGGACCGAATTCCTCTTTGTCGCCCCAGCGGCTGGCGCTCGAGGCTCTGTGCAAGCTCTGCGTGACGGAGTGCAACGTGGACCTGGTGGTCGCCACGCCGCCGTATTCGAGACTCCAGAGACTATGCTCGGTACTGACCAGGCTACTATGCCGGAGTGAGGAGCAAGTGTTACGCGAGTTCGGCGTGAACCTTCTCCACTTTTTGTCCGCGGCGGACAGCGGTGTGGCGCGCACGATCGCCCTTCAAACGCCCTGCGTCGCGCTGTTGGTCGCGTTTATCGAGCAAGCGGAGTCGAGCGCGCTCGGCGTCGCGAATCAACACGGATTGGCCGCGCTACGCGACAATCCCGAGTCGATGGGCACCAGCCTGGACATGCTGCGACGCGCCGCTGGCACGCTGCTGAACCTCGCCAGGCATCCCGATAACAGAACTCTGCTGTTGCAACACGAATCACGGTTACTCGCCTTGGTGATGAGTCAAATTCTAGATCAGCAGGTTGCCGCGATCGTTGCTCGTGTGTTGTTCCAGTGTTCCAGGGGCACGTAATTTCGTTTCATTTTTTTCAAACGGACGGTATATTTCACTTTTTTTTTTTTCCTTCTTCGTTCTTGATTGATCCGCGGGTGTTTGTTTGTTTAGCCCCTTTTGTGCAAAAAGTGATGATGATGATGATGATGATGATTATGATGATAATGATGATGATGATGATGATGATCAGTTTTTGTTTCTTAAACAAAAAAGACACGGAGAGAACGAGAGAGAGGGAGAGAAAGAGAACGAGTGAGCGCGCGAGAGAGAACGAGAGAGACAGCTTGTAGAGAAAAAAAAAAAAGAACTGCTGTTGCTGCTATTCATTTGTAGGGAATACGAGAACGAGAGAATAATTTGTTAGACAGGTAGCTAAAAAAGAAAAAGTAAATGGAGTGTGAGTGAATGACAAAGAGGAACGAGGAACGAGAGAGAGAGAGAGAGAGAGAGAGAGACGCGGGGATTTATAGAGTGCTCTAGAAAGGAACAAAGTGTCGATATAACATATAACGCCATGTGGTTGTAGTTTTATATCGAGTAACATAAAAGGATAAAACAACAAAAAAACCCAGAAAAGTAAGAAAGTTAATTATCGGTGTTAGCCAGCTAAGGTGTACTGCGACGACGCTCGCGCGTGCACCGCCCACGCGTCGAGTATGCCTTTCCTACTTGATGAAGAATCGGGATAAAATATCGATAGTGTAAGATATTTCATAGTTAATGAAAGAGAGGAAGAGGGTGATTTTTCGCGCGTGAGGCGCGAGGACTTTTAAAGTACGTGAGCGTGACGCGAGGGAGGGGAGGGAAGGGGGGCGGGGGAGAAAGAGGGGAAATAATTGCGGAGAACTTGTGGAGATATTAAAAAAAAAAAAAAAAATAACAAACGGGATGTAGTGATAGAAGGGGAAGTCGGGGAGGAAATTAAAAATGAAAAACAAAAAAAAAAAAACAAACAAAAACAAAACGACGAAACAAAGATGTTAAAAAGAGGAGAGACGAGAGAAACGTTTAGCAGCATAATAATAATATATATATATATATATGAAGAGAAACGAGACGATTGAGACAAAACTTTGAGAGATTGAGAGAGAGAGAGTGAGAGAGGAAATCTGTTTTGACGAACCTAAAATATGGTGCGATGTGAAACGATAATATCGGGTGACGATTATTATATATATAAATATTAACGATAATATAATGCAAATTTTTATATTTGCATGTTTTGTGCTGTAATTAGCGAGTAATTAAGATATTTTGTAGATAACACACACTTCCATTGAATCTTATTTCGAATTTGCGCCGCGCCGTGTGATGACGACAAACAAAAGGTAGAGAGAGAGAGAGAGGGAGGAGGTAAAATAATGAAGAAACGAAGCAGCTCGGCGCGAATGCCCACGGTGGTTGCAGACAGCAACAACATACAACAACAACAATTAAAGAAAAAGAAAAGAAAATAAGAGAGAGAAAAGCAGGCCACCGAGAGTCTCGACTTTTAGAAGCACAGGCAGAACTAGAGAACTGAAGAAAGACATTGCTAGAAGAGAGTGAGTGAGTGAGTGAGTGAGTGAGTGAGGGAGAGATTGAGAGAGCGATCAACGAGTGAACGGAAAAAAAGAAAAGAATGAAGAGAGACGCAACATATGAATGACAGAGAAGAAATGAAACGGTGACAAGAAAATGTGAAGAAAAAAGCGAGGGGGAACTCGTTGGAAAGAAAGAGAGAGATGAGAATCTTGAGTTGCACGTGAATGATGCATGTGCGAGTCGATTGAAAGGAAAGAGGGAGAGAACAGGATGAGACGAGAAGAAGATTTAAAGACGGGAGAGACTACTTCGTCTTTCTTGCGAGTGCGTGCGCGTATAGAGAGCAAGAAAAAAGGATAGAAGAAGAGGGGAAAAATAGAATTGTGGTGGATCGCATGCGCGCAATTCGTACATCTTTCTCACGTGCATACGGTCCACGTGTGAGTGGTGGTTCATATGTTGTTGTTGTGTACAATGACGAGAATGAATGTCTCAGCTGTGTGCACGAGGGACGGGGGTGCTGGTAGAAAAAGGGGTGGGGAATAGTGTCTGTCAAAACAAATGAAACTGTTGCACACACATTACATATGTACATATATATACATATGCACGCGTGTATATATAATTATGTATATGTTATTTATTATATATATATATAATTATACGTATATATAATTATATACATGCATATATGTATATATAAGCTTACAAAAAAAAAGATTGAGAGCAAAATGTTGAATGATGGTCAAGTGGCAGCTTCGCACACTTACATACCTTACATAAAATGCTATCCCACTGATGAAAATTATCGAGATAGTGTTTCAAGCATTATATGTGTGTGTGTATATATATACATATATATATATATATATACATGTATGTATGTAATGCATATATATGTATATATATAATTTTTTTTTTTTTTTTTTTACATTTTGTTTTATTTCTTTTTTTTTCGCAATTTTCTAGGTAAAGGAGAATCCTACGAATTTTTTTTTTCTTTTTCCCCTCCTTTGGATCATATGATTAAAATTGCCGGTTGTGATCAAACTCTCAAACACGCATGTACCCAAGTAGTAAAGGAAAGAGAGAACAACAAGAATGACAACATCTTTGGGAAGAATAAAAATAAAACGAGAAAGTGAAAGACTGAGAGAGCAAGCGAGAGAGAGAGAGAGAGAGAGAGAGAGAGAGAAAGAGGGAGAAAATGGAAGATTGAGAGAGACAGTTTTCACAACAATGTACTAAAGCAAAATACATCCTGAGGAAGAGGATGGTGAGGAACAGGGATTGTGGTGTCACTTCGGATCCAAGCTCTCGATCACGTCATTCAAACAAATTCCAATTGGATGTATTTATAACCGTGAAGCTCTTATGCTTTTCAAAGCGCATATGTTATTGTAAACAAGAGGAGAGGAAAAGAAAACTAACGAGTACTATTCCCCCCATTGTCAGCTTTTTGCACATATTTCGACGGTTCTTGCATATACATTTATCTAATGTAACAGGAAGAGAGAAACAGAGAGAGTGAGAGTGATGTGTGTATGTGTGTGAGAGAAAGAGAGAGAGAGAGAAAGGAAAGAAAGAAAACGAGAAAGACCACTCTCAATTTTGAATGCCCGCCGAAACGAACGACAACTTGTGTATTCGATTTCGTCGTCGCACACCTTCTATGTCGGTACTTCCTTTTCTCATTTCGTAGAAACGGATTTCACACACGTGGGGGGGAAAAAAAAAGAAGTGAAGAGTAACTTGGTGTTTCGGTTTCTCATGAGGGTAGCATATGTAAAGTTGAAAGAAAAAAGAAGGAGAGAAGAAAAAAAAACCTGGGGAAAAAAGTGAAAACGATCTAGATACGACTTTGTTTGAGGGATAAACAAGTGAGGAGAGAAAGAGAAAGTGAGAGAGAGAAGGAGAGAGAGAGAGAAAAAAAGGAGAATAGAAGAATACCGATGAGGTAAAAAAAAAAAAGAAAAAAAAATAATACATTAAAACAGAACACTTTCCCTAATCCCAGCTTCTCCCTGACCCCAAAGTATCCTACTCTATAGATATCTAAATACGTGTAGTTCTTAAATTATTTACTTTAGTTCGAGTGGAGATGCCTGTAAGTGTAATTTACTAAGACTTTTTGTAAATAAATTATGAAATAAACTAGACGTACTTTATCCAAATGACTATGATAATGTAGATAATGTCTCTCTGACACACGGACACCGCGAGTTCGAACGGGAGGAAAAACTTATTATGAGGGCGATGAGTGATGATGAAAATATGTATGTATATGGTTATCTTGAATCTTCGCGATATATCGCATAGAGAAATTTCTATAAACTATATGGAAGTTGAGTATAAGAAACAGAAACCATTGTACTTGTAGGTGAAATAATGTTGCTTTTAGACCATAGGTTTTCAATATAAACACAAGGAAGTATTGCGTTTGTTAGAGAATTTATTGTGCCTGACTATCTTTAAATATATATATATATATAATTATCTTTCTTTTTAGAGCGTGGATTCCAATTATACAACTTGCTTTGAACATACACTGTTCTCCATGTTCAAGATCATCGCTATGTTTATTTTCTGGCACAGCCATTCCAGAATGTCTGTCGCCTCGCTCTCCAGGTACCAGTCCACCATCGGTGACAGAGTGTCTTCGTTCTGCGGATAAAAAAAGAGAAAAAACAGAAAGTACACTCGTTACACAAGAGTATTTAAACTGGAGAATAAACTTGCATCGAGTTTGGGTACTACGACTACCTTGTTCACGTGCAAAATAAGCCTGTTGTTAACAACCGTCGGCGGCGATAGCAACTGATGAGTCTCCAAGGTCCATTTCACGTTCAAGGATCCCCAGGTGCAACCTTTCTCGATGAAGTACAACCGCCTGTGAACGAAACGTACAATTAAAAGGGGAAGCTTGCTTCTTCTCATCAACTGGAAGAAAATTGACCCTTGCATACGCACTGCAACGAAACAAGGGCTATGTGTTTCCCATCGTTTGACAAGACAGTATGCGCCCAGTACACGTCCGTCTCGATACCGGGATTCTTGTTAATTACACTTAGAAGATGCATCCCTTTTGCCTTGTGCATCGAGAATATTTCAACTCCCTGGTCGTGAGATTAAAAAAAAAAGAGTAAAATTTGTTCACGTTTTCTCAATGGGATACATATCTTTGATAAGCTTGTACAGCGTTTTACCTTGTAAGGATTGACATAACGCGGCAAGCGTATACGAGATATAAACTTATGACCTATTTCTTGTGCCCTGAAACGTGCAATTCAAATGTAGAGTTCCGCGCAACGTACACGTATTTATCAGTGTCACTACCTTTTCATAATATCCGCTATTACTTTTGAATAAGTTTTCAGAGAGGAACTTTCGGTATTAAAAAATATCGACGTTTTCTTTCCCAAAGTTCTAAGGAAATACTTCAACTCTTCTTGATGAACACCTGCGAACGTTATTGTGTGTGAATTTTAAGTTAACAAGGCAAACTACTCTTTTTTTTTTTCTTTCTTCTTTTTTACTCACTGCTAATGAAGGCAGTTACTAAGCTGCACGTTTCTAGTTCAATTTCTGTAGAAAAAGAAGTACGAATCGATGGGTTTAAGGGTGGTACGTCTTTATTCTGAATACACGATTCTTTCATCTAAAATTAAAACAGAGGAAAAAGTGTCTGCCACTTTGTCTCTATAACGAGCAATTGCAATTGTTTCTGCTGCTGCTCTTCAACGTACCTTAACTGCACGAGGTTCAATGTTGACATTAAAGACTGATACTTGAGTGGTATCCAAAGTGGAATAGCCCAACTGACACGCCACCTCGTAGCTCAATTTCTCTGCTATCTCGTCTCCGCACAAGATCAACTGGAGGATTGCAGAATAATTCGTACAATTAAAATTCATTTTCACAAAGAAATAATCTCAAACTATCTCTAATCCATACGCACTGTGTTGGAATCATAAAAATTGTCCCCCGGTGATCTGAAGTTGTAACCACACTGGTTCCCCAAGACTGTAGTGGAACGAATTAAAACGTGAAATTGTTGCATGCTTTGAATCACGTAGGAGCGTGACAGATCTGACAGAATTTCATTAGTGTCAGCTGTAATAAAGTTTCTCTGATAATATGGAAGTCTAAAATTAAAAAGGAAGAAATACACACAAGATTAGAAAAGTACATTCGTACGTTACATTCTGTGTCGAGTATATAAAATTTCTGTATTCAACCTGAATTCGGCGTGTTTCTCAGACCCTCCCTTCTCAGAGTATTCAAAGATAAATCGAACGATGTTCTTGTAATCCGCAATGTCACTGACATTGTAAATATTAGGTCTTTCCGTGTCAGCCAACAGTATTAAGCGTATGAGGATTGGAGAAATGTACACGTGTTCTATCACGTTCTGCCTCTTGGCCGCTGTCTTCTGGATCTTCTTGTATAAATGGCGCTTATGTAGTATAAATTATCGTTTCATTAATATGTCGATAAATATACGAAGGAGCATACTTACGTTGATTTTATTGGAAGGCAAAATATGGATGCTGGAAACATCTTTTCTTAGCTTCGCAGCGATAGAGTGCTTAGTTTCCGGCTTCTTTGGGATCAGATCGATCAAAGAGAGGAGGAAACCTTCTTGCAAATTTAGATCAAACTCCCTGACTATGACACAGATACTCCTGCGAAATATGTTTGACTGTAGTTACATCATTGCACAATTATCAGCAGCGATTACGTACTTGTAAACGTTGTAATTTAGTTTCCTCTGTTTCAAGCAGGTGAACTCTACGCAGTGTTTCAATTTATGATTGCCTGTGTAATTGATGATGCTCTTTTGCAAGTTTGAGTAGAGAATCACTGGAAACGTGGTATTACGAATTTGATTGTCAATCTGAAATGTCGAGTTTACAATTGTTGTTCAGTGATGCAATTAAATAACATTGATTGCAAGTGACAAGTTATGATTGTACCTGTATCCTGTGAACGTAGCCTTGCAAATACGTCAGTGACATAGATTTTCTGCAGTGTAACCAAATTCCCGGTGAATAGGTCCTTCTTAACTTCCCAAAGAACGGTTTGGTCATGTGCATTTTCACAAGATCAACCTGAAACACGTTTGTTTCTCACGGTTGAACGTGCAATTTCAGTTACGTTAATTTCAGTTTAAGAACATGATCCTTACATCGATGAAATTCTCCAGCTGCGCCTTTTTGCTAGAATGTGCATATTTGCTCTCTATCCAAGCGCTCAACTCCAAGGACAAACTCTTCCACCTTTTGTCGAAATAAAGCTCCCAATGAGCTGCAGAGTCTGTTACATTGGCATATACTAATTCTTTTAGAATTTCGTTAGTTTTTGTCATCTACAAATTGATTGTATCATTTTATCATTTTAATTCACTTCTTATATACTTACAATATGATATTGTATAGTATATACTCACAATGCTGATTCCAACACCAGCAAAAGAAAGAAATATTTCCCTCTTGCTGGGCTCGGGGTCCACTATACTTTTCGCCTTTAAGAAGACACTCTCCTGTTGGGTGAACAGCAAGATCCTCTGATTTCCCTCCATGTAACTGACCCAGTAGACTATAGTCTTCTTTTCCTGCGCGTTTTTCAACATCGGTGACTTTGCGTCGCTGTTGCAATCGTTGCTGCTGCCCTCGTCGTTGAAACTTCCAGATTTACTTTCCAGCCAAATCAGTTTGTTGTTTGGTGATTTAGACGAGGAGGCGGAGGTGGACAACACTTTGTTGTTGGAGTTGTCGACGATTACGAGTGGTATGACTTCTTGTCCGTATCCGTCCTGAAAATGAAACGAATCGTCGCACACGTTGCACGTTCTTTGACGCGACTCGTTACTCACCCTCTCGAATCTTGCGTTGTAACCGGTCTTTTTATTGTTGTACACGTTCCAAACGAGCTCTCTGGGCTTCGTTGGATCGTCCCACGTGTACAACAGACTTTGGAACGGATTTATCAGAACCACCTGGCCCAGATTGCACTGGCTGATCTTTAAAAACAGATCGTCGCAGAAGTTGTCTATCCTCACGGGTATATCTCCCGCCGTGTACTTTTGAAACGTGACGTGGTACGGTGAATTGACGCCACCTTTGATCTCCACGCTGACTGCCGACTGTGTACAAGTACAAATTGTTTTACAATTTTGAAATCTCTTTGCGTACAGTGTATTCGACTACTCACTCCGTTGTCCATTCTTAACACTGTCTTCCCCTGGTGCGTGATGCTGAAATGTTGCGACACCAACTGGCTGTTCCTCCATTTGATCCTCATCCTCATCGATTCCGTGACCGGCCAGAACGGTATGGTTTGACCAGCGAGCAGATCGTTCCACAAGTCCGCCTGATCGTTCTCCTCCATGAACCTGAGCGTTCTCTTCATCTTGTTGGTGATGTAGAAGTAGGGGAGGAACGTGATGATTTTGGTGAAGTTGGGGGAGAGACGGGAACTCTCGATCTCTGTCAAGATCCTGTACTTTCTACCACGTTCTGTGTCCTTGCAAACGATCAGAGACATGGACGTGATCCCCTCCAGTCCAAAGGGCAAGGACCATTCAGACTGATGAGCTCTCAATCTGACTGTACTTTTCTTATTGTTCTTCTGAGAGAACACCATCAATTCTTCCTCTGGAATTTCATTGACTACGTGGGACTGACATTCCTGAGAACATTAAGTCTTGATATTATTAAATTTAACATGAATATGAAATGTTTGAATGTAAGTATTGCAGTTGCAGAATTTGGAAATAAGTTCAATTACTCAGCTAAATTCAATCACCTTGATGAACAAAGGCAATCCGGATTTGTTTATCATCCAATATTGTGACTGTATGACAATGTGCCAGCTTGTGATTTTGCACAGTTCTATGCACAGTAGAAACGGTTTCGTCGACTCCAGTTCGCCGTCCGCGTTCATCACGACGAACTTCTTCTCCAGGCTCGTGTACAGTTTCGTCGTTCCGCTCCAGTACACGCCCATGTAATTCTGCACCTACAGAGGTGAGAGTTAACTTTGAATCAGTTCCAACGTCACGCGTACAGTACATACTACCTTGAAGACGAACTGGATGTCCGTGTTGCAGTTCAACGAGTGCACGTTTATCCTCTCCCCGGGCTCGATCTTCACCTCGTAGCTGATCGCTGGTATATGAACGTCAATAACGAACGGTAGCTGATTGTTGAAGCTAAAAGGAGGATGGATGCTTATTAAGTAATTCGGCACTTGGCAGCTCGACCTCGTGGTTACTGGTATCTCGTTACAGGATACTTTCACGTAAAACACGGAATTACTTTCGTCGTCCTTCATTTTGCAACACACGTCCTTGATCACGTTCGTCGTTGCGCTCAGTTCTTTCCAATAAATTCCCTCCTCGCTCACCTGGTACTTTCTGGGGGGGAAAAAAATAAGAAATGTTCTCCTCTTGCAAAGTTCTTTTTCACTTGTTAATATTTTGTTTTCTACTCACTCTAAATATGCAGGCAGTATGTATACAGGGAAGTGGTAAGCTATGTATAGAGGAACACTGTAAGTGGAATCGGGCTCGATGATTGTCATCCTGATGTTGTCGTCGAAAGGATTCGTGGGCTTGCCAGTGCACGTCAGCCCCAGTTTGTCCAGCAGCGACTTTTTGTAGTAGAGGCCCAGCGCGTAGGATGTTTCGTTTCGAAACTATAATAAAGGATGTTCTTAATAATTACGTTAATGTAAATTCTTAATAGTTCTTAACGTCAGAACTACCAAAGTGATCAAAACGATCAATTCATAACTTTTGTTATAACACTTTCTAGACAGTGAGACAGTGTATCTTTGAAGACAATTTCTCGTTTATAAAGTTCCTCTACTTTTTTCTCTTCAGTGTCTCTGATGGAAATTTTATTGCTTCATTGGTCGGTAATTCTAGCGTTAACGTCCGAGACAAACAAAAAAAATCAAACGCTTTACCAGCAGAGGTGATCGCACGGTGATCGAGCGGTACAAATAATTGTTAATGGTAGCCTCTATGACCAAATGATAGCGGACTTCGTGTCTAATGGGTCGCAGCGGGATCAAATTGCAACCCTGCCTCTTGGGACAATACACCAGCACATCTTCAAATTCTACAAATTGCAACAATTGCAATGGACCAAGTTTCGTTTCAGGAAAAGAAAGAAAATATTTCCAACTGAGGATACCTTTGAAAACGATTCGCAAGACCTCACCGGTGATGGTCTTGTACACACCGATCGAGGAGTCCTCATCGAATATCTCCTGCATTGGCACCGACTGACTCTGCAGACTAGCATCTGGATCGGCAAAGTCCATCTCGTTGTCAACCAGCCGGGGACTTGCATGTCCGGAGTGAGCCTCCGCTTCTGGACTGCTGGGAATGCTCGCTGGTGGACTAACGTCGTGATAGTCTTGGCTGGCAATAACTCGAGTGGCGTTCTCGTCATCCTAAAAGAAACCAAAACAAATGAACATAAAAGACGCAATGTGTCCGTCTAATCTGTGAAAATAATAATTTCAACTGACCTCGTCTGGGACAAGAAGCTCTATCCGACTCTCGTGACCGATGTCGTTTTGAAGGTTCAGTTTTTTCATGCCTGTGGGCATGGTCGGTATCCCGCTGGCAGCCTGTTGAAACGCACTGGCGATGATGTCCATCACGATGATCGAATTGGGTGTGATCACCACGTTGAGCTTCTCCTCCGCTGATACGACGATGTACACAGCTATGTCGTTGGACTTTATCGACTCACGGCCAAGCGGACCAACTGGCGATTAAAAATCTATCGTGAGAACGAACGTCTGATCTAAATTCTAATTGATGAGGCGAAATTGTTGCACAGAACGCAGATCCTTACAAGAGTCCACGTTACACTCCGGCGTCAATTCTAGTCCCTCGTCCTCGTTCGTACTGCTGTCGTCGCTGTCGCTCTCCTCGTCCCCGCTGCTGTTGCTATTGAACAAATAGTTGGAAGTTCTGCTCAACTTCTTCTGCCCTTCCTCGTCGTCCGTGTCGGAGTCTTCCTCGTACGTCGAATACATTTCTGTTTCTGCAAAGCGACATCGTGGTGTTTAACTTGTCTCGCTCTCTCTTGATAATTAATTAATTAAATACACTGTACGTGGACAAAATTGTGAGACACTTTGCAGTCGAAATTATTGGTACAAAAGTTTATACACGTTGTAGACAAATCAAAGTTGTGTAATTTTAATTGATATTTCCATAAATTAAACGAATACTCAATTTAATACTTAGATTAACTTAAGTTAATTTAACAAGCATTAACAGTTTAACAAATTCTTAATTTAAACAGAAATAATACAACTTTGCTTAATCATATTTATCAATATAATTCACTTAATTATATCAATTATACCATAAAATTATAAGACAACGACAACAAAGAAAACAAAAATTACTACAAGTCTTCATATAATTACACAAAATTTTAGAGTGTCTTTTGATGTTAACAGTGGGTTGATACTCGTTTATTTTATACAACTCGGATCATTCAAGTTGTAGGCTTTTTCTGAATAATTCTTTTTACATAATATTGATCTAAATTCCTCTAGGCAAACAAAGTTGCTTTTTCTAATTCTTGAATGTTATTGCATTGCTTTCCAGCTTTGTACATTGTCCTGCTAAGTTTTTCCCTATACATTCTACGAAGACTACTTTTGTTTTCTTTGTTTTTTTATAATTTTTTTCCACGTGAAATTGTATTACTTTTCTTTAAATTAAGAACTTGCTGAAATACTCATTCAATATGTGGAAGTGTCAATTAAAATTAGACTTAACTCTGATTTGCAAGTATGTACAAACGAAAATCTTTGTACCAGTGGTTTTACAATTTTCTCCACCAGTAGTATGTAATCTTCACGTACCGCTTGACTTTGTTACGTTCAAGTGGTCCGGGTTTATGAAGACCATGTCCGTGACATCCTGATCGGTATTTCTAAGATTCTTTTTCTTCACTTTCAAGGCATCCTGTTTTATGTGCTGGCACGAATCGGTCGGGTTCGAATTCACCAGGAACGCCTCACCGTGGCGCATCTGGTAGAACGTGTGAGTGAAAACATAAGAATTCGTTGCACGCTCGACACCTATTATAGGTGAGAGTACCTACTTTTATCGTCAACTCCCACGACTTGTAACTCGCGTCGTCCTCCGAGCACAAATCGATCAGAGGTTCCCAATTTTTGTAATCCATGTTGTAACAGAACGCGTGGAGCTTCACGCTTGACTCCAGATCAAAAGACAGCCAATCGTTCACGGAGGCTGTGATCACGCTCTCCACCTTTATGACAGGAAACCGTTCCATCGAATATTCTATCTCCAACAGCAGGCACAGTATCACCGGTTTCAAGTTGAGCGTCAGCACGCGGTCATTGTCTTCGCAGATCAAGTGTGAATCATCTGTAAAGTATTACAATCTGTAAGAATTATGTTATGTTCTTTATAAGAATCCCGTCAGATGATGGGAATCTTAACTCACCGTTGTGCAACTTTTTGTATGGTATGTTCGAAATTTTCTTTGGCGTCCACAGATTACTGTGCATGTTGAAGTCCTGAGCTGCGAACCTATCCTCCAACTTCACGTTGATACTGTCTGCAAAGCTTGTAGCTTCGTTCAGTATCTAAAATAATGCATAATGCACATGTTATACATTATAATATATTACATGCAATATACAATATATAATATATTATAATATATACACAATAATTTTGTATTATAACATAATATATTATATATTATAATATAGTTACAAACTACATATATAATAAAACTATATAACTATATAATTATAAACTATAATATATTATATGTTATACTAATATATATTATAATATAGTTACAGACTATAATATAATATATTATATATTATATTACAATACAAAATTATTGTGTACATAAATTCACATACAATTTCAATTTCAGTTATAGTTTATTGATACTAGAACTACCGACGACTAAACCATAAAATTTCCATCACTGAAGTTAAAGTGGAAAAATGGAGAAGCTTCGCAATAACAATAACTTGCACAAACTTTCATTTATACATTCTAAAATTTCCAATGAAAATTACAAACTGGTCATTTTCACCATTTCTTTTTCCTTTTTCTTTTGGTAGTTCTAGTGTCAAGCTTTCGGCAAATTGTTGTAACAATTTGTGACACTTGCGTTAATGAACGTATGCATGATCTCCGCAGAGAGGTGAACGTCAATTTTGTTCACAGCGACGGTATAATTGACGTTGAACTCGGGCGCCTCCTCCCTTCTGCAGATTTCGACGTCGCACGGCCGTAGTAACCAAAAGGGGACATGGTGCGAGTAGTTCCCCTGTTTCTTCGACTTGGCACGGACGTCGCTGAGCGTGTAAATGATCGACGACGAACAATTGTGTCTGCTGCTCTCGATCGACACCTCCGCTTGCAGCAGGATCACGTGCGCGTTGCTCGCCCTCAGGTTCCCAAAAAGCAAGATCTCTGGCTTGTGTATCCTCACGGACACCGAGGCATCTACATCAAAGGCACAAAGTGCTTCTTTTAAACAATTTGTTTCTACATGAAAAATGACCAAAAATTGTACCAAATTGAAGAGAAGTACTGGTACAGGGTGGCCACTGAAAAACTGAAGGGTTTGAAAAAGGTCACAACTTGTTCATTTTCAGTCTTTTTGATACTGAAAGAAAAAAAAAATCCCTTAATTACATCTCCAAATAAAATAAAAAAAAATTGAAGAAACATGTGTTTGTAAAAGTTATTTTTGTTTTGTATCGTTCAGTCTTTCAGTGACCACTTCTGTACCAGTAATAACAAAAAGCATCATTACTCTGTAATATGAGATATGCATAAATACCTGGCTCCTCTGTGAAATATTGCGCATATTTTAGTTTACTTTTATCCGTAGTAACGTCTTTGTTCTTGATTTGAAACAAATATGCATTGCAAGCGTTTATATATATATAAGTTACTTTACAAAGTAACAGAAACTTGCTCGCACGACAAGATTGAAAGATTGGCGGTCTCGGTTCACTTACTGTCGCGGAGTTGTTATTCTCATATCCGTGATTAACGATCCCTTCGTCGACTTGGTCGCCAGGGAAGGAGTCCATGACGTACCGGATCAGATGCAACACGAACGGCACCGACAGGTTCACCCTCACCTCCTGGATAAGCGCGTCGTAGCATTTCTCTCCGGCTGGCGTGCGAGTGTATGTGACGTCGACGATGGGAGACATCGAGATGGATATGCAAGACTCAGGCTGCATGCCGATTTGTCTCGCTGGTGACTGGATTATTCTACAATAATGAAACGACGGTGTTGTAAAAACGAAGGACACGACAAACAGAAAGCTACCAACTTTCTTATAGTCTGAGAGTCCTTTCGAGTGTCTTGCAGCAGGCAGCTTTGAAGCGACAGTTTCATTTTCAGGCTCTTGTCGCTGTAAAACGCGTACGTGTTGATCACCTCGCCAAACGTTAGCCTGCACAGGCCGCGATTCAAGTCTCGAACCGGTGAGCTCAACACCTGAATAGTATATCGAAAAGACGTATAATAAATTCCAACTAGAACAACAGAATAGAAGGAGGAATATTGACGAGCTACCTCCTCCGAGTCCAGAAACAGATTCAACTGCAATCCTTCCAGGCTTAGTTTCGCATTAACCTCGCACACAGAGTTTTCATTCTGCGTGAGGAAATCCTCCAGCTTCCTCACCATTGCGTCCTCGTTGTTGATCCTCTTCAATCGGTCCGCCATTGCAGACTGTGTCTCGTTGAGATACGTGTCCTTGAACAGAATGATCTTGGAGATATTGTCCTTCCACACCAGTATGCTAGACTTTAGATCTTTCTGGCTCAGATTCACGTATACAAAATCCATGGTGCCTTGCACGTTAAACAGACCACAAGTCTGAAACTCCATTGCGCTACGATACTCGGTTTTTCTCTTGATGTCGAAATGTACGTGCACCGGCTCGACAATCGGTTCCTGCAAGTGAAACGCGTTGAATGAAATTAGCTTATAAATGTCATCCTGAACTGTTAAGTCTCACTTGAATCTCCAAATCGCGGCTAAGCGTCATGATTGCCCTGGACACGGTCACGTTGTTCAATTTTATCAAGATATTGTCGATCGTTATCTGGTTCGTGTCACCACCGGACGTGGTTTTAACGCTCTGCGTCGACTGGTCGATCTTCTTGAAGAAATTCTCCACCGACAGTACGCCTGTGTTCAATACCAACAGACTCGGTACTTCCTTACGCTGCGGTAGTAAAAATACCGGGCCTTGGATGTCGATGAACATGTGCAGCTTCGTCGCGCTTCTCTTGAACGCCTCGAATCCACCGGCGAGTTTCTCGGTCAGGTACTCTCTCAATCGTAGGATGTGCGTGGAGGCGAATGGCGCTAGAAAATACTGCGACGCCATATAATACACCAACACTGCGTATCGTGTAAATTAAAATAACAACAATAATAATAATAATGACGCGAAGTCAGTACCTTCAGGTCGTACAGAATTTTGCAAGTGAGCACGCAGTTCATTCTTCCTACGGAAAGCTTGAACGTCCCGTCCGACATCACGTCGTCCTGCTTTGTGTCGATGTCCGAACATTTGTATAATTTTGGCATGTGTCTCACGTACTTCAAGTCGAGAACCCTGTCCTCTTCCGTGGTTAAAATCTTGCAACGATGAAATTTCACGTTTGAGGACATGATTTGATTAACAATAATAGGTTCAGCTCGAAGGTCCGTTCAATTTGAAGTTTACCTTTGAGTAAAGCGTGTCCTCGTTCAGATCTTCAATCGACAGGTGTCTAAGGTGCGCGCGTAATACCATCCTTTCGTTGGCGTTGTAAATGCAATCGTTCTCCAATCCCAAGATCTGTATTTCTATCAAGTCGAGGTCCTTGTCGCAAAATCGCACAACGAGGGCGCTAAGTCGAGCAGAATAATTCAACTTGATGGCGCCTGAAAGAAAAAAAGAAAACAAATGAAGCGTTAGGAGGATAGATAATAAATATACTATAATATTACAATATTTAAATATACTATAAATATACTATATGCTATATTTAAATATACTATTTAATATATAATATTTAAATATTATATATTAAATAGTAAATAAATTAATTAATTTAATAATTTATATAATTTAATAATTTATATTTATATATAAATTATATAATAAATAAATTAATTATATTATTATATATTATAATATATAGTAAACTATAATATTAAATATATAATAAATTATATTTTTATATTATAATAATTATATTATAGTTTAATTATAGTTTATATAATAAACTATATTATAGTTTTAATTATAGTTTATATAACAAACTATATTATTATGTAGTAAATAAATAATTTAATAAATTATATTTATATAATAATTTATTTACTATTTAATATATAATATTTATTATATATTAAATAGTAAATAAATTAAATATATTATTTAATATATAATATTTAAATATTTAAATATACTTTACTATATACTATACTTAAATATTATAATATACTATAATATTTTAATACTATATTTATAATAAAAATATACTATAATATTATAATATTATAATTTCTTATTAATGGTAATATTATATAATACTAATTATATAATACTAATAATATTATGATCTCTTTACCAGGTGGGATTCTTATTAATAGTAATATTGATAATATTACATATATTATAATTAATATTACTATAATGTTAATTTTATTATAACTGATAATAATATTATAATCTCTTTACCAGGTGGGATAGGTGGATCATCCTCTTTCGCTTTCCAATGTGCAATTCTGTGGCACATGCTCTCCATGAAACTGAGGAGATTGTTGTTTTCAAAAATGCTAAAAATGAAGAATGTAGTCTGTCGTACAAATTTTCTCTCATCACTTGTCATAATGACATGGATAGTACAACTATACATACTTAACTAAATTGTACCAGTATTTCCGAATTTTCAACAGCGCAGGTCTATATAAATTTATGTTAACATTCAATATATTTACAACGAGAGATCGTTCGATACTTTTGAAGTGGGATTTGAAGTCAGGGCAGTTTGATTTGACCTAAAAAAAAAAAAAAGAAATGCATTAGCTATGGAAACAAAAAAGGAGAGACAAATTTTAAGTCTATTCACGCTCAGAATACCTTTCGATACGATAAAACAAAAACTTCGTGCGGTTCTTCGGTGGATATTAGTTCCAAATATGAGCCAGTTACCCCGGCGTTTGTTTTATCTACCAAAAGAATGGATCCTATGCCAAATTGCACGGCTGGTCCGTACTGCATTATCGCGGTTTCACAGTACAAAGCGTGCAGTCTCAAGTTCAAATAAGGCTCCTCTCTTCCATAATGGATAATTCCCAAATGAACAGACAACTAGACATTCGAGAGCACATTGGAAAACTGAGATTTTAAACAAGTGACAGAAGGAAAAATATACCTCTCCAATAGCGAATCTCAACAAGAAATTGATGTGATTATACGGGGACACGTTGTCGTCAAATCCAGACAAGCTTATAGTCTTTGACAGCAATTCCAAATCCTCTTCACTGACCTCGGAGGACACGACGCTTCTGTCGCATGAAACAAAAAAGGAATTTTCACATGCACAGAGTTCGTTCAACGATAGAACAACGGCAGCTTATCGAAATATCAAAGGCTAGGTTAGATTTTGTACTTTAATGTTTAGTCTTACTTCGTTACCTATCGAGTTTTTGAACGTGACTCGTCAGAAGTTCCTTGGTCACGTGCGTAATCTTGTTTTGTATCATCTCGATCGACGATAGGCACACGCTACGTTGCACACCTCTGAGCTCTCTTATCGACGTGAAGATCTGGTCCGGATCTTTCTTACAAGCATACTGTTTCAAATCGCCTTCATACTTCTCCACGCTCTGTTGGTACGCCAATGTTAGCAAGTTGAGGAAATGAACGATCAGTCGTATCTTGTTCTCTGATAAATTGACCTTGATACTCGAAATGGAAACGTTGACCTTGATTCTGAAAAAAAAAAAGTAACAAGATGTAGTTTACAGATGAGCCTAAAGACTTCACGCGTCCAAACAAAGTTGGGAAGAACCTTGGTAACTGATGATACTCTGGCTTTATACTGCATGAAATGGTCGTAGTTGCTTGTATCTTTGGTAAAAAGTGATACTCGGAATCTTTCTTCTTTCTGACTGATCTCCAATCGTCCCCTGCAACAAAATATTTTAGACAAACGTGCACCGTTGGAGCCTTAGAAGAATATGATTGAAAAGTAGATAGTACCTGAATGACAAAATAGAATTTGCGCGCCAGAAAACTCGACGTGTATTCTATCGTAAAGTAATTCCTCCAACTCCATGAGCGTCGCGTCTTCGAGTTGCAAATTGACAGCCTGTAGCTCGTTGGACAAAGTCACATTACCAAAATCCACGATAAGAATGTGTCCACCTCTAAAAACCCCTTCCCGTTATTTCCATACTCGAGCAAACTTGAGAATGTATTAACTTTTCGCATTGTTACTCACTTCTGTATCGATCCGTGCTCAGGAAACACGATATACGGCCCTTTAACGTCCACTTTGAAATTAATCCGAAGCGTTTGAGACATAATATGATCTACCAACACCAAACAATTCCTTCTCGCGTATTTGTACAATTTGTACGCCCACAGAATTGTCGTTTGCATGTTCGAGTCATCAAGCTTGAAGAATTGAACGATCTCTGTCATGGCGTGCTAAAATTTAATAAGGTATCATTTTTTGGTGAATAAATTGATACTTCTAAGTACACGCTTGTCTTATAACGTTATTATTACATGGTAGTAAGTCACTTCTATAGCTTCCAGCTTTATGGACACGTCGAACGTCGGATCCACGTTTTCTCTGTTCTTCTCAAAATCTATTGCCAAAAAGTTACTCGAAACATTTCCTGTAAAGATAGCAAGGTGACAGTATGAAAATTGACAAAAAACGAGCTGTGACCTTTAATCAATTCAAAATACCTGTTAAAACATTGTCGACCGTGATTAGCGGCACTAAATCACCTTCAGCGGAGACACCCTCGATCACGAAACTCTCGGCTCTTGCAGACACTTTGAATGCAGACAACAGAGGTTGTATCTCCACGCTCGTCAAGAGTTGGGTTACAGTTACGACAAGAATTTCTCTGTCATGGCTGAAGAGGCTCAAACAGCAGTTTGCTAAAGTAAAATTGAATTTGTAATCTGTAACAGAATATAAAGAATTATCCTCTTGTTATTATTCGTGTGTCCATATAAACAGAAAGTGAATTCAACTGTACCAATTGGCTGAGGTAGTTTCTCCAATTTTATCCTCCTTCCTGAATCGTTGCTAATATAATGCAACGATGCTTTAATCTTTTGCTCATCAGTATCGTTAATTTGCGCCTGTTTAATCAAAGTTGCATTTCCTGCCACACTTTCTACTGAAATATCGGTATTCATGTTTTGACGTTTCTCCTCGATAGTTTTATTTTTCAATTCCTGCTTAGCATGCTCTCTAGCTATTACCATGTTCAATATAGTCAGGCAATCTTCGTACTTTTGCAAGTCCAGCTTTAGCTCTGTATCGTTTGGCCGAAGCAAATTCTGCAGGCATGCTTCTTTGTACTTCCTGTAGTTCTTTCTGTGCTCAATGATTCTCGCCCATGTGTAGGGCCTCACATTGTTATCTAAAATAGAGTTATAAGCATACTTCCACCAAGCTGATGGATTTTCCTTGACGTCGTCGCTCGGACGATATCTTACATACGGTCTGAAATAACGTAGAAATATAAATAAAATCAACTAAAAAAAAAAAGAAAAGAAAGGAAATAAACGATCAATACACATACTTGTTGATTATCGCGCGTAATACTGAATTATAAAGATGACAGAAAGTAATATATTGCACTTTAGAAACTTGCATTGCCACGTCGTGAAGCACAATGTCGACCAACATGCGAGATGTTTGTGTCTCATTTCCTTTATGTATAATTACTTTGATCTTCGCGGTAAATGGCTTTAACACTACAACGGAACATTTCTGCTTAATTTATTCGCATTTAAGTGTGAAATTACGTTTACAAACAAATGTCACTTACAAAACTGAAACTCTTTGTTCTTCATGCCAAAAGTTTGCAAAGCTCTGTGCATTGTAGTTTTCCATGCCAGGAGGCTGGACATGTCCCAATCACACCTTGTGCTTGCAAGAGCAGACTCTGAATCATGGTCCATGTATATGCTCAAGGACTCTGCTCTTATTAATTGATAAATTGTATTTGAATTACTACCACAAACGCCAGGTTTCCATTTACTGCAATTTCATAATGTGGTGGAAACACAGTTGTAGCAAAGAAAATTAAACATCTACAGGAAATTGAATGTCTACCTATTTGTAGTCATGACTGATATACTTTGAATACAGATGCCGCAAGCGCATAGAGACCCATTTAGCTTTTCCTCATACCTAATATGTACATTATTTATACTAATTTGGAAGTTTTTTGTCACAGATGCCAGTAAATTATCAAACAACTCTGAAATTAATCGCAGAATTAGCTGTTTTGCACGTTTGATTCGTACGTCTATAAAAATCACCTGCTTTAAACGCTTCGTCTTCCTTTAAATCCTCTAATATTTTCCTTTTCTCTGCCCTCAACAATTTCTTTTGTACTTCTGCGTCGTACGGGCCATAAGCAGCAGGCACGGCTACTACATAAACATCCTTTAAAAGAAATCAACACATTGCACCTGAATTATCTGCCATTTGACATCAACTTGCAAATATTACACACTTGTTGTACAATTTGTATACTGAGTCTTTTACCTCGATGCAGAGGATAATCGGTTGAGAAAATAGTCCAGACCATGGTATCTTTAAAACGATTCTCCCTATCAGACCAACCTCCACTTTAATGGGCAAACCAAGTTGATACTGCGAACCAGAAGTGGTGTACGTTACATTTGCATCTCGTTTCGTTACCTTGTAAAGCGTGTGAAACAAAAGTTTGCTTACCAATGCCTCAGGCTTTAGCTTGAGATCGGTAAGGCAAGTATCGCCAGAGAAGATACCAACGTTGAACTGTTCGGTATCCAAATCCTCGATGTACTTGCCCAGAAGCCGATTCAAGAACGCCGCGATGGCACCTTCGAACATTGTTCCGCATTTAATTTGAATCTGTTGTGTTGTTTACCTGCTCGCATCCGACGCAACACGGGCTTCTACATTTACGGGCTCATCTCATAACCTTAAGAAATTCGTAAAATAAACGCCGTCATGCGCGAGACCTGGAGATTTTATTGATCCCGTTTTCTCGCGATTCTCGGGATTCCGAGGCTTCGAATGGAACATTCACGTGCAGCTGTCTCCACCTACTCGAAAAATTATCCCCGGAGGACCTACCCTTTATCAAGCGATCTTTGCACGAAATTCGCGCGTTATGTACGAAATTTTTATTTTCACAAAAGTGTTTCTTGTAATAAAAATATTATCTTGCAGAAATATATTCTCTCCGTTTCAGTCGAAAGTGCAACGAGAATAAAAGGAACGAGACAACGAACGAAAAAGAAAACATTCTGGAATCATTAAAAGACACGAGGTTTTTCAAAGCGTTCTGTTTGTATTTTTCGTGTGTGGCATAAATTATCAAGGTTACAAAAAAAAAAAATAAAGAAAGAAAAGGAACCGCATCAAAAGATCAAAAAGATATTACAGGATATGTAAATGTGTGTACATATATATGTATATATATGTATATATATACATATATATATATACATGTATGTTGCATTCGTTTATTATTCGTTTTGTACAAGATGAATTCGGCTGTTATATACAATAATATTAAGTTATAGGAGAGTGAAGAACGTTTAATTCTTAATGAACAAAGTTATGGCATTGTTTTCCTACCTATTACGCGTAACGCTGAAAAAAATCGCCGTCCTTTATGGTTACCAAGGTAATCACATCCGTTTATACCGATTACGAGTAGCAATTATAAGTATATCGTCTTTTTTTTTTTTTTTTGTTCTTTTTCCGTTTTTCAAAAATTTCATCCTACACACACGTAGCGACAACTACAAGCCAAACCTATGCTCGCTTCTTTCATGCAGATGAAGATTTCTATGATCTAGCCGTCGCGAACGACAGCGATCTCTTTCTCCTTTATTATTACTCCCTTGCCGACGAATAAACACCGAAAATGCATCATACGTTCCCTTATATATGTACAAAGTAAATGTATAGTACATGTTACGCTCTTTAACTTTCTCTACATGGTTAAATGCTTCGTCTCCCCCGTATTCGGGTCCACGATGACCTTCTCCTTGCAGCTGCTCACAGCGGAGGAGCCGCCGAAGGAATTGATATCGGTGAAGGGGAAGAATCTCCCATCCGCGTACTCCTTGAAGAGTAACTCGGTAGACTTTTGCTTCTCCTCCTTCCCGTTCGTGGTGACTTTCTTCATCGTGAGCGTCAACAACTCTATGATGAGATAGGATTCCGGCTTGTAAAGCCTCGTGAAATGTAGCCTGATGTGCTCGCCGACGTTCTCATCCTTTCGCGGTATGTAGTCGCAATGGGGACAGGACGGGGTCATTCTCTCGATGCCGTGTCGACGCTTGTGGGCGTCCATCGCGTCCTTGTCGCACGTGGAGAACGGGCAGCTCTGACAGTGAAGCGTCTCCACCTCGTCGTTCGAGGACAAAAGTATCCCCTTCTTCTGCAGCAGCATAAGCGACTGCTTGTCCTGATTCGAGGCTTGAGCTCCGCCGAGGTTCAACATAGACGCGCTGCTTGATGAGAGGATCGAGGCGGAGCTGGTGGGCGATTTCAACGTCTTGCTGGAACGTGAATTAGCGCCGGTGTTGTCCGAGACGGTGTCACCGTCGATGGTGATCGTGTCGTCCTCGAACTGTCTACGCGAGGCTTGCGCCTCCGCGTTCGCCTGATGCTTCTTCAGATGTTGGATGTAATTGGCGTAATACTTGACCGAGTAGTCGCACGTGTCGCAGCGGTATCTCTGCTTGGCGCCGTGCAGAGTCAGATGAACTCTGTACTGCTCTCGCTTCTCAAAGGCGGAGGGACACTTGTGGCATTTGTACCGTTTCTCCTTCAGTCGGCCGTTCCTCAGGTAGCCAGGGTACACGAAGTTCGGGTTCCCACGCATAAACAGCCCGAACTGCGGATCAGGCGGAGACGACAGATTCGAGATCAAGTCGCTAGTTGTCTCGTTCTGTCGTCGATGAACCACCTGATGCTTCACCAAGTTCTGGGACGTTTTCGATGAGTAGTCGCACTCGGTGCATCTGTACCTGTTGTTCGACCCGTGCAGAGTCATGTGATACTCCAGGGCGTCCAGCTTGAAGTAACGAGCAGGGCATTTGGCGCAGGTGAACACCTGGTTTCCCGTACGTTGGCTCGTGTTGCACGCGCTGCTGCTGCTGAACCCGCTGCTCGAGCTTTCGGTGACCTCGACCACGATCCAGGCGATAGTGGGCGTCGACGAGTTGCTCGAGTCTTGATTGTTCGGTTCGACGCAAGCCGTCGTGGGCGGTGGATAACGCTGTGAGTGGCCGTACAGCGACAACAAGTGTTTCGTCCGCTCCTGATACTCCGTGGAATGGGCTTTCTGGTGAGCTAGAAGGTGAGCCGGCTGGCGAGCGGCATACGAACACCATTGGCAAGAATAGGCTAACTCCGTAGAGTGGTATCTTATATGTATTCTCAGCTCCTTCTCGCAGAGGAACCGCGCTGGACATTTGCTACAGCAATGCACAAGTCTTAAGTCTCGTAAGTCTGGCTCCGAGCCCAACACCGGGGAATGAGAGAAGCCGAGGAGCGCAGTCAAGTCGCTTAGTTGTTGCGAGTCTGGCCTCGAGTCGTCTACTAGACAGTGAATGGTGCCCAGCGACCCAGAATGCATGTCCGTGTGGGCAACCATGACCTCTCGCTGGGTGCAAGTGAAACTGCAGTCCGTACAAGCGATCACAGGGCCGATGATGGGCGAGTCGAGGTGCATGGTTTCGTGATCGCGGACCGCCGCCCGTCGTGACGACACGAACGGGCAGTGGCGACATTTCAACATCTTCGCGAGCGTGCCGTCTGGTCGGGACACCCATACCAACGGAGCCTCGGGCAGTGCACGCGTATCGAGTAGCAATGGCGGTGGCGGTGGTGCTCTGGAATTCTTCGAAACGTTGCTCAAACAAGTCACCTTGCTTTGCGTCGTTATGTGGATCACTTGCTCCACAGACTTCTCTTGCTTCGAGCAACTGGTACCTGAAACCAAAGTGACGTTTAAATCGGAATAAGAATCCTGATATCAAATTATATGGGACAGGGTGTCCCGTTTTGATCTATAAATGCAATCATCTCTGAAAAGAAATTATTCGTCATTTGAAGGACAATAATTTGGTTCACACTTGGTTTGTCTCTAGATAGGTCATTACTATTTTTTCAAGTACAATCGTGGAATTTAACAGATCATTCTCCACAAAAAAAGTATTAATCTATCTAATTTACTCGTTTAGGAGATGTTTTAAAATTTACCCATAAAAGGAAGACAGGAAGAGTACGAATACAAAAGATAGATTTTCTAATATTACAGTTAAAGTAGAAGAAAATCATCTGCTGACGTAAAAAAAAAATTACATAATTATACTTTTAAAAAAATAGCACCTTCATATCTCCTACCTGCCTCTATCTAGACACAAATCAAGTGTGCCAAATTACTGGCCTCTCAAAACAGAAAAAAATGAGACATTTTTTAAATGACAAATTTCGGAGATAATTGCATTTATAGATTAAAATGGGTATTGTATGTTGTATAATTATATTAATGCAAAAGTTAATTTACTGCTATCGTTGCTCAAAGCTCGATGTCTTTTAGGAGAGAGACTATAGTCCACAGCTTGTTGGTGCACAACGGCGAGCTCCTCTCCGTGAAGTCTGACGTGATCCAAAAGTTCTCTGAAGGAATAACGTATGTAAGTATTTTTCAAGGAAGTTATAAGGCAGACCTGGGTGAAATTTATTTCGAATAATTTGTAAATAAATGTTTGAAGTGACGTCCTTTAGTATTTGGCAAATAATAGATTTCAATTAATAGTATGTAGCTCATTTGGCCAATTAAAAGAATTTGAAGCTATGCAAATAATTGAGAAAATAATAAATTGAAGAACTTATTATTCAAGAAAATAATGCTTATTTGACAACTGAAAATTGTCTTTCAAATAACATTCAGAGGAAATATCAATAAAACGGAAATACTCAAATGCAAAAAAAAAAAGAAATTAAATGAAAATCAATAGGACTTGTTCCAACATTTAATGAACAAAATTTGTAGACATTTGTCAAAGTTGCAAATGAGAATGATAAGGAAGTATTATACTTCACAAATACTTGTTTTATTTATATATGATCATGAAGCATATCTAAATTTCTTCTATCTAGGAAAAAATCGAACGACATCTATTTCAAATTGTGTCAGTAGATGAGCGTAGTAACTCTGCCATAGTCGCAGAATAAGAAATAGTAAATACAAACTTTGGGCAAACTTTGACTTTGAAAAGTCAATTATTTCAATCAGAATCAAATAACAAATATTTTACAATACGTTATTTCTGAAATGTACTACTTCAAAAAGTAATTTAAAAATAATGTTATTTGAAAATTTTTCAAAACACCCAGGTCTGTAATAAAGATGATAATAGTGTCACAGTGTTGCGAATACGTACGCTTTTGTGCTGACATAATACGGACACAAGTAACATTTAAAGATAGCCTCCAAGTTTGGGCGATGATGAACTCTGTGCATGGACAACGTTGCTGCGTCAGATGCGGAAAATGGACAGTCTTCGCAGTTAAATGCACTCTGTAAACAGATGTAAATGCGACTGCTTATCTAATAACACAGAAATTAAAGGTACGAAAGAAATGGAAGAAAAGTACTTTGTTTTCTTCATGACGTTGGACAGGCGGCTCACTGTGACATTTAACATGCGTGGAGACGATCTCTTTGTTGGAATGTCGAAAGTTACAACGTTTGCATTTCCACATTGTGCGTTTGTTTTCCTCTATGATTGTAGTTGTTGACGATCCACTTAATTGAGCGTGAGGAGAAATTAAATTGTTTTTAAGTAAAGATTGCCCTCGATTTCTCGCAACGGCTTTGAGAAGCGGCGGCGGTTTCAATCCTATATTAACGGTGTTAAAATTATGGTTCCCCTCATTTGACGGCACAATGGAAATAGGAGACGAAGAGAGGTCTGACGTCTGTAGACATTCGTTGCTACTCATTATAAACAATTTGGTTGCCGGCT